CTCATCAATGTTTCTGGCTCTCTATCCCTCTCCCTTCCTCTCTGTAAAAAAAAAAAAAAAAAAAAAAAAAATTCAATAAAATATATATTTTTAAAATTATGAATTCATTAGGTCATCTGGAAAACCATATGGGCTGAGCCCCAAAATGGTGCCAGCCCCCAGAGACAGGGAGTCAGAGGTTTTAAAGGACTCTAGGCGGGTTTTTCTGGGAGGAGAATTCTCTGGGCGGGTCCTGAGGGGAAAGATAATGGTCTTAGCAAGTGGAATGTGGTCTTAGCAAGTGAAATGTGGTCTAAGCAAAAGGGAATGTCCGCTGTGAAGTGGTCTAAAGGTCAGTTCCCAGGAGGTGGTGTTGATTCAATTATTTGATAAGACCTAATGGCATGTATTAAAATGTTGGTTGCAATTGTATTAAATCCATTATGTCAACTTAAAGAGACAATTGATATATCATGGTATGACATTGTATCTTCTAGGCATGAATTGCTGTCTCTCCACTTAGTCACTCTTTACTATCTTCCAGTAAGTCATTTTCTCCATAACAGTTTTTACATATGTTGGTAGGTCTATTCGAGGTAATAAATGGTATACCTTTGAAGTTTTTCTCAGCTTTGTGTGACCACACTTTCAAAGATACAGAAAATATGAAAGATTAGTACAATGAACACATTGTCCTCCTCCACCCAACAATTATGAACATTTTTTCACATGTGGCTCTTCCTTGATGAACCATTTGAAATTGAGTTGCAGACATTGTGACATGCCTCTTCAAGGATGGCATTCTCCTACAAAATCTCACTGCTGTTATCACAGGAGGTGGTACATTTAAAATGTGCATTTCCAAACTGACTAACAAAATAGACCCAGAAACAGGGAGGCAAGCCACAGACTGAGGATCCTCTGAGGGAAGGGAGGGGGTGGGGAAGAGATCAACCAAAGAACTTACATGCCTATATGCATAGCCCATGGACATAGACATTAGTGGGAGGAGAAGGGGGTCTGGAGGAGGGGGGGGGGCATCTGTAATAAGTTTCAACTATAAAAATAAAATTTAAAAATAAATAAAACATTTTTTAAAATGTGCTTTCTGATGTTTAGTGGGTGTTACTTTTGTGTATTTCCTCTGTATTTATCAAATATACATAGCTAAACTTTCTTCATGGTGAATTTGTGAAGATCTTATAGTTTTAGAAATATTTTCTTTATACATTTTTGGAGACTATGTTGTTAGGTACATATAAGTACACAACTGTTATATTTTCCAAGTGATTTTTTTCTTATCATTAAGAGAATTGTCTCTTAATTCTTTGAGGTTTTGTAGGTATACAATCATCTCTTCAAATACTGGCAGAATCATCTCTTCTTTCAGTGTAATTTCTTTTCCCTCCTTGACTACATAGGCTAAAATATTCACTATGATGTAGAGCAGAGTGGCAGAAGTAATCTTTTTTATTTTATCATTAAGGGTATTTGGGGGATTTTTATATATCATGTAAGAAAATTTCTTTTTACTTCATCTTTGTGAAGGACTTTTTTTTTTTTTTTTTTTTTGCCAAGTTCTCATGAATACATGTTGAATTTTATTGAATGCTCATTCTAAAAATGTTAAAATGACGTCATAATTTTTTTGTTTTAATGTGCTACTGTGTTGTACTATACCGAATGCTGCTTTTCTTTCTTTCTTTTTTTAAAAAAATATATTTTATTGATTTTTTACAGAGAGGAAGAGACAGGAATAGAAAGTCAGAAACATCGATTAGAAAGAAACATTGATCAGCTGCCTCCTGCACACCCCCTACAGGCGATGTGCCTGCAACCAAGGAATGGAACTTGGGACCTTTCTATTGTTTTCCTAGGATAAACCCAACTTGTTTAGTCAATATCAGATTAATTTTCATAATCTTTTTAGTCAATATCAGATTAATTTTCCTACCATTTGTTTGGGATTTTTATATTTATATTCATGAATAAGATTGAATTGTAATTTTCCATGAACTATTTTCCCAGCACTGATAAGTTGGACAGTATTTTCTATATTTCAACTTTTTTGAAGAATTTTTTAAAGAGTGAAATAGTATGTTTCTTATAACTGTTTCTAAGAATTAACCTGGAAAACCATCTGTCCGATTATTTGAAATAGGTTTCTATGTATGCCCATTAATAAAGCTGATTCATTGTGTTGTTCAAATAGTCTATATTTTTACTGTTGTTTTTGTTGTTGGTGGTGGTGGTTGGTTCCCTTGAATCTCTAATGACTAAGAGAGAAGATGGTGAATTTGTGAAGATCTTGTAGTTTTAGAAATATTTTCTTTATATATTTTTGCAGACTATGTTGTTTCATATGTTCACAATTGTTATATTTGCCAAGTGATTTTTTTCCTTATCATTATCAAGTGACTCTCCTTATTCTCAATACAACTGTTCATTCTAAAGTTTCTCTTGTCCATTATTAATATAGTCAAGCCAGCTTTCTTTTGTATATGCCCATTCTATATGTTTTATAAACAAGACACAATTGTCTTAAAAATGAAATAATCTGATAATTTATATCTTTAAAAAAGTCTATTCATATAAACGGAATCTTTTGGAGCACTTAGATGCATTATGGTTGTTGGTGTATTTGTATATATTTCTATAATTTTTCTTTCTTTTTTTTTTTCTTCTGGGTTCAACTTTACTCCTTTTCCTGCCTTCATTCTTCTTCTTTGCTTTACTTTTCTTGGTTTTATTGAATTTTCCCCCATTATCTGATTGGTTCTATTTTGTTTTATTTATTTTTAATTGTTTCTACTTTAAATGAAACATTTGAAATTAAGTTGCAGACATTTTGACATTATTAGGCACAATCAATATGTACTCCACTTTTATTCTTTTGTAATTCTCTTTTTAACAAACATAGTCAACAAAGTCTAAAGTTATTCGGTATGTTTATTCTCCTCCAGAATAATAAATATTTGAAATACTTTAATTTTATTCATTCCACTAGGGATAATATTAGGCTTTTATGCTATTATTTTCCAATACTATAGTTCTACTTTTGTTGCTGTTTTACTTCCTACGTTTACAAATTAAACATTTCCAGCAGTGTTATTTTATGTTGTTAATATCTGGTTAGACTTACCCACATTTTTACCATTTTCTTGGCTTACCATTTCCTTCTGAGATTATCTTGATTTGTCTGGAAATGTTTTCCCCCTCTTTCTTGAGCTATCTTTATCCTGGAACCAGCTCCCCATGATGGGACGATGCCGACCAATCATTCAGAGACGACTTCCACCCAGCCCAAGGAAGAGGGGTTCTGGAAACTCCCCGAGGAGAGTAGGAAATATTCTCCTTCTCCCCCAAGCCCCAGGTGCCCACGCTTCCACGCTCACTGGCCAAGTGGGGTGTGTTCATCTCCGAGGCAGGGACCTGGCAGAGAACAGGACTCAGCTCTAAGCCAGGTGACCGTATGCCCACCTCCTGCCCTGGGGGGGAGAGGGGTTGGCTCCATGAGCTGGTGGTGGTGCGCACACCCCAACAAAAATTCCAGAGTGCTGCCCAAACAGGAGGGAATGGATGTTGAGGAAAAGCACTGCAGGAGGGCTGGAAGTGGAGGCTCCCAGCTCTCTGATGTGCAGTGGCCTTTGGGGGGTTGGGGAACAATGGTGTCATTCCTCCTGGGCTCCGGGCACACCTTCCACTGCTAGCTGGTGACTTGCCACCAGGAGAGAACAGCCCTGGCCTATTTGCTAAAGATGGTCCTGGAGGGTCTCCTTAGAACCATGTCTCCCAAAGTGTGGTACGCGTACCCCCAGGGGTACGGGAAGAGTTTGGTGGGGTACACGTTGCACCGAAGTTTGGGGGGGATATGCACTGCACCGTGCTTAGCTGCACCTAATTCTTCGTTCTCATGAGTATGAGGGGTACTCAGCGTTACGAAAATTATAGAAGGGGTGCCCATGTGTCAGAAGTTTGGGAAACACTGCCTTAGAACAACGTGGACAGGGAGGAAGGGGAGAGGGCAGGCCTGGGGCACGGGCAGCACAGTCCCCTAGGCCAGAGGAGGGGGAAGGATTACCAGGAGAGTCCAGCTCCCAGGAGACCTGCCCACGGGAGGGGGGGGGGGCGGGTAAGGCAACAGGTGGCGGGATGAATAGGTTTTCTGGGGCTTCCCCCATCCCAAGCCATCCCCATGGTGTAGGAACAGCATTGGGAAGAGCCACTTACGGAGGGAGTGGTGGGGGTGGAAGCCTGCCTTCTGGACCAAAGTTTATCTCACTCCATTCCTCATCCCCTGTCCCCTGCCTGGGCTGGCGGGGACGCCTGGCACCCCTGCTGGGACGTCCAGAGGAAGGGGGGGGGGGGGACTTGGGGCCTGAGGGGGAGACGGGCGGCTCAGGAGGGCCAGGGAGGGTCCTGGGCGTCCTCCGGGGCTTGTGCCTGGGTCAGCGGTGCCAGGGGCCTCGCCGAGGGCACAGCCCAGGCAGGCTCCGGGACAGGGCTGGGGCAGGGCTGGGGGCAGGGCTCGGCAGAACTGGGGCCAGCCATCAACAGCAGCTCGCCTCTGGAAGCAGCAGCTCCCGGGATGACTAGGGATTCCGATCTGCGTTCCCGGGAATCTCCCTCCTTAATCCAAACCGAGTTGTGGGGCTGGAAGTGCCCAGGACAGACGAGGTCCAACCAACGGCCTCTGGGCGGGAGACGCTGCCCTTTCCAGCCCTGAAGTGTCCGAGGGGGCCGGGGCCGGGGCTGTCCCCAGTTCCCTCCGGGTCCCCCCTCCTCCCCCGCTGGGTCTGGAGCGCGTCCCGGGCCGCCACGGGGACCGCCTCCCGCTCCCCGCCCTCCCGGATCCGATCTGCGCTCCGGCCGCCGCCCCGCCCCGGCCCGGACGCCCGCACTGGGGGTGTAGCCCGGGCGCTCGGACGCCGCCTCCCGGGGTTAAAGCGCGAGCCCGGGGGCACCGGCGATTCCCGCGCGGACCGGGAAGGCCAGAGCTCCGCGGGCGGCGAGGAGCAGAGGAAGGCGCTGGCCCGGGGTGGCAGGTGAGCGTCCGGGCGCGGGGTGCGGGGTGCCGGGTGCCGGTTGCGGGGTGCGAAGTGCCGGGTGCGGGGTACGGGGTTTCGGGCACGGGAGGGGGAACCTGGGCGGCGGGGGGGGGGGGGACCCCGGTGCGCGGCGGGGCCGGCGGCAGGGGGAGCCGGGGAGCGCGGGGCCAGCGTAGCCGGTGCGGGGCGGAGCGGGGCCGGAGGGCACCACGTGCGGGGACCCCGGGGCGCGCAGCTTGGAGACCCCCGGCGTCACGCGGCCGGGGTGCGGGTTGCGGGGTGCGGGGGGCCAGGGCAGACGGTCTGTGGGCCCCTGGACAGTTCATTGGCCGGGAAGACGGCGCCTCGGGGTCCCTGGAGGGGTCCCCGCGGCCGGAGCCGGCCCGCGCCGCCTGTCCTCGGGGCCGGGCTGGGACCCGGTGCGCCTTTCCCGTCGGTAACGGGGAAGCAGCGGCGTGACGGCCGTTCCTTTGTTTCGGGGAAATCTCGGCGGCCCCGGAGGCGTGTTACCTGAACTCCTGCTGCCGCTCCGGCCCTCCCGGGTCCGGGAAACTGGAAACCCGCTCCGATCCCGGGCGATAGGCCGGCGGCGGGGCCGGGCGGGAAGGCGGCCGGAGGGTCCCGGCGCGGGGCACCGGGGGACGCGGGAGGGGGGGACTGCCCGCCGCCCCGGCCCCCCCAGCCCCCCGGCGCCCCGAGAACCCGCTCCCCGGCCCCGGCCCCGGCCCCGGCCCCGCAGGAACCGGCCGGCGCGGCGGGGCTGGCCCTGGGCGCGCGTTCTCCGCGGGAGAAACGGGCGCGGGGCGCTCCGGTCCACCGCCTGGCGGACCCGGGCACCGGCCGGGCACCCAGCGCACCTCCGGGCAGGGGGCGCCGTGCCCGCGGCCCCGGGTCCGGCGGGAGAGCTGCTCTCCGGCCTGAGTCCGTGCGTCCACTCCGCGGCCGCTGCCTGCAGGTGGCCCGGCTGTGGGCGGCATGTGCGGCCCGTGGGCCCCCGCCGCCGGGGTCGCGCAGTGGCCCTCAATGTCTGTCTTTTCGGGGTGCACAGGCTTCAGGCTACGGGGGAATTCTAGTGGCTCCTTTGGGAGGGAAATGATGGCGCAGCGTCCCAGGTCCACCTGGTCGGTCAGCCGGGGTCCCCAGGGCCCAGCCTTCAGGCTGCGGACCCCTCAGTTCAAACACGCTCCGCTGGGAGTCCCTGCGCTACAATAGGGGGGACACAGGCGCCCACAGCTGAGGGGAGTCCCCGGAAGAGTGGAAAGTTACGGTACAGGGCGGCATGGCCAGTCCTGCCGGAGGTGTTTGCAAAACCTGAGTGAGGAGGGAGGGTTGTTGACTTTGCCTGGGAGGTGGGAGGCCCTCCGGGAGTGAGAAAGGGACCAGCCGAGGGGACTAGGGTGGGGCCAGGGAGTGGGGCTGAGCTGAACCAGGCTGAGGGACCTGGGGCGCAGGCTCGGAGGGAGCCAGGGTCCCAGGGTCCGCCGCTGAGTGAGTTGGAGGGGTCTGGTGGGCCAGCTGATGGGGATCCCCCTCAAGAGGGGTGCTCGCTGTTCCCCCAGCTTTACCGGAGGTGGGGCCTGCCTCTGTCCTGCTGGGCAGATTGAGGCCAGGGCTCCAGCTGAGCAGCAACCACTCCTGGCGGGAGGTGCGTCCTTTGGGCTGGGACCCCCCCTGATTGCTCATTCGCACCTCGGTTTCGCCTTCCAAAAATAGCAACTGGTGACCGCAGGGGCCTTTGTTCTTAGGCTGGCCTTTGGTTTGGTCCCCAGGGACTTCCTTGTCATGGATGCCCCCTAGGTCAGCCTTCTAGCAATGGGGTTGGGAGTGCCATGGAGCCTGGCACCCACACCCTGGCTGCCCCGCCCCGGCCAGTCCCCTGAGCTGTAGGAGCGGGAATTTGGCCACACTGGTCTCAGAGTGAGAGCAAATCGAATGTGGCTGTGGCACTTCCTCCGGGCAAGGCACTATTCCTTACCTCTTTAAGGGAAGTGGAAGGAAGCTGAGGCAGGGAGGTGAGGTGGCTTGGAGAACTGGGGATGAGGGCAGGCCCTCTGGCTCTGGGCTGGCACCTGCCACTTCCCTTGCCTTACTCCAGGGGGTCTGAATGTGTGAAAGGCAGAGGAGAGGGGAGAAAGGGGAGCTGAGGACAGGCTCAGGGCCTCATGTGGTAGGGCCAGGCTAATGTCCCCCTGGGCTGTGTGCTGACCCCTTCCAGGGTGATCTGAGAGGGACTCCTCAGTGGGGCTGACCTCCTTGGCTGATGAGGCATCGAGGGACAAGGCGCCTGTGAAGTGTCCTGCAGGTGGTGCAGCCTGGTCACATGACAGGACAGCCTGCCGGTGGAAGGGGGCGGTCCATCAGGAAGCAGAGACCGGGACAGGGACCGGGCTGGTGACGGAGTCCTGGGGGAGCTTTGTAACAAACAGTATGGGGTCGTTGTCTTGGTTCAGCTTCTGCATTAGACTCTGGGGGCAGCTAGTCTGTTTTTCTGAACCTTCCAGAAAATTCACGGTTTGGGAACTGCCTCTCAAGTCTCAGCCTTGGGCCTGAAAGCAGAAAGGCAAGGTGAGCGGGTCAGTTTATCCGCTAGTCGGTTTGGTTACTTAAGGATTGGAAGCTGGGCCTGCTGGGGAGGAGCGGGGAGGGCCTGGAGGGGCATTCAGGGCCCTCAGGGCTTTCCCATCTCTGCTCTCTCCCACTGCTCTGGTCCCCAGAGGGCCCCACTTCCCACCCTCCTGGGCATTGCTGCTCTTCCTGCCCCTCCTTACTCTCCAGGGCACCTGCCCTGCGGGTGGGTCTGCCCCAGGACATCAGGTGGCCTCGGGGGGCTTGGGGTGCAAAGGTGTCAGGACCTAAGAGCTGAGATCTGCCCTAGGCTGGGCTTGGTGAGCTCCTTCGGCTCCCGGTAGGGGGGCACCACAGGCCATCTTGAGGAGCTCTGGCTTGCAAGTCCCCAGGGCAATGGGCCCTGGTATAAGGAAGGCGACATCCAACTACACGTACCATCCTGAGACTAGCAGAGGCCCGGGCTGACCACACAGCAGTTTTGGGAGACCGTCTGGAGGAGTCTGAGCTCAGGCAGCCTGGGACCTGGTTTGTCCCGCCCCGGACAGTGCCTGGAAGAGGAACTGGGACCCGGGGGAAATGGCCCGGAGCGGAGAAAGGCAGGCAGGGTGTTCTGGGGATTGTAAACTGGCGTGTGAAGAAGGAAGCGACTCAAAGACAGGCTTTTGCTCTTATTAGAGGAGAGCCAGGGAGGGGGAGAAAGGAAAGGCCGTGCTCCAGGTGGCTACCTCCAAGCACTGGGTCTGTGTGGCTAGAGTCTGTACTATAGACGGCCATGAGGCATCAATGCGCGCGCGCGCGTGTGTGTGTGTGTGTGTGTGTGTGTGTGTGTGTGTGTGTATGTGTGTGAGTGTGTGTGTGTGTATGTATGTGTGTGTGTGAGTGTGTGTGTATGTGTGTGAGTGTGTGTGTGAGTGTATGTGTGTATATGTGTGTGTGTGAGAGAGAGTGTGTGTGAGTGTATGTGTGTATGTATGTGTGTGTATGTATGTGTGTGTGAGTGTGTGTGAGTGTATGTGTATGTGTGTGTGAGTGTATGTGTGTGTGTGTGTGTGTGTGTGTGTGTGTGGAAAAAAAACGGTTTGGCGGGCTCTCGGAGCTCACCGCGGTGGCTGCCGATGTCTGGAAGTTCACGCCAGGACAGAAGAGCTGGGAGAGGGGGGACTTGAGAAGGGCTGAGGGGAGAGGGCATGGCGATGGCGGCCAGTGGACGTTGGTCAGATAAATATTTCCAAGTGAGAGCCGAATTGGAAGATGAAACAAAGCCGGTCTTCATTACTGTGGGTCCGTGTGTGGCCGGAGAGCCAGTGTCGGGTTCCCTTTAAGGTCATCGCCTTCCAAGGGGCCTTCCTGGCGGGACGCCGCACCTGACCTCATTCCGGCCCTCGAGCTGGGGTTTCGAGAGACGGGTTTAGTGTTCCTGCTTCGAGCTTCTGACCGCACAGCATAGTTGATCATCGTGCCTGGCCTCCCAGCGAACGCCCGGTTCTGTTCTAGAATATTCTTTTTTTTTTTTTTTTTAAATATATTTTTTATTGATTTTGTACAGAGAGGAAGGGAGAGAGATAGAGAGTTAGAAACATCGATGAGAGAGAGTCATCGATCAGCTGCCTCTTGCACTCCCCCTACTGGGGATATGCCCGCAACCAAGGTACATGCCCTTGACCGGAATCGAACCCGGGACCTTTCAGTCCCCAAGCCTACGCTTTATCCATTGAGCCAAACCGGTTTTGGCTAGAATATTCTTAAGAAACGGTCTTCCAGGATTGGATCCAATGGGTGTAAGTGTGAGAACTCTGCTCTTTCCAAGACGACCCAGTGGACATTTGAACATGGTTTCCCTGGGCTGCGTGAAACCTGGCTTTCTGATATTTCTGACTGTGTGGTCCTGGGTTTGTCCTTCGGATTTACACAAACGGATCCCCTCCACGTAACAGCCCCTTCGCTACCGGAAGGGAAATCCTGGCAGCTGTCGCTGTCACCGCGGAGCGTTCATCGCGGCTGGACGTGGTGCTGGGAACTTACACCATCCTCTCGCACCCTGCTCCAGCCGGTTATCCCGGCTCCACAGGCCGACTGTGGCCAGCTCCTTCACCCCCGGGCTTTGACCTCGGGACCTCGGGTGGCCCGTGTGACTCCCTCCGGAGAGACCTGGACCCGTCCGTTGCACACCTGGGCCTGCGGGGTTTGTCCAGGTGCAGGCTCCCCGGCTCTCTCACTCTTACGTTGCCTCCTACTCACTTGGCCTTTGGAACCCGAAATGCGTCGGAACCATTTCTTTGTAGGATACAGGCTGGATTTAAAAAATAATAATAAAGGGCCACACCCAGTGCCTGCCCTGAAAAGGTTGTCCGGACAATGAGGCATTCATCGAGAAAGAAACTCTGGTGCTTCCGGCAGTACCTCTCCTGCGGGATTATCTCTCTCTTTCTCTTCCTCCCCCCTCCCCCCTCTCTCTCTCTCACCACTGTATATGCCGTTTGTCTGAATGCCGAGCACTGTTTGTATTGAACCGCGGTTTAACCTGTTACTTTTAACAGTGTGTGCTGTCCCCAGCAGGCATGAGAGCATCCTTTTGTGTGTGATGTGGTTCTGGGCAGCGGCGGAGGCATGAGGGGGCCATTTGTTCGTTGCGTAGGGAGTGTCTGCTGCGGTTGCTTGCTTTGGCGTTGGATGAAGGGACACGGATTCTGAGGTCCAGGAAGCTGGGGCCCCTCGGTGCGTCACGCCGGTGACCCCTGGAAGGCGCCCCGTGGGGGGCTGCACCCCAGCACATGCCTGAGCGGGAGTGGGAGGTGAGAGTCAGTGGGTCCTCCATGGTAGGGAACACCGCTGACCCCCTGGGTGCATCTCTGAGACGGAGCTCATGTGCGTTAGTTGGGTGGCTTTTCAAACTGGCCTCTGGCTAAGGTAGGCCGGGACATCCGGAGACACCCGGAGAAGAGGCGATGCTTGTTTGGGGCCGGGCCTATGATGTCATGGGTGCAGCTGGGGTTTGACCGAGGCCCTCGGGTGACTCAGGCCTGACTCAGCTCCCTGAAGGGAAGGCCCCCGTGGACCGAAACGACCAGGCTCTGTGCTGTGCGGTGGACGGGGAGCCGCCGACGAGGCGGGGCTGGGCGCTCCGAGGCCTGTTTGCTTTTCGGCCACTTGAAGGAAGAGTGCCTCGCGGTGGCTGGTGTTGGGGAGGAGGGACAGTCATCGGTGTCCTTTAAAGGGCACGAGAGAAGGTTTGTGGCCCAGAGCCGTCCCCAGGTTACCTGGCTCCTCTCCGAAAACAGAGGTCCGCTGTCCTGGCCGGACAGGCCGCGTGGAGGAGCGGACCGGAGTGATCGTGGGCTTCCCTTTCAGACCCCGCTGGTTCCTTTGGGGGAACCCCCACGCCCCTTCCTCTGGGCCGGAGGACACCCCAGGCGGTGCCACTCTCGCCTTCTACTCCAAAGTCTCCTCCGACGCCGGGGGCTGGCCCGGCAGGCTGGTGCTTTGGTGCTGAGGTTCTGTGGGTTCAGGCTGTGTGAGACGGGACACGCTGCCCTAGGCGCGGGGTCCCCGGGCTTCTCGTGGGCCGTTCACGTGGCTCCCGCGCCTTCCCTCCGGCTTCCTGGTCTCGCTGTTAGGGATCTGGGATGAATAGGAAGCCTGGATTGTGAGCCCCGATGCCTCGCTCCTTTCAGAAGGCTCCTCAGCTGGGAAGGCGGCCAGTGGATCGAGTGTTCGTTTCCTGAAACTCCATCCACGCCTGTGACTGGGGAGCTGGCTCAGAGGCCCCCAGTCTCCGCCCTGCTCAGTCAGCCGGACTCGGTCCAAATCAATCTGGGGAAGGTGACGGGGTTATTCCAGCTTAGACGAGAGGGCAGTGGAGCTCACTGAGCGGATGTGAGGTTTCAGAAGGCTTTTGCCTCCCGGGGCAGAGGCGGGAAAGGTAAAGGAATATGTGATCCTCACGCCATTTGAAGGCTTACCCGTAAATGTTACATGAACGCTACACGGGAACCCCTCCCCTTGTATGTAGATCCGTGCTATTCTCTCTCACCTGGAAAGCTGTTGGCTTCTTTTTCGTCGTAAAAAAGCCTCCACGCTATGCTATCAACATGAACTGGTTCTTGTGTTGTATGCTGACATGGAGAGTACATACATGGCCGGGTGCATTTGGGGGGATGTCGTCAGTGGGGTTTCCCAAGATTGAAAAGCCTCCTCCTGTTTTATTCATGGCACGCTGTTGTTAGATTCGTGAATCGGATGGTCATTCTGCTCCGGAGACGGCATTCTGCGGGAGCTGGCTCCGCTGCCTGCCGCTTCCCTGCATCCTCTGAGCTGGTGGATTTCCAGAGGCAAACCTGCAAATGCCAAGCTTAGTTCCTGCCCCCTCTCCCCTGCCCAACTGGCTGCTCAACTTTTATCAGCCTTACTATCGCTCTTATTTTTTTAATATATTTTATTGATTTTTTACAGAGAGGAAGAGAGAGGGATAGAGAGTTAGAAACATTGATGAGAGAGAATTATCGATCAGCTGCCTCCTGCACACCCCCTACTGGGGATGTGCCCGCAACCAGGGTACATGTCCTTGACCGGAATTGAACCTGGGACCCTTCAGTCCACGGGCTGACGCTCTATCCACTGAGCCACACCGGTTTCAGCTCGCTCTTATTTAGAACAGAAATGTATGCAGCACTTCCTGTGTGCCAGGCACCGAGAGCGTCACTAGCACCGACTCATCTCATTCCATGGCGACCCTGGAGCGGGTGTTACTGTGCCTCCTTTTGCAGACGAGGAAACTGAGGCACAGAGACGTTCACTGACTTGTCCCAGGTCTCAGCCTGTGTAGGACTGAGCTGGGGTCAGAGGTCCTGGGCTTCCCCACACGCCACGCTGCCTGCTGCTGGTGGAGCACCTGCTGTGTGCCAGGCACGGTGCCGATGGGAAGTCTCCGGACCTGGCCCCAGCCTCGCAGCCCAGAGCTTTCTCAGCGGGAGCACCGTGCTGTGTGCGCCCGACGGCAAAGGCCATTCCTTGAAGCACTCTCTGGTCATTGCCAGAGAGCAGGGAGGGTGGGTGAAAGCCCTCATTTGTCACAAGAGGGAGAGTGAGGTCAGGTGGGGCTTTCCCATGGGGCTCTCTGTGTGGACGGTCTTTCTAGAATAAGGTGACCAGACGTCCCGCTTTTGGCGGGACAGTCCCGATTCTTAACAATTTGTCCCGCGTCCCGCGGCGTTTTAAAACAGTCCCAATTTTGGGAAAGAATCTTTGTTAAAAATCGGGACAGTCCCGCCAAAAGTGGGACGTCTGGTCACCTTATTCTAGGCATTACTGTGAGCGCTTCCCAGACAGCAAGCACATGGCCCAGAGCTTCCTTCTCATGATTAGGAAGCATCCCGGAGATGACTTCGGAGCTTCTTTTCTGGGTTTAGGCTGGTCCGTGGGGGAGTGGGTGGTGAGGATGTGTTTCACAGAGTTTTTTTTTTGTTTTTTTTTTTTTTTTTTTACACGTGGGTGTTTACTGAACAACGGGAGATTCCACGTGGCTTAGTTACAAAGCCAGGTGTGGCCTCTACCGGGTACGGAGTGCCAGGCCACCTGCTCAGGCGTGGCTGCTTCCTCATGCCGCCGGGCGCCTCTCTGCAGGTGCCAGCCAGGTCACTTCGGATAAATGGGTGCCCGTGTCCCTCGGTGCCCGGCCCTGCCTGCCCCGGCTCACTGAATCCTCACCCGAACGAGAGAGCGCGGTGACTGTGTCCTCTCCGCCTGAGGTGCAGGGAGGGTTCCTTTTGGCCGGGGATGCCTCCGGGAAGTGGCTCTGCCCGGGCCAGGTGTTCGCCCACCTGCAGCCGCTGCGGAACTGGAGGCCGAGTCACCGTGTGTGTCCCTAGTTCCTGCATTCTCCTTCGGGTGGAGGTGACCTCGGGTGGCCGAGGCCTCCTGGCCGGTGAGAGCCGCAGCCTCGGACTCCTCGGCGGGCAGCTTGGGGAGTCGGCAGTTGGTTCTGAAGAGAGCGAGCTCTCACCTGAACAGCTTTCCTTTCTTTTCTTTTTTAAAAAAATATATATTTTATTGATTTTTTACAGAGAGGAAGAGAGAGGGATAGAGAGTTAGAAACATTGATGAGAGAGAATTATCGATCAGCTGCCTCCTGCACACCCCCTACTGGGGATGTGCCCGCAACCAAGGGACATGCCCTTGACCGGAATCGAACCTGGGACCTTTCAGTCCGCAGGCCGACGCTTTATCCACTGAGCCAAACCGGTTTCAGCTGGACGGTTTTCCAGTTCTTTCTCAGCGGACCTTCTGGAAACTAAAGGTATGGAACGATTGCAGTCCTGCCATCCTTTCTTCCAGGTCCTCTGGAACGTTCTGAACACCTCCCGCCGCCTGATGCTGCGGACGAAGTCGGGATGGCTTTGAACTCAGTAAGTGGTGGGCTGCCAGGCGCCTGCGCTCTGCCTTGTCCCCTCATTCCTTCTGGTAGTTCCGGGGGTGGGAGGTGAGGGGACTGTGTGTGCACCGTGGAGGTCGGTCAAGGCCTTCTGTACATTGGGGGGGAGCAGGGGGCCGGGCGTGGCCACACAGCAGCCGCTCAGAGGGGAGGCCAGAAGCTGTGGGGTGGGTGTGGGAGAGGGGCGTTCTCACCGAGGCCCTCAGGGTGGGGTTGGGGGTGGGGCAGGACCAGGGTGGTGTGGGTGCCTATGGGGGCGGGATGCTGCTAAGAGGTGTCAGTCCCAGGAAGGAAGTGTGTAGGGGACACAGGCCAGCAGACTGTTGTGTAGCTTAGCTCCTGATACGCTGGGACAGGTCCTCACTGCGGGCACCGCGCCAGCTCTCTCTCTCCCTGGAATCCCCACTTTCCTCCTTCACCGTCATATTCACAGGTCCATCTTATTCCTGGAATAGCTATCTATCTATCTATCTATCTATTATTGATTTTTTTCAGAGAGGAAGGGAGAGGGATAGAGTTAGAAACATCGATGAGAGAGAAACATCCATCAGCTGCCTCCTGCACACCTACTACTGGGGATGTGCCCACAACCAAGATACCTGCCCTTGACCGGAATTGAACACAGGACCTTTCAGTCCGCAGGTTGATGCTCTATCCACTGAGCCACACTGGTAGGGCTCTGGAATCACTCTTTATGGAGAGTTGTGGTTACTAACCATTTTCTAAGTCCTGTATCTGGAGAACAGGCCCTTGCTCCCCGCCCTTATTTGTCCCTGGTTATAGATTCCTGGGCCACTTTAAATCTCAAGCCCGCGGCAAGGGGATCGACCGAGACAGACGCGGTGCTTGCTGCAGCCTTCCGGGGGGACGGCATGTTCTCAGATGCTGCCGATAGGGCCGAGCACACGTGCTCTTGTTTTACCTCCCTGCCCATTTAGGCGGGAGATTACATCTCGCTTTCTCTCTCTGTCTGCTGCTGGGTGTAGACCTGTGCTCTTTGGACTTGAGAACGAGGGTACTGGTGAGTGATTACATGAAGGGGGACTCCGGGAGTCTGCATTTGGCTCGCTTCTTCGTAATCACGCGCTCCTGAAGGCTCTGTTTAAAATTCCAAGCATGGAGCTGCCTCTGTTCGGAGTACGGGTCCTCTCTGAGATCACAATCAGCAAGACAGGAGGGGAGAAATCAACCGGGGGAAGGAAGGTTGCCTGGGGACCTCCCAGCCAGCTGGCACTGAAGGTGCTGGCGGGTGGAAGGCTGAGAGAATCTAGACTGGCCTGCTTAGCAGGTGTGTGGGGAGTCTTGAAATCAATATATTTTTATTTAGAGGAAGGAAGAGGGAGAGAGAGATAGAAACATCACTGATGGGAGAGAATCATTGATCAGCTGCCTCCTGCACGCCCCCTACCGGGGATCAGGCTTGCAACCCGGAATCAAACCTGTGACCTCTTGGTTCCTGGGTCAATGCTCAACTGCTGAACCATGCCTGGCTGGGCCTGCAGAGGCCATTTTTAAGAAGGAAGAGAAGAAGGACTTTCTAAGAACACAGACCAGCCCCAGACAATTCAATGGCTGGGGCCGTACCTTCCGTCTTTGGACCCCAAAATTTCACATACTCTCCACAAAATGCACGTGCTGCATAAGGAAGTTTTTTGTTTTTTTTAAAGGCAGAACTGCTAAGCAACCCCCAATTGTAAACCCTTTACATCTCTTATTAAAGGTACATGCCCTTTAATAAGAGATGGTGAGCACACGTGATATACTTTTGTAAGAGAAGAGGAGATACAAAAGGAATTTGCAAGTAACATGCCTAGGTAAAAGTGGTAACCTCTGTCACTCACGTGACAGTGTCCGACTGTGTCTCTCTGTAAAATGGGTATATTTATAATTCTGGTATTGCTAGTGGATAACTTTATACCCCATTCTCAAGGTATTGTCTCATTCCCAAACTTCCACACTTTTTCTTAAGAAGGGAATGTGTGAAATGGGTGAGGGAGGTAAAAAAAGGACGATTTCCAGCTAGAAGATAAATAAGTCCGGAGCAATGTGTAGCACGGTGACTGAAGTGAACAGTACTGTACTGCATATTTGAAAGCTCTTAAAAAAATACATCTTAAAAGTTCTCATAAGAAAAAAATTTTTTTAACCATGTATGGAGATGGAAGTTAATGAGACTTATGGTAATCATTTCACAATTTGTACAAATATCAAATTATGTTGTATTAGACACCGAAGCTAATAAATATTACATGTCAATTATCTGTACTAATAAAAGGGTAATTTGCTAATTGGTTAGGATTGACCAGACGTCTTCCATATGTCTGACTTCCTTCTGGACAAAGCCACAGTGGCAGGGGCTGAGGCAATCAGGCCGGTAGTGAAGCAATTAGGGGGCAACCAGGCCAGCAGGGGAGCAGTTATGGGGTGACCAGGCCAGCAGGGGGCAAGTTAGGGGGCGATCAGGTCTGCAGGGGAGCAGTTAGGGGGCAACCAGGCCAGCAAGGGAGCAGTTAGGAGGTGACCAGGCTGGCAGGAGACCAGTTAGGCAGGCAGGCGAGCAGTTAGGAGCCAACAGTCCTGGATTACAAGGGGGATATCTTTTTCTTTCTTTCTTTTTTTTTTTTTACAAGGGGGATATCTGACTGCCAGTTAAGGCCCCTGCGGGATGAATCCTAAACTGGCAGTCGGACATCCCTCAAGGGGTCCCAGATTGGAGACGGTGCAGGCCAGGCTGAGAGACGCCCCCCTCCTCCCGTGCACAAATTTCATGCACCAGGCTGTAGTACCTCAATAAAGAAATGAATATTAATTGAAAACTTGGTTAGCCTTTATCCTAGGTAAGTTTGGCTTTTGGCATAATTAGGGTCATCAGGGTTGCATATTATTCATCTTCCTTTTTTTTTGTTGTTTAGGGATTACCACCAAGTGTTGCACCTTACTATGAAAACCATGGGTACCAGCCCGAAAACCTGTACCCGCCACGGCCCCCTGTGGACCCCAGTGCCTACACGGTGTATCCAGCTCCCTACTACCCGCCCACCGTGCCCCAGTACACCCCCAGGGTCCTGACGAACACCTCCACACCCGCCGTCCGCACGCAGCCCAAGTCCCCATCGAGGAGACTGTGCACCTCAAGTAGGAACCTGTTTTGCATGCATTTCCTATCCGGGAACCCACGTGTGGGGTCGGCCTTCTCCAGTGGGCTCTCTGCTCCCTTCAGCTCCGTGGCCATCTCTCCTCGGCTGGGGGCTGGGCTGGGTAACAGGCCTTTCCCCTCCCGCTTCGCCCTGCCCTTCGCCCTGCCCTTCAGCTGCCAGGTGTCACCTTCCGGCCCCAAGCCTCTCAGAGTACACGGGATATTCTTGGACTCAATGACTGTGTTTGCTTGAGCAACAGCCACCAGTTGGTATTTCCCATTGAAGCGCCATGTGTACACACCTGACAGGTTAGGTTTTGGAGAATGAGGGTCAACAAGCCTGTGGTGCAGGCAGCTGACACCACACACAGGAGGGCTGAGTCCACAATAGACTGAGTGGATGGCGGTGAAGGTAAAGGGGCAGTCAGTTAGAATCACACTCAGCAGCACCTACAGCTGCACACAGCACTCTGGACCGAGCAGACACTGGTTCCAAAGCCCTTGTCCACCCAAGGTATGGCCAGGGCTGTCCTGCCCGCATGCTCCCGGCGAGAGCCGGGCAGCATGCCCGCCGCACACTTGGGAGGCCGAGCCTGCCCAGCTTAATATTCCATCGCTCGCCGGGCAAGCGGTGTTTTTCTTAGATAAAATGACACACATGGAAGTCGCCCAAGGGAAATGCTTATCCTCAGCCAATGGGGAGGACTGGCCGTTTGGAATTTACCCAGAGAGAGCGGCCTCTCTCGCTCCACTCTGCCTGCCCGAGACGTAATCCCTGTGGGCAGCGCGGTGATAAGGTGGCAGGGTGGCACTTGGCCTCACAGCCAGGCCTCCCTCTGCCCATCTGCATGGCGATGAGATCTCGGGTGGCCCCCAGGCTCCCAGGTGATCCTAAGCCGGTCCCAGTTCACAGGTTTGAGAGCAGGCTGTGGAATGCGCAGAATGTGGTAACAAAACAAAACGCGAGAGGCGTGGCCTTGCGCCCTCCTCCAGTGGGTCAGCTCCCGCCTCCGCTCCAGAGCTGCACTGGCCTGGCTGACTTCCAGAAGCGCTGATGTGTGCCTCTGGGTGCACCGGGTCTCCCCACACCACCCCTCCCCCCCAGCCGGGTGTCCTCCTGAATAAATGAGGGGGTCGGAGGGACTGCCACCCTCCCCTCCACCTCCACCTTCCTTCCCACCAAAGCTCCCCTAGGAATGGTGGGGTGGGGTGTGGCCCCGTCCGGGAACCTTTGCACAACTTCTGGCTTACACCCTGACCTACAGTTTTGACTAGAGAGCATTGGTTTCCTTTTCCAAAGTCTTAAAAAATATATATATATATTTTTTTATATATATATTTATATATATATGTTTATGGATTTTTTTTTTAATTAATTTTTAAAATATAGTTTATGGATTTTTTTTTTTTATAGAGAGGAAGGAAGAGGGATAGAGAGTTAGAAACATCGATGGGAGAGAAACATCGATCAGCTGCCCCCTGCATACCCCCTACCGGAGATGTGCCTGCCACCAAAGTACATGCCCTTGACCGGAATCAAATCTGGGACCTTTCAGTCAGTAGGCCAACGCTCTATCCACTGAGCCAAACCGGTCAGGGCTATTTTTTTATTTCAGAGAGGGAGAGGGAGAGGGAGAGGGAGAGAGACAGAAACATCAGTGAGGAGAGAGAATCATTCATTGGCTGCCTTCCCCTGTGAGAAAAACTCCTAGGATTATTGAATTTCCAGTCGGGGGGGTGGGGGGGGCTTGGCAGGGCCAGAGCAATGGTTTCGGGGGTCTTATAAGGCCGTGGGCGGACGCCCCACCCCTGCTTCACATCATGCTTTCTGCTCCAGCATATGTTTAGTGCTGGGGACCAAGGAAGACCTCCCAGGATATGCTTTTAAAGGTCACATTGTTAAGTGCCCGATGCACTATTTCCCGATGTGTGATGTTATAAAGGTAATGGATAACATTTAAGAGCCTGAATTAAAAACGCCTCCTTAATGAACCGTGCGCCTGTTCTCTTCTCAGAGACGAAGAAGGTGCTGTGCATCGCCGTTGCCCTGCTGGCCGTGCTCGCCGGCGCGGTGGCGGCCGCACTCCTGCTCTGGAGGTTCAGTAAGTGGGGAGCTGCCCCCAACGCGGCCGGAGAGGGCGCGATTGAGGCCAGGCGCTGGGTGCTCTGCTGGCGCTGGGGCTGGGGGCTGGGTGCTGGGTGCTCGGCTGGCGCTGGGTGCTGAGGGCTGGTGTTGGCACTGGGTGCTCTGCTGGCGCTGGGGCTGGGTGCTGAGGTTGGGGCTGGCCCTGGGTGCTGGGGACTGGGGCTGGGCCTAGGTGCTGGAGCTGTCCCTGGGTGCTGGCGCTGGCGCTGGGGCTGGGGCTAGGGCTGGGGCTGGCCCTGGGTGCTGGGGCGCTGGGTGCGGGGCTGGGGCTAGGGCTGGGGCTGGGGCTGGGTGCTGTGGCCCTGCTCTCTGGGTCAGGGCTCCCCTCAGCCCCTCCTGGAGTTTCCCTCTTACACAGCGAGCTGCTTCTCTTTGCTTCCGTCCAGCCGGGCGATGCATGGATACCCACTTTTGGAAGCAGGCAGCCTCCTGGTCTGGGTTGCGTGCTTCCTCCTAATCTGAGGAGGTCACAGCCCCGTGCCGTTTCCGTGGTGTTGACATTCCACGTTTACCCAGCGGCTCGGGCACCAGGTGCCACCTGGCACCCTGCACGCAGGCTCCCCGCCCCGGGGCCCACCTTGGGGCCAGCCTGTCCTCCTCCTGCCCCCAGGCCTGTCCCAGCAGCCGAGGGCCCGGGGAGTCACCTGTGGGGAGAGAGGGCGTGGAGCCTGCCCAAACCCAAACCCAAGGCCAGAGCCATTCCTCCAGCCGTGAGAGGAGCGTCACTAGCGTTCTGCTTTGCTGGCCTGCAGCCCTGTTTCCTTTCTTTCCTTCCTTCCTTCCTTCCTTCCTTCCTTCCTTCCTTCCTTCCTTCCTTCCTTCCTTCCTTCCTCCCTCCCTCCCTCCCTTCCTTCCTTCCTTTAAGGATTTTAAAAAATATATATTTTATTGATTTTTTCAGAGAGGAAGGGAGAGGGGTAGAGAGTCAGAAACATCGACCAGCCGCCTCCTGCACACCCCCAACTGGGGATGTGCCCACAACCAAGGTACATGCCCTTGACCGGAATTGAACCCGGGACCTTTGAGTCAGCAGGCCGACATTCTATCCACTGAGCCAAACTGGTTTCAGCTTGTTGTGTTTTTTTTTTTGTTTGTTTGTTTTTGTTTTAATTTTTTATCCTTTTGTTTGAGAAAGAAAAAGAAATATCAATTTGTTGTTCCACTCATTTATGCATTCATTGCCTGACTCCTGCATGTGCCCTGGCTGGGGATCGAACCTGCAGCCGTGGCTAAGCAGGACGACGCTCTCACCTACGGAGCTGCCCGGCCTGGGCTGCAGGCTGTGCTGTGCTCTTTGCTGTGAGCAGCTAGGACACCCCCTCCTGATTAAATGAGGGGGGGCCGGTTCTTCCCCTTCGCTGCGTGGGGCGGGTGACACTCTGGTGGGCGAGAGGCAGGCTCCCTGGCTCCTGAGCCTGACGGGTGTCCCCCTCCCGTCCCTCTGCTAGCGGAGAACAGGTGCCTGGTGTCCGGGATGGAGTGTGGCTCCTCGGGGACCTGTGTCAGCGCCTCCCTCTGGTGTGACGGGATCCTGCACTGTCCCAGTGGGGAGGACGAGAACCAGTGCGGTGAGTGGGAAGCTGCACGTGGCTGGGGACTGGGCACCAGGGGTCCACCGTGGCCGGGGTCCACCGTGGCCAGGTCCACCGTGGCCAGGTCCACCGTGGCCAGGGTCCACCGTGGCCGGGGTCCATCGTGGCCAGGTCCACCGTGGCCAGGTCCACTGTGGCCAGGTCCACCGTGGCCAGGGTCCACCGTGGCCAGGGCATGATGGCTGCAGGCCATGTCCATTACATCATGAGTCCCTACCTGGGGCCTTGGGTTAACCCCGATTTTCAGATGAGGAGACAGGCTCCAAGGGGGTGTGCTCCTCACTCTGCATCGCACAGCGGAGGGAGGGACATGACAGGGTCAGTCCCCGTGACGGGGCACACCCACTCCCACCTGCCACACGGCAGGAAAAGTGAGCAGCTGTGCGCAGTGTGGAGCTGAGCGCACTGTGTTTGTGGCTGCGAGAGGGCAGTGAGGCCCGGCTCCCGAAGCTGGGCTAACGTCACTGGTACCCAACCCAGAGTCAAGGCTGGCCCTCTGAGCCGGTCACGCTTCACGCGGTGCACGCCAGGAAAGAGTGGGCATCCTGGTCATCCTCCTGCCGCCTGGCCTCCTCGCAAGCGTCCCTTCTTGCTCGGCCTCGCTTCCATGTAGACTCACCATGCGTGTACACATACTCACATGCCTGGGCCCCGCTGGCCTCAGCCGCCACATGGTTACCTGTGTCCACAGGTGAAGGCCTCTGCCCGGAGCTCCCCCGGGGAGGATTTGCACTGGCAGGTGGCGGATCCCTCGTGGAGAGGAACTGCCTTCTTGAATCTCGGAGTTCGGGGAAGGGCGGGGCCAGCGCAGCCGGGACGATTGCCTGAGCCTCATGGGCCTCTCTCTCTCTCTCTCTCTCTCTCTCTCTCTCTCTCTGCAGTGCGCCTCTACGGCCCCAACTTCATCCTGCAGGTGTACTCGTCCCAGAGGAAGTCCTGGCACCCCGTGTGCCACGACGACTGGAGCGAGAGCTACGGGCGGGCAGCGTGCCAGGACATGGGCTACCGGTGAGTTCGGGGCCCTGGCCTCACGGCTGGCGCTGGGCACCATGGTTCTCGCCGCCCCTCCCTGGGCGTGCCAGCAGGCGGCACCGCTGCCCACCACAGCACCCCTGCTCCCCTCCGTCTGTCTGTCTGCGGCCACCCAGCCCTGCCCTGACCTCCATCTGCTCCTGGTGACTCAGGACCGTGCTGAGCTGAGGTCCCCAGGGCTGGGGCTGGGGTGCATGGGGAAGGCTGGATGGGGAAGGTCAGCAAGAGCAGACCCTGCACGCCCTTCAGGGCATGCACGTGGGCGGCAGTGAAGGCCACTGAGTGTGGGAGCACTGATCCCCAGATATAGACGAGAGAGAACACAGCCCCAGGGAAGGAGGGAGAGGAGAAGGGGAGTCCCAGCCAGGGTTCTCAGAGCCCCCAGGGAAATGCTGGGCAGCCCCTGCCTCCTTGAGCCACGGCTGTGTGGTTTGATTGCCACTGTCCCGTGTGTGGGGGTCCCCGGGAGGCGTCTGTGGCATTCCAGGGGGTTTTCTGGGTGGCAGGTTTCAGAGTGAGCCACCACGTGATAGAAACCTTGGCAGCTTCGCTAATGACATGCTCCCGTGCCATCCCCGCTGCAGGGCTGAGGGCATGGCGAAGCCCCCGTCACGGCCCGGGGCCTGGGTGAATGTGTGTCTAACGGGCATTTTAGCTTCCGTAAATTTTGTTAGGCCGCATGCACGTACGCATCCCTTCTCGTGTCTTTGGCCTAACCCAGGGGTCGGCAAACTCAGTCCACAGAGCCAAATATCAACAGTACAACGATTGACATTTCTTTTGAGAGCCACATTTTTTTTAACAAATATATTTTATTGATTTTTTACAGAAAGGAAGGGAGAGGGATAGAAAGTTAGAAACATTGATCAGCTGCCTCCTGCACACTCCCTACTGGGGATGTGCCCGCAACCAAAGTACATACCTACCCTTGACCGGAATCGAACCTGGGACCCTTCAGTCCGCAGGCTGACGCTCTATCTACTGAGCCAAACCGGCTAGAGCGAGAGCCACATTTTTTTAAACTTAAACTTCTCCTAACGCCACTTCAAAATAGACTCGCCCAGGCCGTGGTATTTTGTGGAAGAGCCACCCTCAAGGGGCCAAAGAGCCGCATTGTGGCTGTTGAGCCGCAGTTTGCCAACCACGAGCCTAACCCAAACTAGATTACAAACACCAACGACCTTCAGGTTACCGGGTCCAGAGAAGCTCACGCCGATCCCCGGGGCAGTGTGTGAGGCTGTTTTCCGACGTGTTGAGGCGGCCCTTGTCATCTCAGTGTCATGCCGGGGGGCGTGTTAGCACGGTGTTTGTAACCGCTGGCGGCCTAACCATCCCTTTGAGTGCGACGCTCTGTCTTTTCCAGGAACAGCTTTTACTCCAGCCAGGGCATAGCGGACGACAGCGGGGCCACCAGCTTCATGAAGCTGAACACCAGCGCCGGCAGCACCGACCTCTACAAGAAGCTGTACCACAGGTAAGGGCGGCGGCCGCTCCGCCCTGAGCCGGGCAGCATGAGAACCAGGGCGGGGGCGTCAGGGGCCACACCGGCCCGGGTCTCACTTCTGAGCTGCCATCGCGGGCTGGGCTGATTCTCATTGCGGGGAGCATGGGCGCCGGGCAGGACCCCCTGCCCCGAGCAGCTCTGGCTTCGTTCTGGGGAAGGTTTATGTGCCGTGTGGCTGTGCCCTATGCCCTCGGCGCCATCAGATGGCATTGCAAAGCTGAGAGTCCACACTCGTTTCCTCACCATCTGGATATTAGAGCTGTCAGGGGAGGTCTCTAGAAACAAAGAGAGCGCCTTGGGTCCCTGCAGGGTGGCTGGCCCTGCTTGCCTGGCATCTGGCTGGTTTTAGCGCTGACGTCCTGCTTCCCGGAACCCCCGCAGCCCCAGGCAGCCGGATGGTCAGTCCCAGCCCCACTCCTGGGGTCACAGGCTGCCCTGGGAGGGCCCGGCAGCACCCCCCTTCAGCCATCATTTCCTGTACCGCCAGGCTGACTGGCAGCCCTGGGTGGGTCACAGTGTGCCCTGTGGGTGGTAATGAACCCAAACACCAGGTCACATGATCCCGGGTCACATGGTCAACAGCTTAGCACAATTGTTGGCAAACTCATTAGTCAACAGAGCCAAATATCAACAGCACAGTGATGGACATTTCTTTTGAGAGCCGAAAACCGACTTCTGCTCCTGGGCCACGAAGTTTTAATCGCGCTGTATGTGGGTGCCCGCACTGGTATTTTGTGGAAGAGCCACACTCAACGGGCCAAAGAGCTGCATGTGGCTCATGAGCCGCAGTTTGCCGACCAGTGGCTTAGCTGGGTAGGAAGGTGGGGGAGGGGTGGGCGGAGCTTGGCGTGCATTTAAAACGTTGACAGTGTCCCCAGGTGGGTCATTGTCTGGTGCTCTTTAAAGAGACACAGAGTCCTTTGTGAAAAGCTTCCCCCAGCTGCCAGGTCCTCTCTTGGCCCAGGTGTTGCCAGCCGCCTCCCGCAGGCCAGGGAAGGCTGGGTTAATCACGCTGTCCCTCTGTCCGGGAGTGGGAGGCCGGAAGCAGGTTTGCATTCCTGGTGGCCAATGGCTGAGGTGTTTGGGATCCGACTTCCTCTGGAGCCCGGCTGTCCCTGGGAATGGGGCAGGGTGCGCCCCAGAGGCAGGCTGGGCCGGCCAGGTGTGCCCGTCCAAACAGCGGGCTGCGGTCGGCCCACCGGGGAAGCCAAACACAGCTGCCTGTGCCTTGGTTCGTGCCGAGTGCCGGCTGTGCCCCTGGGTGACCGAGGCCGGGGCTAATGGGGCCGAGGGAAGGCGGAAGCTGCCACCTCACCTCTGAGCCCTGGAGCTCAGGAGGACCAAGGCCTCGGAGGGGGGAGAGAGGCATTGACCTGGCTCTCGGGGTCTCTGCGTTGGGGGTGTGGGGGGGTGTGTGGGAGGACTTCGCTTCTGCTCTCAGAAGCTGCCCTTTGTTATTGTGGACGAAAAAGGGGTCGCACACTACACCCCAGGAGCTCAGGGGAGGCCTGCGTGGTGGCCTTGCAAACTCAGACTGGACGTAACCACATAGGATGTGGGGACTGAAAACTTCCTAACCAAAACTGAGCCGTGGTGGTAGTCACGGCCTAGGCCGGTATTCTTCTTTAACAAAGGTCAGTCTTGGCCTTCTCGGAGCCTGTTGTCTTTTTTGCATCTGTAATAACATAATTGATAACCTACCTTTGGAATAGCTAAGTAATTTCCTCCCCCTCCCCCTCAAAGCACAGTCGGAGTGGAAGCCACAGCCCCCTCATTGTTGTACCATGTTAATCGCTGACTGTTAACTCTCCTGCACACACCTCTGTAGGAGAAGCATTGATCATCAGAAGGTGCATGCTTACCCTCAAAGCCATCCTATGAGTTGGTGCTGTTATTAGCCCATTCTGCAGGTGGGGAAACCGAGGCACAGAGGTTACGTAACTTGCTCCAGGTCACCTGGCTGGGGTTTGACCCACTTTCGGTGTCTGCTCTTCAAGGAGCAGGGGCTTGCTCTGGATTGGACGCTGGCAGGAGCCGAGGGTGATTCTTGGGTTGACATCTCGGCACGTTTTTTTCTGTCCATCATTTCACTTCTTATCCAATCCCAGATGTTTCCTCACTTTGCTTTCTCCCGCCTCCGTAACCCATCACCAATGGATTTCCTGTAACCGCTATGTCTCCTCCTTTGGCTGCGATATATAAAATAAGCAAAATCCATTGCGATTTTGTTTCCCCGCAATTGTTGCCAGTTTGGCTCCAACATACTCATAAAAACACCCGTGCAGGTTTGGGCATTTCTTACGTTGTCGGTCTTACGTCTGAGCCGCTAGTGGGGTCCGGAATGGCCGCAGCAAGCCGGAGGCTGATGGCTGCACAGCGGGGGTTCGATTCTTAGAAAACACCTTTCCTTGGGAATGGGCTTCTCGGCCTTGCCGGTGTCCCTCAGCCAGGACGGCGAGGACACGCCGTCGCCCTTGGCACATGAGTCGTGTGGGCAGGAAGGTGTTGAAAGCGGCTTACAGGGTTTAGGCTCGTGTTGGGTCATTTTGGGGAAGATTCAAAGGAGCAGAGGTTTGCTCTGGATTGGACGCCGGCAGGAGCCGAGGGTGATTCTTGGATTGGCATCTTGGCACGTTTTTCCTAGAAGGGGGGTGTCGTGGGCCGTGGCCAGCTGTGAATGCCCGGATGTCGAGGCCGCCTCTCTCCTCCCCAGCATTTAGGAGGAACATTCGCTATACACCAGGACGCTTCGGTTACCTTTTTTCCACCTGTAACCTCAAATGTTTACCTTCCAAAGCAGTAACTCTTGGTTGTTGTTGTTTTTTTTTCTGCTCCCAGACAAATAATGGCTTGTATTGTTTTCTGTGTGATGAATGTGAAGCAGTCATAGGAAACCAAAGTTTACAAATGGCCCCCTTAGTTTAAAAGTAGAGGCTGATTTAAAATCCCAGAATAGCCGAAACCGGTTTGGCTCAATGGATAGAGCGTCAGCTTGGAGACTGAAAGGTCCCGGGTTCAATTCCGGTCAAGGGCATGTACCTTGGTTGCGGGCATATCCCCAATAGGGGGTGTGCAAGAGGCAGCTGATCGATGACTCTCTCTCATGGATGTTTCTAACTCTCTATCTCTCTCCCTTCCTCTCTGTTCAAAACCAATAAAAAAAATATAAAAAAATAATAATAATAAATAAAATCCCAGAATAGACATAATGGGCCCGTGTTGCTGCTGCGAGCTTGCCCTTGAAGCCATCCTGTGCTGTGATTAGCCCATTCTGCAGATGGGGAAACCGAGGTGCAGGGATTACGTAACTTGCTCAAGGTCACACAGCCACTATGGGTTTGACCGGTTTGACCCACTCTTGGTGTCTGCTCTTTACCACTGCCCTCTGAATGGATGTATAATACTTTCCTGATCCAAGCTTTGGTCACGGACTCCACCCCACGTCTGGGGAGGCAGGGGAGTGAGAATGCGGGAGAACATTCTGAGCGTTGTGAGAGTCGAATGGCTCATCTGTGTGACCACCATTGTCTTTCTTCTTTCGTAGCGACGTCTGTTCTTCAAAAACGGTGGTTTCCTTACGCTGTATAGGTAAGTGGGCCTTGGTTTCCCTTTTTGGTCCCGTGTTTTCGGACATGGGTCCCCTGTGTCTGGGAGGGTGGAGAGAGAAGGGGGCCCCTCTGAAGCCACCCTGAGGTGGAACGGGAAGCCTGGGGCTGCCCCTGCTGTGTTTGGGTTACTTCTGCTCACAAACCTCTTAGCAGCAGGGAAGGCTCGGCCCTGGGCTCCGCTCAGGGACGCCCCGTCCTGTTCCTTTACCGCCTCTCGGTCCTGGAGCTCAGCTGACGTTCCCCGGGGCCTGGCAGCAGCTTCCCAGCCCCCTGGGCAGAAGCTTCTGTAGTTACCAAGGGAGCAAGCTGCCCGTCCCGCCCTCCGGCCCGCCAGCACCGGTGGGCAGGTGACCAGCATCAGGCGGAATCCCTCCCTCACTTGGTTCTTTGGTTGTGGGCCCTGAGCATTCAATCCCCCTAGCCCAGTGGTCGGCAAACTCATTCGTCCCCAGAGCCAAATATCAACAGGACAACGATGGACATTTCTTTGGAGAGCCACATTTTTTAAACTTAAACTTCTTCTAACGCCACTTCTTCAACATAGACTCGCCCAGGCCGTGGTGTTTTGTGGAAGCAATTTTCACACTCAAGGGGCCAAAGAGCCGCATGTGGCTCTGGAGCCGCCGTTTGCCGACCACGGCGCTAGGGCTCAGGAGATCCAGGGCCTTTGTCACCCAGGACCCACGTGGGTGTCTGGAGTCACAGTGGCAGTCTAAGAGGTGCATGGAGAGTGATGGGGTGTCCCACATCCCTCCACCCTAAAGGGGACCAGGCCACGCTCTCCCAAAGCCAGATCCCAAACAACCCGGAAAGAGAGGTGGGAATCGCCGTCCGCTCCGCCAGCCTGGCGGGGCCTTGGGGACGGGTGCGGTCCGGGCGCAGGGTGGCCCCGATCCTGCTCACCGGCCTGCTCTGTCGTGCTTGTCGCTTCCAGAGTGCGGGGTGAACTCGAAGATGGGCCGGCAGAGCCGGATCGTGGGCGGGTCCAGTGCCGCCCCGGGGGACTGGCCCTGGCAGGTCAGCCTGCACGTGCAGGGCGTGCACGTCTGCGGAGGCTCCATCATCACCCCCGAGTGGATCGTGACGGCCGCCCACTGCGTGGAGGAGTACGTTCCCGGGGAGCGGGCTCCTGCGCGGGGAGGTGGGGAGGTGGCCCCTTCAGGCTCCCGTTTCCCTGTGTATAAGCGGGGCTGTGATGGCGCCCCCTCCGTCCCTGGGGGGGCGGGGTCAGATGAGCCAGGGCACGTGCTGCCCGTGGCCACGCCCACCCCTCAGCAGGTGTGCACTGGGCGTCCGCTGAGGGCAGGGTGCTGGGAGCAAGGACGCAGGGTCGGGCTGGGTGCCACTGGCCTCTGCTGCCCTCGGGGGAGCTCTGGTCTCTGGACGGCCGTCCTGGGAGAGGCCACACTCAGACACACTCGGAGATCGCACACGGCCCTGCCGGGAGGTTCCCCGTGGCCTCACACAGGTTCCCACACAGCCAGCTGGGAGGGGCAAATCAAAGGGATGATTTATGGCGTTAGCTTTTATGGAAGATACTGTCCCCTCTCCCCCTTTTTTCCTTAAACATAGAGTTGTTGTTATTGTTTTTAATATATTTTTATTGATTTCAGAGAGGAAGGGAGAGGGAGAGAGAGAAACATCAATGATGAGAGAAAATCATTGATCAGCTGCCTCCTGCACACCCCCCTAATGGGGGTGGAGCCCACAACCTGGGCCTGTGTTCTTGCCTGGAATGGAACCTGGGACCCTTCAGTTCGAAGTCCAACACTCTATCCACTGAGCCACCCCGGCTAGGGCTTAGACATGGACCTTTTTGCTTACGTGTCGATTTTGGAGAAAAACTCACTCATCAGAGCTACAATATTTCCCGGTTTAGCGTGAGGCTGGGCCTGGCTCGGCTGTGTGGCCTCGGGCGGTGCACGCAAGGTGTCTACACATGGCAGGTGTGTGGGAAACGCCCAGATAAAGCCGAGGGCTATGAATGTGTCCCTGCACATTCATAAAGCACCTACTGGGTGTCAGGAAAGCCCTGGCACGTCAGGGGAGGTAAGACCCGGTCCTGCCAGAAGCGAAGTTTAAAACCTCCGAGAGGCAGGTAGGTCCGAGACCCAGTGTTTTCGTTAATGGGAGGGTCCAGGGGCTGCTGCTGGAACTGCCGGAGCCCCGGGGCCCAGGACTCAGCCCGGAGGCAGAGGGGGGTAGGAGGCGGGCAGGTGTGCAGGTGGGGCCGGCCCGAGGCGGGGACTGGGGAGGCCCCACACCTGCTCGCCAGTCGCCCTGGCTGTGGTGGCCCTGTCACCGCGGGAAGCGTGCCTCCAGCGTAGGACTTCCGCTCGCTGGGTGCGTGTTCCGCGCTGCCGGCTCCGGGATGCTGAGCCGTGCTCACCTCTGCCCGCCAGGCCCCTGAACCACCCCCGGAACTGGATGGCCTTCGCGGGAATCCTGAGGCAGTCGGCCATGTTCTACGGAAACGCGCACCGCGTGGGCAAGGTGATCTCCCACCCGCACTACGACTCCAAGACCAAGAACAACGACATCGCGCTGATGAAGCTGCAGACGCCGCTGACCTTCAACGGTACGCGCCTCCGTCCGCGGGCCCGGGCGGTGAGCCCCTGACCCAGCGGGAGGGGCGGCTGGCTGGAGAGAGAGCCTGGGCTGGGTCCGGGGAGGCAGGGGTTGGGGGCGGAAGGGTGGCTGACAGGTGTGTGCTCGGCAGAAGCCAGGCCCCCTGGAAAGGTGCCGTGTGGGCGAAGGAAAGCAGTGAGCACCACACTCTCCTCCGTGTCTGGGGGGCAAGTTGACCAAAAGGGAGGGGGTTCCACCCCAGCACCATGGGCACTGGGGGCCGGCAGGTTCTTGGGGGAGGGCTGTGTGCACTGTGGGCCCTCAGCAGCACCCCGGCCCCTGCCCCCCTAGATTAAGGTGACCAGACGTCCCGCTTTTGGTGGGACAGTCCCGATTTTTAACAATTTGTCCCGCATCCCAATTTTTACAACGCCCCAGGGACGCGGGACAAATTGTTAGAAATCGGAATTGTCCCGCCAAAAGCGGGACGTCTGGTCACCTTACCCTAGATGCCAGGATCTGCCTCGTTGTGCAGGCAAAGGGGTCCCAGGACTTCGTCAGACGCCCCTTGGGGCAGCGTCACTGCCCGAGAGGCCAACTGCCCTCTGGCTTGTAAAGATGCTTCCGTTCTCCACGTTATTCCGGAAATCAAATGCTTTAACCCAGTGGTCGGCCAGCTCATCAGTCAACGGAGCCACATACCAACAGGACCACGATTGAAATTCCTTTGGAGAGCCAAGTTATTTTAAACGTAAACTTCTTCTCACGCCACTTCTTCCAAATAGGCTCACTCGCCCAGGCCGTGGTATTTTGTGGAAGAGCCACCCTCAAGGGGCCAAAGAGCCGCCTGTGGCTCTCGAGCCGCAGTTTGCCGACCACGGCTTTAATGTAATAACAACTTAAAAGGATAGGAAAACAAACCAACATTTATTCTTTCGCTTCTTAATTGGGCCCCAATCTGGCCCATCCAAGGGTCCAGAGCCCCCTAGCGCCCCCTCTCCCCTTCTTCCCTCCCCCTTCCCCGGGGAAAAGACATAAAACCACACCCCTGCCCTCCAGGGGCTTGCCTTCAAGTCAGGAAGCAGCGCAGGTGGAGGCGGGTCCAGCCCAGCCCCCGGGAGCTAGAAGTGCCCGCCAGCCCCCTGGCCACTGGCAACTGCCACAGTCTGTCTGTCTGTCTGACCGTCTGTCCCTTGGAGACGCTGTGCATTTGTCATTTCTGTTTCTTGAGGATTTCGTTTGAAGGAAAGTTAATTGTGTGTGTTTTGAAGCAGAGCTAGCCAATCATTCCACTTGTAAGTCGCACAACTGCGGGAGGCGAGCGTCCGCCCGTGGGGAGGAGGGCGCCGGTGGGGGCAGGAGGCGGGGTGCCAGGGCCCACTGGCACCCGCACTGTCCTGGGGCAGGACGGCCCGCCGCGGGACACGGGGAACGTCAGACCAGTCGTGCTCACAGCGCTTTTCCCTCCTGACACAGACAACGTGAGGCCGGTGTGCCTGCCCAACCCCGGCCTGATGCTGGAGCCCAGGCAGGCCTGCTGGATCTCCGGCTGGGGGGCCACCTACGAGAAAGGTGAGGCTCCGAGCTCGGCCCCTGGGCATGCGGTGGGAGCCCGGGGTTCAGTCCCGGGTCTGCTTGGAGGGGCGGGTGGCCATGGGCGGTTCGCTCGGGCTCTGTGCCTCAGTGTGACCAGTGTGACCAGTGCATGGAGGAGGGTGTGGGGTGCAGAAAAGCCGGTTTGCTTACGGAGGGAGACAGGAGCTCCTGGCCGGCGGGGGGCCGGCGGAGAAGAGGGAGCGATGACTGGGGCAGGGTGAGCCCGCAGAACCGATGAACCGAAGTTGCTGAGTGATGGTGAGGGCGACTCTGGAACGTGGGGTGCAGGGGAAGGAGATGGCGGTGTGTGTGTGTGTGTGTGTGTGTGTGTATGTGTGTGTGTTTCTATGGCTGCAGGGCCAGGAAGTCTTTCCCCTGAAACCAAAACCTTGCTGAAACCGGTTTGGCTCAGTGGATAGAGCGTCGGCCTGCGGATTGAAAGGTCGCGGGTTCGATTCCGGTCAAGGGCACGTACCTTGGTTGCGGGCACATCCCCAGTAGGGGGCGTGTAGGAGGCAGCTGGTCGATGATTCTCTCTCATCGTTGTTTCTAATTCTCTGTCCCTCTCTCTTCCTCTCTGTAAGAAATCAATAAAATATAGTTTAAAAAAACAAACAAAGAAACAAACAAACCACAGGTCTCCCTTTAAAAAACAAACAAACAAAACCTAGAGCTGCAGGAAGCGCAGGCCGGCCGGCTGCAGGGGTGACCCAGTTCCCCGGGAGGCGGGGTGGGAGGTGGGAGGGGGGGGGGGGGGAGGGCCTCCTGTCCGTCCCCCGTGGCCTGTCTGTCCCCCGTGGCCTGTCTCCAGGAGGGACCCTCCCTCCCATGGGAGCCCGGGCTGCGCTGACGGGCCATGACCCGCTCTGTCTCAGGGAAAACGTCAGATGTGCTGAACGCGGCGAGGGTGACCCTCATCGAGCCGGCGCGGTGCAACAGCAGATTCGTCTACAACAACCTGGTCACGCCCGCCATGCTGTGCGCCGGCTACCTGGCCGGCAGCGTGGACTCCTGCCAGGTGTGTGCCGCTGCCCGCTCTCGCCCGCCCCACCGAGCCCGTGAGCTCCGTCCTCCCGCTGGGAGAGGAGGCTCCAGGTCCCTGGGGTGGGGGTTTAGGTGAGCCACGTGTCCCCGGAGCAGAAATAAGGACGGGGCTGCTTTAAGATGCAGACGCCCGTGGACGTACTAACTCTGAGCTCGTCTAGGCTAAAATGCATCGCGGGTGCAGTCTCTCTGGGGGATTCTATGACTCTTGCCCAGTGGTCGGCAAACTCATTAGTCCGCTGAGCCAAATAGCAACAGGACAACGATTGAAATTTCTTTGGAGAGCCACATTTTTTATTTTATTATTATTTTTAATTTTTTTTATTAATTTCTTTATTGATTAAGGTATCACCTATTTGTCCCCAACCCCCCATTCCAATCCCCTCCCCCACTCATGCTTCCACCCCACTATTGTCCTTGACCACTGGTTAGGCTCATGTGTGTGCACATACGTCCTTTGGTTGAGAGCCACATTTTTTAAACATAAACTTCTTCTGACGCCACTTCTTCAGCATAGACTCGCCCAGGCCGTGGTGTTTTGTGGAGGAGCCACACTCAAGGGGCCCAAGAGCCGCCTGTGGCTCGTGAGCCGCAGTTTGCCGACCACGGCTCTTACCTATTGGAAGAGCTAGGACACCCTCACACCCCCTGGGAAGTCCCACGGATTCGCCCAGCCCCGGTGCAAGGCCGTGGCGGGGGCGGTGGGGGCCTGACGTCTGCTCTGTGCGTGCTTGTCCCCAGGGCGACAGCGGCGGCCCCCTGGTCACGTTGAAAAGCAGCATCTGGTGGCTGATCGGGGACACGAGCTGGGGGTCCGGCTGCGCCAAGGCGAACAGGCCGGGCGTGTACGGGAACGTGACGATGTTTACAGACTGGATCTACCGACAAATGAAGGTGAGTTCCCTGTCCTCCGGGCTCCGAGCTTGGGCACGTGTCACAGCCCAGGTGTCTGTGAGTCGTGGTCCCGCTGTTGGGAGCTGAGGGCCACCCATACTGTCCCGTCCCCCCCCCCATTCCTCCCCCCTCCTGCCTTCGTGTCCACCCATCACTGCTGGGGGCCTCCCTGGCACGCAGCCCAGGGGGCGTGGACGAAGCAGCCGGCAGGGCTGACTTCACCCGGGGCCGTGCTCTGCTGACCACAGTCCCGGCTCAGCTGGCTCCACCTGCCGGCAGAGAGCACAGGGACGCAAACCAGCCAGTGGAGCCGGGACGGTGCCCTCTCCTTTTCTGGGCCATCGAGGGCACCCCGGGCAGGTCCCCCAGTCCGGGGTGAGGAGCAGCTGGGGCTCCGGTGCACACAGAACGGAGGCGGTGAAACAGGAGGTCCCAGGGGCTCCCTGCCACCTGCCCCCGGGACTCCCGGCCTGACCCCGCTGCTCAGCGGAGACCTCTTCCCCGCATTGCCCGGGTCCCGGGCGAGGGCCAGGTCCCTCTCCATCCCGGGGCCCCTGCCAGTGAGAGACGTAGTTCCTCGTTGTGTCCTCCCAAGTCTCCAGTCTGGGGAGGGGGACAGGACCCCAGGGCATTGTCTGACGTGGCCCCCAAATAAAACCAGAGGCCTCATACCTGCTAGTGCCCACAGCGGCTGTCCAGTCCGCACCCGGCAGAGGGCCGAGAGCTGGAACAGGACGTCCAGATGGGGCTCCCGTGGAGGGGAGCCAGGCCCAGGGGCGGGCTGTCTGCCGGGTCTGTGAGAGAGCACACCGCACGGTGTGCAGGGCATGGCCAGGGCTCAGCGCCCGAGCATCGGGTGGAAGGCTGGTGCAGGAGAGGCCACGGGCAGGGAGCCAGGCGGTTGGACACCGGTCTCTCTGTGGCCGTGTGGAGCGAGTTTCCCAGCCAAGGCCTGGGTCCCGGCTCTGCTGAGCGGTTTGCTTCCGCACACACCCGGCTCCCCGCTCCCTCCAGGCCCGGGCACGCCTGGTCCTCGGCCCAGCTGCCCGCCGCCACGGTCAGCTCAGTCCTGACCTTCGTGCGTGCGGAGACCACGTCCCTTTGTCCTCTGAGGTTTGCTCAGCAGGTGTATCCGCGCCTTGTCAACCTAGAGTGAGAAAAAAGTTTCCTATTTGTGTTTATCTTAAGGAAATAACGTCCTTTCTGCCCTAACCGGTTTGGCTCGGTGGATAGAGCATCCGCCTGCGGACTCAAGGGTCCCAGGTTCGATTCCGGTCAAGGGCATGCACCTTGGTTGCGGGCACATCCCCAGTAGTGGGTATGCAGGAGGCGGCTGATGGATGATTCTCTCCCTCCCTCTCCCTTCCTCTCTGTAAAAAATCAATAATACCTCAATATATATATATATATATATATATATATATATATATATATATATATATATGTATGTATATATGTGTATATATATATGTGTATATATATATATATATATATATATATATATATATTTTTTTTTTTTTTTTTAATAACCTCTTCTTTTCCCCTTTTGAACAGGCAAACAGCTGATCCGTCCGGCCTTGTCCTCGACGCCGGTTGACGAGGCAGCGAGGGGCTGGTTTTCCCTCTCTGTGCTGGTGTTTGTGAGCGATGACGCAGAGGTCCTTTCGTTTTGATTAAACCGTGAACTTGTCCGTCTCTGGCAGTCTCCACAGTGCTGATCAGGCCACGGTGGCTCCTCCCCGGGCCCTGCTCCCCGAGCTTCTGTCCAAAGGGGGTGACCGCCCGGGCGGGCTGGGTGTGTCGTCTCCGGCCAAGGGGCAGAGGGCTGGAGCCTGCCTCCCCGCATCTTCCTCTGAGCCCGTCCGGGGGGTGCCCTGGGGCTGGTGACCGCTCAGCTGTGGACGGTTAGAGGTGGGAAGGGTGCCTCCCTCTGGGCCTCTGCTAGGGAGGCCGCTGGGAAGGCCGGGGCCCGTCTTCCCACAGGCGTTCCCACTCACCAGGTCTGACTGACTTCGGAGCAGCCCCGGGCGGTGGCTGGAAACCCAGGGACCCGCCCTTCATGGGGGGGGGGGGGTGACTTGATGGTCCCTTGAAGGGGCACGGAGACCTTTTTTCTTCTTGTGAGGGAGAGGGCCGACAGGGCCCTTGGAGCCTGCAGCCATTAAGACTAATCACGGGAAATCGAGGTTCCTGGGGAAATCAGGGATGTGTGATTCAGCGGCGCTGTCTGCCCGCACCGTCTCCACGTTACCGCTACCTCAGTGCGCACGGAGGCCCCACGGGGACGCTCCGGGCCATCGCCATGCCGGGCCCCCGGACCTGTGGGCCTTGCCGAGGGGGAGCCGCGGCCAGGAGGAGCCGCCTTCCCGGCACCGGCGCCCGGCCTCACACTCCGGGAAGGCGTTCGCTGAAGAGCAGCACGCGCTTGCGGCGAAGAAGAGGTGTCTTTTGGACTCGGGGTGCGGCCCCTCCCGGACCCTGGGGGTCCCCTGGAAGGAGGGGCCCCGCTGGACCTGCTGGGGAGGCCAGTGCGCAGCCAGCACGCTGGTTTCCAGGAACAGAAGGATCCATCTGCTGGGACTTGACCTTGGGGGGCAGGTTGTGCTCTTCTCAGGATGCTCGCTCCTCGGCTCCCGGGGCATCGGCGTCCGGAGGTCTCCCAGGCCCGCGGCACTGAGGCTCCCGGCTCCTCTCGGGGAGCGCCCGTTCTTCCTTTCCTCCTATTTATGTGACCCCCCGTCTGTCTTGTTTTGTATCCTTTTTTTTTTTTTTTAACTGTAAATTGAACTGTGAAATGTTGTACAAATAAATTATGCTCTTTTTCCAAATATGCATTGAGTCTCCGGCGTCCCACTCTCCCCCGGCTGAGGGTTTTCTGCTTCGTGCACAAACGCGCTGCTAGCGATGAGTCGGGGTTACGCCAGGGCTCAGCGAGTGGGCCAGTTCACACAGAAGGGGGTCAGTGTGATGGCTGAGTCCATGCCCAAAAGTGTCCACGTGGGCAGCAGCGCCAGCCCTTCCCGGTACGGTTTTCACCTGGGATTCACCTGTGAGAGGTTTTCCTTGGGGTGAGGCTCACTCCACTTTGAGGTGTAGCCGGAGTGCCGAGACTAGGGACATACAGATACGCGTGTAGTCATACTTCTATAAAGAGAATTAAGCCCTGGCCAGTTTGCTCAGTGTTTGATTCTGGTCAAGGGCATGTACGATACCTCAGTTACAGGCTCGACTCCCGGCTCTGGTCCGGGCACATGAGGGAGACAACCAATCAATGTGTCTTTCTCACATCAATGTTTCTTTCTCTGTCTCTCCCTCTCTCTTCCACTCTCTTTTTTGCATTTGTGCTGTTCTTTTTTTAATTATTATTATTATTTAAAGTATTACAAGTAGTAGTACATATGTCTCTCTCTCTTTTTTTTTTCTCCCCCCAATTGACCTTCCCCCAGCCTCCCTGACCCCTCGGCACATGCCCTCACCCCCTTTCCAGTCTTCTGCTCTGTCTTAAAAAAAAAAAAGAAAGAAAGAAAGAAAGAAAGAAAGAAAGAAAGAAAGAAAGAAAGAAAGAAAGAAAGAAAGAAAGGAAAAACGTTTGGGGAAAAAAAAGCAAGGAAATTGATTTGCTTAATATAAAATGACCCAGAAGACTTAGGAAAATGTAAGCATTAATGAAAGTGCATAATTCGAGCCGATCATTTTGTTGCTTCTTGCAGATGGGTCCGCAGTCAGTGCCCTGCGTGGGTTTCCTTCCCCACCCACTTTACCCTCCCCTCCACCTCCCGCTGCATTGTCACAGGGCCAGTCCTATCTTACGCTCCGGTCGGATCCCATCGCTCTCTGCTTTGGGGTCCCCTGGTTTCCCAGCCCCAGTTTTCCAGCCTTTTCCCTTCCACCCAGCCCTGCCTCCGCAGCCCGACTTCGCAAACAGCCACAGGTCCCAGCCCCACAGCCCTCGGCTGCTGTGGGTGCAGAGGGGCCGAGGCGAGCCTGAGCGCCCTCTCCCAGGCTCCGGTGTGGTAGGGAAAGGCTGGAGTGAATGATACTTCTACAGGAGCATTTACGAAATTCACCCCCGTGCCCTCGACCTCATTGTAAACCAATCGGCTCCGTGACTAGTGGTGCTCCAGCCTTCGCTTGCTGGGGCCTCGGAACCTGACCTCACCCTTTTCCTGGAGGGAACAGTGAGGTGGGGTCTGACCCCTGGAGGCCAAGGCGACCCCTGGCTGCCCCTCTGCTGCTCCGGCTGCTGCTGGGGAAGGACTTGCCCCTCAGGCTGGGTCCTCTCCTCCCCAACACACAGGGTCCCTGGAGCCCGCCCAGCCTGCTGGGTGCTTCTGGCGTGGCTGTGCGTGGGAAGGGCAGTGATGACGCAGGTGCTCCACGTGGCACCTTAGAGGGCAACCACACACCTAGGAAGTCCTGTGGACAAACACTGGTGTCTCCCAAGCCGCCCTCCCTCCCACAGCATCGCCAAGCCCCTGCCGCCGGCCAGACCCTGCGTCCAGTCAGCTCTGGTCAGTTCCTTTCTCTCCAGCCCTTCATCTCGCTCTGCTCCAAACTCAGCCCCACCCCACCGGACAGCCGAGCCCCGAGGAGCCTGGAGTGAGGGCCCACGAGTGGGCATCGTTGCTATTTGAGCACATCCTGGCACGGCTGAGGGGCCTCCAGGCCGAGCTACAGTGTGGGCAGCGGGATCTGGGGATGTCTGCCCTCAGGGGTGTGGGGCAGGGCTGGGGGGCCTCCGGGGCGGTTCAGCCCCTTGCCTGAGCCCTTCTGCTCTCAGTAGGACCCCCCACATGGACTCCAGCTACGTCTTCCCATGTCCTGGCCACCGGGGGGGGGGCGGTGAGGGACAGTGCACTCCTCCCCGTTCAGATCCCCGGACACCTGCTCTTTTTGGCCAAAAGGAAAGAGACTGAGTCCTTATCAGATTTACCCTCCTCCCCAACCCGCTGGGTAGTCTCCCATCTGGAGCACAGACCATCAGCTTTCTTCCTCCGCCTTCTGCGGGACAACCAGGGAAATTACAACCGCAAAGAACCCTGGGCAACGCTGCCACCTGTGCCTCTGGTCCCCAGGTGTCTCTGCTCAGAGGTAGTAACTCCTGGTACTGGAGCAGTTACTCGAGCCGGCCACCAGGAAGCGCCAGCTCCCCAGCTCCGAGGGGAGAAGCTGGCCCAGTCTCCTAAAGGGACACATGCCTAGAACTGGACTGGGAACGTGAGCCCTGCCCGCTTACCCTGGTTCTCAGAAAAGTCTGTGCGCACTGATATGGCCTTCTCTTTAAATAGGACTCATGCCGGCTCTTGGGAGCCCTCCATCCTGCATCAGCCTGCAGACAGGGGTTTGGCCCTGAGTGAGGCACCAAGGTGCTGCCTGCCCATGGTCTTGGCATGCCCTCTTGTGCATAAATTCCCAAGTTGTCCCAAAGCAGCGAGGAGCTCGGAGTGTCCGGAGCAGCGGGAGGGGACAGCGTAACCAGCTCACGCTCTGGCCCTGGCCAGCGGGTGCCCAGCCTGGCCGGAAGCCCTCCTTCTTGGACGCATTGGCAGAGATGCTCCTGCCGCGCATGCTGGTCGTGCAGAGTGGGTCTCCCTGAAGGGCATCCGCTCCCGAGTCCTCCTCGGGCAGCTGGCTCCCACCTCGCCGCTCTGCCTGTCCCCTGGCCTCCCCGCTCTGGGCGTGAGGCTCAGCTCCCTTCCGAGGACACGGTGCGGTCCTTGTGGGACCTGCCCGCCTCCAGCTCCAGCCCGTGGCTCAGTATCCTGCCCAGAGCTGCGGGGCTGGGTGTCTGTGAGTGTCCCCACTCTCTCCCGGGTGAGACCAGGCAGCAGGTCTGGTGATCCGTGGTCAGCAGTCCCACTGCTGCTCCCCGGACCATGGCCACGGCCAGCCAGTGCCTCCGCCCTCTGTGCCACCTCCCGGCCCAGCCTTTATCTTGAACTCTAAGCAAGTGCCCAGGGATTTTAACAGTCGGACACCGAACCAGGGCACATTATCAGCAGCTAAGGCTGCTGGCTCCACCCTGTTTCACTTCCTCCCCATCTCCCCTCAGCCTCTTAAAATAACCAGACCATGAGCTTTGACTCCACTTCCTCATCCCTACACCTGGCCCAGCTCCCCGCGGCCCCACCTGCCGTCATTTCCAGGCCCTCCCCCCACATGAGGAGAGACATCAGGGAAACGTCTGTTAGAAACGTTTATTACAAACGAATGAGGTATGGCTTCTACAGCTTCATGCATCGGGCACTCAGGGTCCTAAAGCACCAGGCGCGTGAACGGGCACGGGAGAAACCGGGCACCAGCCCTGCTCCGGTGCTCAGGGGCGTGGGTCCCCGAGGAAGACGGCAGAGAGCCAGGGAAGGGGAACCCTGTGATGGGAAGATCACCGCGTCCCTAACCAGGAAGGCGGTGCTGGCCCCCCATCCCAAACCACACCCTTCGCGAGGGCGGGTCTCAAGTCTCCCGCTGGCGACCACATCTGGCAACCACATCGCTCACCGTGGCTCCCTCCTGGCCCCTCAGCTCCACAGGGATGAGCTCGGGGACTAACGAAGAGGACCCGGGAGGCGGGAGGCTGGGACGGAGCCCTTAGCCCGGGAACTGGGCCAGCCGGCGCCGGGCCTTGGTCAGCCGCGCCAGCCGCTCCTTCAGGAACCTGCGCTTGTCGCTGGTATCGCCGCGCTCCTTGAGGAGCCAGCTGTACTTGTCCTTGTCCTGCAGCAGCTGGAGCATGGCCTTCTGCAGCTGCTGCCCGTTGGACTGCAGGACGAAGAACTGGATGATCAGAGGGATGTGGCTGGACAGGCGTCGGCTGGCCTCCTGCAAGGGACCAAGGGACGGGTCACAGAGGGGCGGAGGGGACACTGGAGGAAAGTGCCCCCTCGTGACTTTCGCCCCGTGAGCACCCGTCGGGACCGGACCCAGCAGGTCTCGCATCGCTGTGCCCCGGGCAGCGAGAGGCCACACAGGTCCCTGCAGCGCGGAGGGCGCAGCTGGGGTCAGGGGCCAGCTGGGCTCCCGCTGGCTAGTCCTAAGACAATGAAAGGGCCACTTCTGACGGGAGACGGTCAGAGCAGCTCCAGAAAGGCGGATGGGGGACACGTTCACACTGTTTGCACCTTGGCCCAGAAGACTCTATGCTGTTCCTTTAAGTCCCCATGAGGAGCTGTAGCAGAACAGAGGCTGGGCTACCAGCAGCCACAGGAGGGCCAGTTCCAGGCAGGTTGGCTGGTAGTCCCAACCCTGCTCCCCACCCCCACCCCACCCGCCCGTGAGGGGAAAGTTTCTCTTTCCGAGACAGGCGATCGCTCCGGCAGCTCAGAGAGACCCGCACTGAGCAAGCGCTGTGACCTCCCAGGTTCCTTCCCTACAAAACGCCAGCACCGGCCTCCTGGGATGGCTAGGAGGCGACAGTGTGGAAAGATGCCAGGCGTGGAATGAGTCCAGAGCAGTGGCTCTCAACTTCCTAATGCCGCGACCCTTTAATACAGCTCCTCATGCGGTGGTGACCCCCAACCATAAAATGATTTTCGTCGCTACTTCATCACTGTAATTTTGCTACTGTGATGAATCGTAATGTAAAAATATGTGTTTTCCGATGGTCTTAGGCTCTACAACCCATCAGCCAGTTCCTAGAAACACATTTTTTCTCTTTAATTTGTTGTTTGTTCTTGTTAATCCTCACCTGAGGATATTTTTCCATTGATTTTTAGAGAGAGCGGAAGAGAGAGGGAAAGACAGAGAGGAATATCGAGGTGAGAGAAACACATCGGTTGGTTGCCCCTGCAGGAGTCCTGACCAGGGCCCAAGCCGGGGAGGAGCCTGCAACCAAGGTACATGCCCTGGACCGGAACTGAATCTGGGACCCTTTGGTCTACAAGCTGATGCTCTATCCACTGAGCCACACCAGCCAGGGCTAGAAACACATTTATTTCTTTACCTACATCTACCCTATTGGTTCTGTTCCCTGGTACAACCCCAACTGATACACCAGAAGTCTCATTTATCCTCCAAACATGAATTCCAAGCACTGCAACATCCCTGTGCTGGTAGAAGACTGGAAACACACTATGCCTGCAACAGCACACGTCCATAAAACGGGAGAATCTGTTGCCATGGCAAAGAATAAGGCAGCATCACAGGAGCGGGAATGGGGCCATCTCCAAGGTCCAGTAAAGGGGGCAAGATGCCAAGCCGCACGCTCTGCTAACCTCGGTGCAAAAACCATTTGCATGTATACATACATTGCGCGCGTACACGCACACACACATGCGTGCACACACGTGTACGCTGTCCCTTGGAGGACACTGAGGACCTGGAAGTCTGTGTCCGCTGCTGCTGGGGAGGGGATGGCATGGCTCCAGGGGGGGGAGAGGGAGGGGAGACCCACTCTCCATGTCACTCTCCTTTATGGGTTTTGTGCGTGTGCACGAGAGACAGGGGACAGACAGAGGGTACGCTTCGCTGCAGGAGGAGCCAAGGTGCACAGGCATGCTTCTGCCTTGCCCTTCACTGGCTTCACTCACGTGTGTGCACCTCCCAGAGGACACGGAGTTCCATCCTGGGGTGAGAGCCCAGCTGCTGGGGGCACTGCGTCCCCCTGGGAGCGTGTTAGAGATGAGGAATCTGCCGAAACTGGTTAGGCTCAGTGGATAGAGCATCAGTCTGTGGACTGGAAGGTCCCAGGTTCGATTCCGGTCAAGGGTATGTACCTTGGTTGCGGGCACATCCCCTGTAAGGGGTGTTCAGGAGGCAGCTGGCCGATGTTTCTCTCTCATCGACGTTTCTAGCTCTCTATCCCTTTCCCTTCCTCTCTGCGGAAAATCAATAAAATATTTTTAAAAAAAAAAAAAAGAAGAAGAAGAAAAAAAGAAAAGAAATGTGGAATCTGGGCCCACCTCAGACCTGAGATCCACCCTGCATTTCAACAAGACCCCGCCCGGGGGTTCAAGTTTGAGAAGCAGGGCTGAAGAGGGCCTCCTGGGAAGGCACATGGACATTCTTTAAATTTGAGACACTGTCAGAGTCATGTCTGGGTAACACCGCCTCAAGAAGGTGGGGTGTGTGGTCAGTTCTGACTTAACTTTGTCCCGGTGTCAGCAGGGGTGGGTCTAGATTAAGGTGACCAGACGTCCCGCTTTTGGCAGGACAGTCCTGATTTTTAACAATTTGTCCTGTGTCCCGTGGTGTTTTAAAAAAGTCCAAAAGAAACTTTCCAAAAATCGGGACTGTTTTGAAAGGCTGCGGGACGCTGGACAAATTGTTAAAAATTGGGACTGTCCCGCCAAAAGCAAGACATCTGGTCACCTTAGTCTAGATATGTGAATCCAGTGATGCTAGGGCCTAGTTAAGAATGCAAATAAGCTCCCTTGACCCTATAAATAAACCTGCTGCATGGCTCAGGTGCTTGCTGCCTCTCCATCAGAGAGAATGGCGCCCACCTAGCGCCCAGCTGGATGAATCTATTTCTGCCTCTTGGTCTCTTTTTTCCTTTAATTTCTTAATCCCCAGCTCCTGCACTCAGCAACCTGTTTTTCCTTTTCCGTGATGGAGATGGACGTGGAAAAGAGAGAAACACCCCCCCGCACAGGGCCTCCAGCACAGGCGCAGTGGGGAGGGAGACATGGGGAAAGCGAGGGGGATAATGTGCTTTAGGTGTCCGGGTTTGTACTTGTCCTGCAGTTCTCACTAAGGTGGCTCAGCTGCCGTGTGCAGCCTTCCCAGGGCGAATCAGGCCCCGCTCCGTGTCATGGGAAACACAGAGAAGCGATCAAAGCACAGTTCTCCGTGAGCAGCGTCTGTCTGTGGAGCCGCCGTTGTATCCACGGCTGCACTAAGGGAGTTACACCCACTGCCCCTCCCCCTCCCCCCCCTCCCCGGGAATAGTCACTGGAGACCTATGAGGAGGTGCCATTTTACAGAGAAGAAAGCTGAGGCTCAGAGGGGTTAAGGGCCTTGGCCAGGGCCACACAGCCAGTCACACACAGACTGATGAACAAGAGCAGACCCAGAGATAGGAGCCATGGGTCAGACTGTGGACCTCAGAGGGAGGATGGGGATAACAGGAAGAGATCAACCAAAGGACTTGTGTGCATACATATGAGCCGAACCAGTGGTCAAGGACAATAGGGGGGTAGGGGCATGAGTGGGGAGTGGTGGGAGATTGAAATAGGGGGGGGGGAGTTTGAGGACGAATATGAGATACCTTAATCAATTAAGAAATAAAAAAATTTACAAACAAACAAAAGAATGGAAGCATAGTCTGGCCAGTGTGACTCAGTGGTTGAGCATCAAACCATAAACCAAGAGGTCACTGGTTCGACTCGCCATCAGGGCACACACCCAGGTTGTGGGCTTGATCCCCAGTAGTGGCATACATAAGGCAGCCAACTGATGATGTTTCTATCTCTCTATCCTTCTCCTTTCCTCTCTCTCTAAAAAGCAATAAAAACATAAAAAAAAAAAAACAAGCAAAACACACACACACACACACACACACACACACACACACACACGGTGTGAGCGGCTCTAAGTCACTGCCTCTTCTCCTCGTCAGAGGCTGAGCTGCTTCTATGGAGGCGAACGAAGGGCTGAAGGATAGAGCTGGCTGGTGGGTACCCTCCCGAGGCAGGAAGTCAGGAAATGAGACAGAAAGTATCTTTCGGAGACATGCGCAGACTCACCAGGCGGTAGGCCATCAGGTGTTGGAGGATTTCGGAGAGGGAGCAAGTCAAAGGGTCCTCTTCAAAGAAAATCGGCTCCTTCTTCTTCTTCTTCTCTTCGGCTTCCTTATCTCGGATCTTTTCCAGCGCAGTGCGGTACGCCTGGTCTTGGCAGTAGACAATCTGCTCCATCTGGAAGTGCAGTCGGATGGACTTCTCCGCTTCTTTTTCTTGTTCTGACTTAATGTCTTCAATTTTGGACTAAGGCGCAAGAGACACACAACACGATTTCCCTCCAGAAATCAACTCCCGGTCCTAGGAAACTGGGTTATCCACAAGGGCCCCCCACCCCCCAGCTGGCAGGTTCTCCAACCGGAATGAAAACAGCACGCTGCTCCGGGGGCAGCCTTCTGCGCCCCGCCTCGGCTTACCTAAGATGGGGTTCCCACCCCCCACAGAGGCCCAGAACTCCTGAAAAGCCTGAACCCCACACATGGCCAGAGCCCGAGGACTCGGCCTCTTTGGTTTCTCTTTTCCTGGCCTTTCCATGTGGTGAGTGTCTACCCATCAGAGAGCCCCCGGGGTCAGAGGGATGAGCTGACGTCAGTCAAATCCTCTCTCCTGGGACTCAGAGAAACTGGCGACCCGGGAGCTGGGACGTCTTCACACAGAAGGCACCTGGACCCCCACCTCCCTGAGCGCCAGGAAGTGGGGGGCACTGCCAGGTGTGGCCTCAGGGTTCACAACAACCTTGTGAGGAGAGGAGGCAGCTGCAGGCCAGGCAGGCTGAGGGGCGGCCGTGACCTCCAGCTACTGCACAGCAGAGCTGGCCTTCCCGTCTGTGCTGCGTGCTCGGGGCTGGATGTCTGTGCCCCCCAAATTCATACACCGACATTCCAATTCCAACGTGCTGGGTTTGGAGGGAGGGCCTTCGGGAGGTCGAGGCCAGGAGAGTGGGGTCCTCAGAAAGGGACTGATTAGTGTCTTTAGTGGGATTAGTACTTTTGAAAAAAGAAACGCCAGAGGTTTCACCCTTCCCTCATCTCTCTCTCTCTATCTCTCTCTCTCTCTCTCCACCCTTCCCTCATCTATCTATCTATCTATCTCTCTCTCTCTCTCTCTCTCTCTCTCTCTCTCTCTCTCATTGCTTTTAGCCAAACTTCACTGGTCATATAATGAGCATGATTCACTAATAGACTGCATAATCTGATTCTCCAAATAGAACAGTAAGGTTGCAACGGTCTGAAATCCAGGAAGCCGAAACCTATTTTCTAGCATCAAGGATTAGTTATTTCCTTTTTAAACAAATGTTTGGTTTTACCACGCAGGTTCTTAAGAGGTTGAAGAACTCCTCGTAATTTTTCATGCAAGCATCTGCGAAGGCAAGCCGGACCATATCTGATTAAAGAAAAATGAAAGGCCCAGTATTGGTGGGATCATTCATCATCTTAATAGACTGCAAAAAAAATAAGAGGATAAAATGACAACAAAAGTGCCCTCCGTCCCTCCCTCCTCCCTCCTCCCTTCTCGTGTTTTCACTAAAGGAAGAAGGAGTGCTTTTTGGCTCAAGAGCTCCCTAAAAGAATCTTAAATATATATTTTTTAATGATGTCAGAGAGGGAGGGAGAGATAGAAACATCTATGATGAGAGAGAACTACTGATTGGCTGCCTCCTGTATGCCCTTTCGCATTCCGGGACCCCGTGGGGGATGTTCAGTTGCCGGCTTAGGCCTGATCCCCCTGGGCCTCAGCCGGCACTCAGACATCCCTCTCACAGTCCAGGGCTGTCACAGTCCAGGACCCCGGCTTCTGGCCGAGCAGGGGAGCAGTGGAGGGAGTGTCACTCAATCAGAAGCTGGCTTGCTGCTCCTTAGCGCGCGCGCGCGCACACACACACACACACACACACACACACACACACACTGGTTGGGGGGGGGCAGGCTAGCTGGAGGGAGGGCCGTGGGAGGTTGAGGATGGTCATGCCCCATCCTACCTCTGTGGAGCCCCCTCTCCCGCCACCTCTGCAGCACCGGGACCATCATGGCTGGCCTGGCAGCACAGGCGCTGGCCCTGCCCGCTGGCTGTTCAGGAAGGCCGTTCTTGCCTCAGGGGAGAGCCCGGCAGCCTGGCCCGGCCGGAGGGCACACCCGGAGGACTCACCGGTGACCCTGTGCAGCATCTCCACCGCCGGGTCCTCCAGGGCCTTCACCTGCTTCTTTATGATCGTCTCGAACGTCTTGTAGTTCACAAACCCCGGCAGCTCTCTGCCGCGATACTGGTTTTCAAACTTCCTGATCTGTCTGAGAATGTCCTCATAACCTGCCGAGGGAAGGAAGGGCTCCAAATTATTTTACAAAAATAATGTAAAATTACTTTTTTACGTTTTATTATCCAGTTTGGCTCAGTGGATAGAGCGTCGGCCTGTGGACTGAAAGGTCCCAGGTTGATTCCGGTCAGGGGCATGTACCTTGGTTGCAGGCACATCCCCGGTAGGGGGTGTGCAGGAGGCAGCTGGTCGATGTCTCTCTCTCATCGATGTTTCTAGCTCTCTATCTCCCTTCCTCTCTCTAAAACAAAAATCAATAAAATATATAAAAATAAATAAAAAATAATAATGCTGCAGGCTTCTCTGAACACAGCGCCATCCCGGACTCTCCGGAAGCACAGTGACGCGGGGAAAAATCACATCTGATGTACACATCGGAAACCGACCGGGGGTTGCAATAAGGAAACAGCCCTTCATGTACGCACTCTGGGTCCCCTAGAGTAGGCAGGGGCAGAGCCGGGCACAAGGCCAGCGAGCTGGGACTGCAGACCTGCTGGGATTCTCTAAAAGGTACCGGAGTCTGAACGGTTGTCCGTCCATCTGGGTTGTCACCAAAGTGATTGCATTGGAAGAGAACAGTATGACTGGCAGGGCCTTAAGAAAGTGAGATTGGCCGAGACCGGTTTGACTCAATGGATAGAGCGTTGGCTTGGGGACTGAAGGGTCCCGGGTTCGATTCCGGTCAAGGGCATGTACCTTGGTTGCGGGCATATCCCAGCGGGAGGTGTGCAAGAGGCAGCTGATCGATGACTCTCATCGATGTTTCTAACTCTCTCTCTCCCTTCCTCTCTGTACAAAATCAATAACATATATTTAAAAAAAAAAAAAAAAAAGTGAGATTGACCGTGACCGCCACCTGGAATCCTCCTCATGTGCTGTCGCAGGAGGGGGACCGTGCAGATCAAGGGGGATCCTACAATCCCCAGCATGCAGGGTCCTATTAGTGTGATAGGTTTACTACGTAAAGATAATCACTTTTCTTCATATGTTTAGAATTCTTTCTTAAAAACATGTATCTTTTTTTATTGGTTTCAGAGAGGAAGGGAGAGGGAGTGAGATAGAAACATCAATGATGGGAGAGAATCATGGATCAGCTGCCTCCTGCACGCCCACACTGGAGCCTGCAACTGGGGCCTGTGCCCTGACCGGGAATTGAACCGTGACTTCCTGGTTCACAGGTGGACGCTCACAGGTTGAGCCACGCTGGCCAAGCTGGACTTCTTTTTATTCTCAACATACTCGAGTGAAGAAAAACACCCCAGGGGGAGGAGGGGGTAAATTCAGCAGGACGCTGGCTCCTCGTTGGGGAGAACTAACCAGGGTAGTAGCCCCCGTTCCCTTTCTTGGTCAGGAGATGTTTTCCCATAGAAATTCCCCAAATGAGGATACAACCCGTGCATCGCACAACTCACCCTATGGTCTCAAAGCTGGGCGGCCATCACGGCTATCTAACCCTCCAGCATTCCCACCGGGGCCCCCCGGAACCCGGTGCCCATCGGGGACCGCTCCCACCCTCCTTCCTCAGCCCTGCAAACCACAGATCTACCTGCGGTCTCGGTGGATCTGCCCGCCGCGGACATTTCCCGCGAAAGGAATCACACGACACGTGGCTTTCTGTGTCTCGCGTCCTTCACGGAGCACGAGCCTTGCCGCTTCGGCCACGCGGCAGCCCTGCCGGCGCCCCCTGCCTTGTGCTGGCGGAGTAACGCTCCATCGGGTGGTGCCACAGCCTGAATTCTGTCTCCCCCCGATGGACACCCGCAGCCCGAGCCACCGATGCCACAGCGCGTGGCTGTGGAGGGCGGGCTGCAGAAAGGATGGAGCTGTGGGGGATGGAGCTGGGGGGGGAGGGCGCACACTCACCTCTCTGGAAATTGTTCTCGATCTCCAGGCCCCACTTGCAGAACTCCAGCCGGATCCTGGTGAACAGCCGGCTGTCATCGCCCGCCACGGACTCCTCCCCCTCCACCAATGCCTGGATGTCCTGATTGAACGTGTTGATCCTCTGTGGAGAGGAAGCACGAGGGAAGCTAGTTCAGACGCGAGCGCCGTGGGATCTGGAGATGGTATGCGTGCTGAGGGGGCGGGGCATTCTGGCTGCCTATGGGCCACTCTGGGGAATGGGCACCAGACCCCGGACTCTTCCCTCAAGGCCTTCCGGGTCTGGGTGAGTCCCATGATGAAGAATCAAGGAGCAAGGCAACCCTCCACCCTCCCGGCCCCACCCTCCCTCACCCCGGCCCCCCCTGGCGCTCAGGGGACAGAAAGGAGAGAAGAGCATGAGGCCCGTCTTATGTTCAGGGTGTGACCCTTCAGTGCGACGCCACGGCTACTCACGTCAATCAGGAAGAACATTTTCTCCGTTTCGTCTTCCGGGATGTCCAGGCCATACTTCTGCAGCTGCTCCGTAATGTTCTGCTGGTTCTCCTTTATCTGACTTTCCAGCAGGGGCAGAGATTTCTGGGGGAAACAAAGTCACGGGGACACAGGAATGTGAAACGGGAATGGAAAGAAGGGCCGGGCAGCGGAGGGGCCGGGCAGCCGAGCAGTGCATCGGACCTCCCGGCTCCCTCCAGAAGGACTCTCCTGCCTGGAGACAGGGCACTGCTTCCCTCTCTCCCCCGGGGCCTGCCGGCCCTCCCGCTCCCGTGCAAACAGCCTCGGCCGCCCCAGGCGACCCTGGGTTGGCTCCTGGGCCCTGGAAAAGCCACTTGTCTAGTGGGTTCGGGGCAAGTGCAGTTGGAGCAGTTTGAGATTTAGCTGGTGTTCAAGACGGAAAGCGACCAGGCGCTTGTGTCTCTAGTAACAATCACATGGTGGAGCGCACGGCCGGCTGAGCCGGCCACGGCGACACGTCACCAGCAGCCCTTAACCGTGTCCGTGAGCTGGCAGGCGTTCAGACACCCAGCAGCCAAAGCCAGCTGACCGTGGGCGCCCACGGGTGCGAGGGGAGCCGCAGGGAGGCTCGATGTGGCCTCCAGGGCATTCGTGGGGGAGAAAGCTCGAACCCTGATGCTGAGGCAAAGGAGGAATCCCCGGGGCCTGATCCAGGCAGGCATCTAAGGGAGAGCACCTGCTGTCGACCTAAACCCGGGACCCACCCCCATGCCCTCGTCACAGCAGGAGGCACAGCCTGCCCGCCAGCCCGCTCCATGGAGAGTCTGTACCCACCACCAGCCTTCAGCCAGGTTTGCTCCCCAACTTCTCCCTTGCTGAGGGGTCCCCAAACCTGCAGCCCAGCAGCTAGCACGGCTCAAGCTATTAATAGAAGCCAACGCTGCCTCTCCCTGAAGAGCCCCATCGAACCAAGGCTTCTGCCAGTCCCCAAGTTCAAGACCAAGTTCCAAGAAGCTCAGGCTCCCGGTCACAATTCCGGCCCCAGCCCCTGTGGGGACGGCCCGCGGAACCCAGCACGCTCGGCTTCCGATGCTGGAACATCGAGTTCAAGGCACAACAGAAATGCATGCAAAGGCATCTTCTGAAAGGATGGGAAATGGGAAAGAGCCTGTGCGGACAGACTGGAAAAGCAGCAGAGAAAGGTAAGAAAGGAAACGCGGCCATTACAACTACCAAGACAAGCTGACAGTGGTAGAGACAGTGAGAAAGGAAGAGCCAGAACAGCCCTCAGAAGGTCCTGATTTTTAGTTCGGCCGAGCGGACACAGGCTGTCAAGCATCCCACTGGCTGGGTGGTCCTCTGACATGCACCAGGCATGACCCGGGCCCAGGCCCTCTCTGGAAACGGGGGCTTTCAGGCCACACTCCACACCCGTGGGGCCTGGGCCTGTGTCTCCACAGGCGCCCGGGGGCTCCCTGTGCCCGCTGGTGGGTCAGCGTCGCCAAGCCACAGCTTGGCTGGCTGCTTGTAGGGTTCCGCCCGGAGAACAGACAGCCCTCCCCGTGCTTACACTGATGTGTGCAATGAGCTCATTGGTCAGTCTCTCTGCCAGGCAGGGGATGGTAGCCTTGCCCTCCTCCAGGAGATCCCTGCAAGAGAAGACGGCACACACACGCCCATCTCAGAGCAGCCACCAAAGGCTTTGTGTGGCTGCCTGTAGGGGTCGCGGCACACCCGGTCACTTCCCATCGGAGGAGTGCCCTGCGGTGGGTAGGTGCCCCGCCACTGTTCAGAAGGATGCCTGCTTTTTAGTAAATTCAGATCATCCAAAAGCAATATAGAAGGATCCCTGCCAGTTGATGTATGAAATGTGTCTTTACAAAAATACAGTCGCCTTCAGGTACATTTTCATCACACACACACACACACACACACACACACACACACACACACTCTGTGTGTACCACACATGTAAATATAGTGCATATTGGTAGAGGACTTCCTAACAATATGTTGACCTGTATGTACACAGGTGTGAGGGCGAACGTGGAACCAGGGGACACCGCTTCCCCGAGTCGAGGACTGAAGCCATGGCTGCTTGGGTGAAGGAAGCCACGCCCTCTTCTCATTCTGTCCAACTCTGAGTTCCCAGGGCGAGTTATTTATTACAGGGTTCTGACCTTGCACAAAGGTTAAAAGGCAGGAAAGCATGAGTTGGCATACCTACTAGTGAGATTACACACAAGCTTAAGTTCTCTTTCCACACCTGTCAATTTGGCTAGTTGTCATAAAATTCACATCTCGTAAGACTTACCGTTTTAACCCTTGTTAAGTACACAGTTCAGGGTATGAAGTGCAGTGATGCTGTTGTGCATCCATCCCCACCATCCTGCACCTGAATGTTCCACCTCCTCAAACGGAAACTCTGTCCCCATCCCCCAGCTCCAGGCCCTGGCTCCTGCCATCCTACACACTGCCACCATGATGACTAGGGTCACTCTCGCGACCTTACGTAAATCATACAGTGCTGTCTTTCTATGACCAGCTTATTTCACTAAGTTACTGAGTTACTAAGTCTTAGTACAATGTTCTCAGGGTTCATCCATGTTGTAGCAGGTGCCAGAATGTCCCCTTTCTTAAGGTTAATAGTCCATTGTCTGAACAGATCACATTTTGTTTATCCACTCATCCATCGATAGATACTTGAGTTGTTTCATCTTTCGGCTTTTGTGACGAGTGCGGGCTGTGCTCAGAGGTGTGTGAATATCTGTTTACACACCTGTCAGTTCTGAACAAGACCTCTCCACGTGCTTCTGGGAGAATTGATTGTAATGACATTAGCAATGCGCGTGGGGCTCCACCTGCATGCGCAGGTGTGCACACAGGGGCCTCAACATCCTATAAGCACCTTTCCATTGACATCTTTTGGGCCCGGTACCAAAGCGCCCTGCAGAGGTTGTGCCCGAAGGCTCCCTGGCATGGGACAGAGCCAGACGCCTCCTTTCCCACCAACTCTGCATCTTCTCCGTATTTTAAATCTGGCCGATGTAGCAGTCTTTTCCTTTGTAAAAAAAATTATCTTTGGCCGAAACCGGTTTGGCTCAGTGGATAGCGTGTCGGCCTGTGGACTGAAGGGTCCCAGGTTCAATTCCAGTAAAGACATGTACATTGGTTGCGGGCACATCCCCAGTGGGGGGTGTGCAGGAGGCAGCTGGTCAATGTATCTCTCTCGACGATGTTTCTGGCTCTCTATCCCTCTCCCTTCCTCTGTAAAAAAAATCAATAAAATATGTATTTTTAAAAAATTTATCTTTGAACTTTTAGAAAGATCTCTACCATGGGATTCTAAACTCTCCATCTATAAGCTTCCACAGGTATTTATTTTGGTGTAATGTGAATGCTCAGGACACAAAGTTTAACTTTTCCTCCCAAACATTAAATTTTTTTTTTTCCAATGTCACTGATGAATCATCAAAATGACATGGCCCATGGATTTGAAAGGCCACATTTATCATTTATATCTTACATGTATCTGGGTCTACTCCTGGATTTTCTACGTTTTTTTTTCTATTTGTTGTGTTTATGCTTTTATTCTGGTTCAAGCACCATACTGTTTAAATTATGGTAGCAAGTTCACTCCTTACTTTGATTTTTTTACAAGTTATTATTATTATTTATTTTATTATTATTATTATTATTATTATTATTATTATTATTATTATTTTGCCATGCATGTGAATTCCTCCAGGGAACTCTTTCTTCCAGGGAAATCCCACAGTCGCTCTCCAGGATCAAACACTCACACATACACCCCTGTGTCCGCTTTTGGAAGTGGCAGCTTTCCCAGGAGGACAGAGGTCTGTGGTTAGGGTCTGACCTGGGGAAAGCAGAGGCGGGCGTACCTGAAATAGGGATGGTCCTCGAAGAAGGCCCTCTCCCTCTGCAGAGCCTTGGCCAGGCTCATCTGGTACTGGATGTCCTGCTGGCCCCGGCACTTGACGATCATGTATCCCTTCTTCAGGTGGTAGACCAGGTTCCGCACCACGTCCACGACTCTGTCTTCGGTGCCTCTGTCCACCAGGTCGGGCTTTGTCAGGATCCCTGTAAACCCAAGACTTTCCATGAGGGGATGCTCCCAGCTCCGCGGGAGCCAGGAGGGGTCAGCTCACCGCCTGGGAGAGGAGAGTCTCCTGGCCACCCGCTCCCTCCCAACTTCGCTTGAGGGCGGACAATAGGGCTTGCGGAGCCCAGGTGCAAGGCATGGAACTTTCCATCTTCCCCATCGGACACTCTGTCCCTATGAAACACTGACTCCCCGTTCCCCCCTCCCAGCCCTTGGCAACCCCCATTCTTCTTTGTATCTCAATGAATTTGACTCCTCTAGGAACCCAATATATGTGTTATTTGGCTTATTTCTCCTGGCAAAATATTTTCAAAATCCATCCATGTTGTGGCATGGGTCACATGTCCTTCCTTTCTTCCCACCCTCAAATTCATTGTTAACGGACCTAATTGCTTTCAGGTTTTGCCCCACTCCCTGAGCTCACCGTGCTTTTGTACGTAGGCAGACAAGGGTTAGGAGCCAACTTGTGGCCAACAAGAATCCATGTGGCCCACGCCATCGGGACTCAGGAGGCACCAAACCTGAGACCTTAGTAGTCTCTTCTGCTGGGTGCAGCCCCCACCCTCGCACAGGTGCCAACAAACACCCATTTGGATTCAAGGGATGCTTTCCCACTACCAGACCACCTACCATTTGTAGGTTTGTCCCTCTTCTTACCTATGGTCCTGTCTCCTTCGGGGTCTACCTCCTGGGCCATGCTCAGCGCCTCTGTGGTGGCGATGTCCACGTTACTGGGCACCACCACCAACATGATGGTCTGCTGCCTCAGGATGTACTTCTTGATGAGAGCTGTAATCTGTAAGAAAATGAAAGGATGTGAGAGCTGAGATAGGTCCTTGGAGTCCCAGGGGTATCCTCCCCTTAACACAAGCCTCGTAGCTGTTCCCGAGCCAGAGTTATGAGAAACTAACTTCTCTGTGGCAGAAAGAGCTCTGGGGTCAGGGAAAATCAAGGTTTCCATTCACTAACCATCTCCTAAAACCTCAAACCTGATGGTCACAGAAAACAAGATGCCACAAAAATTGCTCGAGTCTTGCCTAAATCATTAATCCATAGGGTGAGAGTCATTTATATTGAAATATCATTATATTGTTTCCAGTGTTCTCTCTTCCCACGTAAGATCCTTCTCTAATACATGCCGCTTTAGATATGCCACAAAATGTGACTCTGCCTAAAAGTGCATCACTGTAAAAAACACAAAACATAGAAAACCTATTTCCAATTTTGCCTGTTTGCCTCACTCTCTCCAGAGAAGCCTCTACTTGACTTGGTGGAGGAAACTGCAGCCATCGTGCTCTCTAAATTCCCTACGCACACCTCCTAATATCCACCCCTCAACCTCAGCCCTGGATTCACTATTGCTCTAACACAGCCTCCCTCCCCGACAAGACTAAGACAAATACAAGACCAAGACCAAGATGGAGCCTGAAGTTTCACCTGACGTCCGATGTCAGCTGGCTGATTGCCCACAGCGACTCTGGTGATGCCAGGAAGGTCTATCAGGGTCAGATCTGGCACGTGAGGGGAGCTGACCTCCAGATTAATTAGCTCCTGACTGATTCCCACACCTTCCCCAGCAATGACATTCTGGGCTAGAGAAGAAGAAAAAAAGAAAAACCCAATAGCACTTAGGATGAAAGTAACCCATTACAGCGAATCCTCTGAAGGCGACACCTACTAGTCACTTTTGTATCTTCCCCAAATGACTGAAACTTAAGTATGTGGCATGGAAGAAATTAAAGTCAATAAGGAACAGTTATCTATTCATCTCAATCAGAGTAGGCAGCAACTAACTGTGTTACTCCTTAGTCTTTATCAAGTTCAAGTCTGATTTCTACCTTTGGGTGTTTCAAATTGGTCAAATGGTCTCTGTGGTTTACATTTACGGAGACCTTCCATAAATCAGTCTAAGCAAGGATTCTGTAAACACATCTGTTCTGCTCTTGAGGAAAAGACCCACCCAGATTCTCCTTCCATCAGGTCTGTGGAGTGGGGAAGCCCTTGAATAAAAAAGATTCAATATTTGGAGACAAGCTTTACATTTTAAAATTCACACCATCCTCACACCATAGTGTATTACACTATGCAATACATTACTGAGATCAGACTCTGTTCAAAAGCACTGATCTTAATGAGGGAAAAGAACATAAAATATGAGAGAGCTGGGGCCTGATGAGCAGGAGGGAGAGAGAGGAATAGATGGTTCCTAAGGGTGCCAGTGGGCCCCAAAAGGAGAGAGTGGGAACATTGACAGGCAGACCCCGCGCACTTCACATGGTTTGACCTGACATCCAAACAGGTGAGGATGAATGAACACGGGGTACGTACCTTTCCTGATTTCCTGTTCTACCTCCGAAGCGGCCGTAAGATCGATCTCCATGTCCCGGTAAGTGACTTTGCCTTTCCACTCATCATCATCATCATGCCTAAGTTTTCTCAGTTTCAGCACCAGGGGGCATCTTGTAACAATACCTAGGAGGCCAGGTGCATATCAGTTGCATACTCTGCTCTTAAAAGTCCTATATGGTGCCTTAGATCAGTGGCTCTCAATAGTCTCATATAAACTTGGAGCCTGTTCACACTGCTAACGTTCTGGTCTCACCCTCTGATACTCTGACACATGACAGCTCTGGTAGCCTCAGAAATATGCACTGAGAACACACATCTGAGGTGATTTGGGGCTCCCTAATGCTTGAAAGCCACTATTTTAAGTATCTTGCTTCATCCCAGTGTTTTGTCCCCAACTCAGGTGGAAAACAATGAACTTGTGCAAATATCTACCATTATCCCAATACTAGAAGCCCAGTGCATGAAATTTGTGTATGAGGGTTAGGGGTGTCCCTCAGCCCAGGCTGCAACCTCTCCAATCTGGGACCCCTTGAGGGATGTCTGGTGTGATCAGGTCTCAACGGGCAGTCGAACATCTCGCTCACAATCAAGGACTGCTGGCTCCCAACAGCTCACCTGCCTGCCCGCCTAATTGTCCCTAACCACTTTTGCCTGCCAGCCTGATCACAACTAACCACTCCCCTGCCAGCCCAATTGACACCTAACTGTTCCCCTGCTGGCCTGGTTCCCTACCCCCCCCATAATTTCCCTCCCTTGCAGTACTAGTTTCCCCAACTGTCCTCCTCTGCAGGAGCATTCTCCCTCCAACTGCCCTCCTCTGCTGGCCCAGTCCCCCCCAACTGCCCTCCTCTGCTGGCCTAGTCACCCCTAACTGTCCTCCCCTGATCACCCACAACTGCCTTCTCCTGCAGGCCATCTTGTGGCAGCCATCTTGTGTTTACATGGGGGCAGCCATCTTTGACCACATGGGGGCAGCCGTAATACATGTCAGAGCATATTACTCTTTCATTAGATAGGCTACACACCACTCCAGTCAGAAAAGCATCCTGCTCCTACCAGGCCACCTTCCTGTAAACTCCTTCCAAACCCCATCTATCCATCTTCCACATCCAGAGCAGGTCAAGACCCATTTCAGGTCTGTCTGTGTCCATGAGCCCTCGCTGATATCCTTGGTTTTGTAGCTCAAACAGCACCACTGGATCAGAAAACCATTCTTTGCCTGTCCGATGGAGGGTCAGCTCTGGGGAAGGGGCTCAGGAAAGACTCCCACATGCACGGAATTCTGGGCTGGAGACCCATATGCACTTACTCAAGACCTTCCACTTGGTGCAGGTTATGTACAAACCACACAGAATGGTGCAGTAAGTGGGTATTATGGACTGAATGGTGCCCCTCTCAAAATGTACATGTTGAAAACCCCACGTCCAACGTGACTGCATTCGAAGACAAGACCCTCCGTTAAAGAGGTGATTAAGGTTTAAATAAGGTCACAAGGGTGGGTCGCTAACCAATATGATGGCATCCTTCTAAAAAGACGAAGAGCCAAAACCAATTTGGCTCAGTGGATAGAGCAGACTGAAAGGTCCAGGGGTTCGATTCTGATCAAGGGCATATACCTTGGTTGCGGGCACATCCCCAGTGGGGGGTGTGTAGGAGGCAGCTGATCAATGTTTCTCTCTCATCGATGTTTCTAGCTCTCTATCCCTCTCCCTTCCTCTCTGTAAAAAATCAATAAAATATATTTAAAAATAATAAAAAATAAAAATAAATAAAAAGAGGAAGAGACACCACACATGTGTACACACAGAGAAAAGGCCACGTGAGGACTCAATGAGAAGATGGTCATCTGCATGAGAGAGGCCTTGGGAGAAACCAAGCCTGTCTACACCTTGATCTTGAACTTCTAGCCTCCGGAACTGTGAGAAACAAATTTCTATTGTTTAAGCCCCTCAGCCTGTGGTAGCTTGTTATGGCAGCTGCAGCCGACCGATAGAGAGGGCAAGTGCTCACCGCTGCCTCTGGGGAGGGCGACGCCCGACAGCGCCTCCAGCACGGAGCTCTTGCCGGAGCTCTGGTCCCCGATGACAGCGATGGCGGGCAGGGCCAGGTCCTGCTCCACGCCCAGCGCCCGCAGGGAGTCGATGAGGTCGATGCAGGGCCGCACCTTCTCCTCGTACTGGCTGCACAGGCTGGTCTCCAGCGTCTAGCAAAAGCACAATCAGAGAATTCTGTCATGGCTTGCAGGTCATGCTCCATCAAAGATGGACAACTTCAACTTGCCTAATACACAGCTTATTCGAGTGACCAAAGAGAGAAGGAGAGGAACAGGGGGGGGGGGGAAAAGTGAAGAAATGATAGACTAACATTTTCCCAATGTTGATGAAAACTATTAACCCAAAGGTCCAAGAAACTCAATGAACCCCAAGCACAAGAAACATAAAGTGAACTACATCCATCTAGTCCAACTGCTCAAACACAGCGATATTGAGCAAATGGTTAAAGCAGTCAGGGAATGACATGCTACGGACAGAGGAACACAGGTGAGGAGATTTCAGCAGACTTCTCATCAGGAATCATGCAAGTGAGAAGACATTGGAGTGGCACTTTTAGAATACTGAATATACCTTTTAAAAAATGAAAGTGAACTAATGCCTCTTTCAGATATACCACAGGGGAACAAATTTGTCACAAATTCTTCACAACCACAGGAAATGTTAAATTCCTTCCAGAAAAGGAAAACGCACTGATGGGAATCTTCATCTACCCAAAGGAATCTACACTAGAAGTGGTAACTACCATACTTTTTAAATTACTTAAATACATTTAAAAGATATTTGACTGAACAAAATAACAATGCATTGTGGGGTTTATGATATAGGTAAAGCTAAAATTCTTGACAAAAATAGCATGAAGGCCAGGAGGGGAGATATGAGAGCATACTATGGTCAGGTTCTTATATTAGATATGAAATAGTATAATATTCCTTGAAGGTAGACTTTGTAAGTTAATAATGTTTAATAGAGACACTCAGGCAGTTCTACATAATAAGCCAACAAAGAAGGTAAAATAGAATCATAAAAAATACTTGATGAACTTAAAAGAAGGTAGAAAAAGAAGAAATGATAGGGTAAATAGAAAATAAATATCAAAATGGTCTTCTCAAAACCAATTTTTCATACTAACCACCACAACAAATACAAATGGTCTAAATACTCATAGAACAGCCAAAATGACTTTGAAAGTGAGGAACAAAATTGGAGGGCTAACATTACTATATTTCAATAATTGTTATAAAGTTTCAGTAATCCAAACAATAAAATCTATAATAATAAAAGCATAATATACAAATCAACTGAATGACCAAATAGCAGAACTACCATCTGGACATCCTTCTGGACAACCCTGCTATAACACCCACTGGTGCCACCAGCCAAAAGAGGTGTGATGTGATTGGTTGGGGGCCCAGCCATCGCCCGGTGATCGCCTTGCAGAGGGAGGCACAGACCACCAACAGGCGGGCTGCGATGGGTGGGTGGGGCCTCCCTCTGTAGGGGCAATCCATTGTGGAACCCTGGCTAGGTGGGCAAGGCTAACCTCTTTGGGGTGATCAATCATGGGGTTCCCGGACTGTGAGAGGGCACAGGCTGGGCTGAGGGATCCCTCTGATGCACAATGGGGGCTGAGGAGGGATGCAGGAGTTTGGCCACCTGGGGAGGGACTGTGGGAGTGCTCCAGGACACGTCCAGCACATCTCACTCATTGATTGGCCAGACCCCAGCAGCAAGATAACCTACCACTCAACTGTCTCCCCCCTGGTGGTCAATGCACATCATAGTGAGCAGTTGAATGGCCTTAGTATATCATTAGCATATTATGCTTTGATTAGTTAAATGGACACCTGGACGACTGGACACTTAGCATATTAGGCTTTTATTATTATATATAGGATTGATTTTTTACAGAGAGGAAGGGAGAGGGATAGAGAGTTAGAAACATCAATGAGAGAAGAAACATCGATTGGCTGCCTCGTGCACAACCTCTACTGGTGATTGAGCCCACAACCAAGGTACATTCCCTTGACTGGAATTGAACCTGGGACCCTTTAGTCTGCAGGCCAACACTCTATCCAGAGTCAAACTGGTTAGGGCCTCCAAAATGTCTCCAGACTTTGCTACATGTTCCAAGAGGCAAAACTGCCTCGGGTTGCAAACCACTGCCTTACAGAATATGCATGAGTTAAAACTTCGTATATGGGAATACTGACAAAGTTCAGTAGAAAAGGGGGTGCACATTGGCAACAACTCCCTCAACTAACCCTGAGTAGTGCTCTGCTGAGCCCTCTCCTCAGCCTGCTGCTAAGCCAGTTCATCCACAATCCCTCACCTTTGGTAGCTAATTAAGTCCCTCCCTCTCCCAGACCCCTCAATCTCAACCAAGTTTTTGTTAGCATTTCTCCCTCCTCTCTCTCACCCTGCCCGCTGGCTATAAATCCCAGTTGTCCTTATATTCCATACTGAGCTCAGTCTCTCTCCTCCATTGCAATAGTCTTGAATAAAATCTTCTTTGCTATTTTTTTTAAGTATCTAGTGCAATTTTTCTCCATAACAACATTTAAGATAGTAGAATAGCCAAAACCAGTTTGGCTCAGTTGATAGAGTGTCGGTCTGAGGACTGGAAGGTCCCAGGCTCGATTCTGGTCAAGGGCATGTACATTGGTTGCGGGCACATGCCCGGTAGGGGGTGTGCAGAAGGCAGCTGGTCTATGTTTCTCTCTCATTGATGTTTCTAGCTCTCTGTCCCTCTCCCTTCCTCTTCGTAAAAAATCAATAAATATATATTTTTTTTAAAAAGATACTGGTAACGTTGATCATGAAAATGGAGTCAGCTTGAAAGAAACTGATTTGTGGCTTGAAAACATGAGCCCTCTCCTCAGCCTGCTGCTAAGGATCCCTCGTGAGGCCAATTCATGGTTCCCGGAACCCTTCTTGTAATCCTGAATGTCTTAATTCTGAGTCAGATGGATAAGCACAGAACCTTGCTGTAAATTTACTGCCTGAATGTAAAAGCAAGAAAAGCAGCTTTTTCTAAGGGCCCAAACTACCTACACTCACTCCTCTCACCAGCCACCTGGAGTAAATACTGTTTTCCTGCCCTTTGAAGATGGAAAAGCAGGCACCTAGAAGGAGGAATAACCCCAAGGTCAGGCAGCTGAAAGTGTCAGTGTTGGGATCAAATGTAGGCCGCTTGATTCCGGAAACTACATTTGGTTCCCAACACAAACATGTCTTGATTCTGGGGGGGAAAAGACCCCACATGGCTGCCCTGTGAGGGAATGCCATGAGGACACCTCAGAGGGTTGCAGTTGGAGACCGAATGATGACATGAGCAACTGGTAACACAGGGTGCCTGGCGCCCAAGGCCAGGCCCAAAGTGCACCCTACCCAGCATCAGCTAACCAAAAAGTCTACATTCAGTTGCAAGAAGAGCTCAGGCTGTAGCATCCACATCCCTGTTCTGCTCCGAGAGACGCGAGGGAGCGAGCCTCTCGGCCACAGTGGGCAGCCAGGAAATGGACACAGCTCACATCCACATGGACAGTGATTTTCAAGCACAACTTACTGTCTCCACGTTTACCTCTGGCACCACAGCATCTCCATTGGGTGCAGAGGTGGAGTCGGGAGTCGCTGTCTCCATGTTAGAAGGAACCGTCTTCTCCCTTTATCAGTTCAGCTTGAAGCCAAGCAGAGCAGGAAGAACACAAGTCAGAAGCTGGGTGATTCAGTCATGGAGCCGAGCCCACCCACCCCTCTACTGACTGAGAAAGACACCACAGGAGGAGTCCAAGGAAGCAAATGTCCCGTGATGGCCAAGGCTGTGTTCCAGCTCAGTGGTCTACAGAACATGCTTCTAGACCCCAGAAGATTTTTTAAAAATATATTTTATTGATTTTTTTTACAGAGAGGAAGGGAGAAAGATAGAGAGCTAGAAACATCGATGAGAGAGAAACATTGATCAGCCGTCTCCTGCACACCCCCTACCGGGCATGTGCCCGCACCACAACCAAGGTACATGCCCGTGACGAAAATCGAACCTGGGACCCTTTAGTCCGCAGGCCAACGCTCTATCCACTGAGCCAAACCGGTTTTGGCCCAAAAGATTTTTTTAAACTAAATACTTCCTATCATAATATTAGGTTGAACATCAAACGTTTTTTTCACCATGCCCGGCTGGTGTGGCTCACTGGTTGAGTGTTGACCTATGCACCAGGGGTCATAGGTTTGATTCCAAGTCAGGGCACATACCAGGGTTTTGGCTCAATCCCCAACAGGGGTGTGCAGGAGGCAACCAATCAATGATTCTCATCTTAATTACTCTCTCTAAAATTTAATAAAAACATAATAAATTTTTTTTCTCACCATAAAGTTAAATAGTGGCAAAGAATGAAATTTATGATGTATTTTTTAAGTTTGCATTTAAAAATAAAATTATTGTAGAACTCATTCTAAAAAAAACATAGGACTCATTCTAATGCAGCTGAAGGAATCTATGGTAATTTGATACCCAAACCTATCCTTTAAAAAAAATATAACTCCAAGTCATTTATTCTCGATCCTTGATTTCATATTTTCATTCCATTTCTTCCACATAAATATATTCAATGCTATTCATTTTACTTTTGGAAGTATTTAATTGACCACCTCATTTATACTTGTCTGCACACAGGAAACTTATATGCATAAATTTGAAATTCATTTGAAAAATTTTTCTGAGACCACAAGTCTCTAAACATTAAATTTTACACATCCAATAATCTTGGTTAAAGTAAATAAAATATTCTCATTTGATTTAAAATTAATGTTTTAAAAAGTATAAAGCACTGCTGAAACTGGTTTGGCTCAGTGGATAGAGCTTCGGTCTGTAGACTCAACAGTCCCAGGTTTGATTCCTGTTGAGGCCATGTACCTTGGTTGCAGGCACATTCCCAGTGGGGGGTGTGCAGGAGGCAGCTGATCGGTGTTTCTCTCTCATTGATGTTTCTAACTCTCTATCCTTCTCCTTTCCTCTCTGTAAAAACAAAACAAAACAAAACAAAACCCCCGCCCCCCCCCACACACAATAAAATATATTTTTTAAAATAAAAATAAATAAAAAGTATAAAGCACCTACTTATGTCCAATGTCACTTCCTTTTCCTTGACGATGTGAAGTTGACGAGTTAGACGGAAGTGCAAAGCTGTTCTCCTATACCGCCTTCAAATCCTGGGAAACATTAAAATCAGACAAAACCCTGGTGAGTCAGTGAGAGAACTCGTCTAGGTCCCTTCCAATAGCTGCCCCTGGTGCAAACCGAGGGGTGGGGCCCGAGGGATCCCTCATGAGGCCAATTCATGGTTCCCGGAACCCTTCTTGTAATCCTGAATGTCTTAATTCTGAGTCAGATGGATAAGCACAGAACCTTGCTGTAAATTTACTGCCTGAATCAAAATCTTCTTCTGATGCTCTTTGTGCTTCTTGTCTGATCTGCCAAGAGCTATGCAGTCTTTCTCAATATCGGTACCATTGGAAGGGAAGGTTAAACACACAAACACACACACACAAAAGGGAGACTGGGATGCATTCCTTTTATGGGAAAGTAGGGGAAAGGTGATCAATTTTAGAGTACTACGGGCTTTTGCATTCTGTAAGTGTACCCCCATGCCTTTGGAGAGACTTTTTTTTTTTTTAATATATTTTATTGATTTTTTTACAGAGAGGAAGGGAGAGGGATAGAGAGTTAGAAACATCAATGAGAGAGAAATATCCATCAGCTGCCTCCTGCACACCCCCCACTGGGGATGTGCCTGCAACCAAGGCACATGCCCTTGATGGGAATCGAACCCGAGACCCTTCAGTCCGCAGGCCAATGCTCAATCCATTGAGCCAAACCAGTTTCGGCTGGAGAGACTTTTGTGCTCAGGAGAGTCTCGGAATTGTATTTATGAATACATTCCCTCATGTTTTTTTTTCTTCTTTTTTTCTTGTTATTATTCTTTCTGACTATGTATGTCTTGTCCGAGTGCTAAGGTCCTCTATGGACAATTGTTCAGTTCAGGAACCACAACTACATGTATTTGTAGCGTTAGAGATGCCAGAAGGTGTTACGAATTTAAAAAAAAAAAAAAATTGCCCTAGGTGGTTTGGCTCAGTGGATAGAGCGTCAGCCTGCGGACTGAAGGGTCCCGGGTTCGATTCCAGTCAAGGGCACACGCCTGGGTTGCAGGCTCAATCATTGATGTTTCTCTCCCTCTCCCTTTCTCTCTGAAATCAACAAAAAATATATATATATTTTTTAAATTCCCAATCAGTGAAAGAACCCCAGCCATGGCAGGTCAGAGTTACTTCCTGCCTCCCACGCAGTTCCCTTTCGATGTCTTTGTTGTGCTTCCTTGGTTTCTCCTCCCCAGAGGCTGGTGTTTTCCCCGCTGAGGACCCACAGCCCGGAATCCAGAGGCCTGCCCAGAGGCCAGCCCCTTCTCACCCACCACCCACCCTGTGACTCCTGTGGCTCTCTCCCAGCACTGCGGGCTCCCAGGAAAGGCGCTCAGGGAGTTCTGCACCCGGGCATCCCGGGCAGCCATCCCTCCCCTCCAGGAGTCTGTCTCTCTCTCTCTCTCTCTCTCTCTCTCTCTCTCTCTCTCCCTCTCTCTCTCCCTCTCTCTCTCCCCCCCTCTCTGTGCTCTGCCCGGGAATGGATGGGCATCCCGGGCAGCCATCCCTCCCCTCCAGGAGTGTCTCCCCCCCCCCCCCCCCCTCCCCCTCTCCCTCCTCTCCCTCCCTCTCTCTCTCTCTCCCTCCCCACCCTCTCTCTGTGCTCTGCCCGGGAATGGAACCTGTGACCTCCGGGTTCCCAGGTCCGCGCTCCCCGACGGGGCCCGGGGCTGGGCGAGCGGCGCCCACTGCCAGCCGTGACTGCCAGCGCCGGCGCGCCGGGCGAGAGGCGGGGACCGTGCTGTGAAAGTTTCCGCAGAGAAGCCGCCGGCTGGAGGGCTCGTCAGATCGGTCCCCCAGGAGCCCCAGCAGCTCCAAGGAGAACCAAGGGTGCCCTGGGCCCAGCCCACAACGTCATTGCCAGGACGACTCTTCCCGTTATGTCCAGCCCCGCGGCGCCCACCGCGCGCTCCAGCCCCGCGGACCCCGGAGCGACACTCACCTGCCTCCGCCGCGACTGTGCGCTCCTGCCCGCCGCTCCGCTTTATGCATCCCGGCTCCGCCCCTCGCTCCCTCCTTTCCTCCCCCCCACCCCCTACCGGGTCCTGGAGAAACGAAACTAAAAACCGAGAGCCCAGAACCGAGAGCCCAGAACCGAAACCGATGAGCCTGCCTCCGCCCCGCGCTCCGCTGCAGCCCCCCAGGCTCTCCGAGTGCACAAACGTCGGCGGGGCCAGAAACCCGAGGGTTTTTTTTTTTTTAAGTATGATTTTTATTTTTTTTTTTAGAGGGGAAGGAAGGAGGAGGAGAGAGAAACAAGGACGGTTTGCCTGCCGCACGCAGGCACTCACCCCAACTGGGATGGAACCCTCAACTTGGGGCTACGCCCTGACCAGGAATCCAACCCGTGGCCTTTGGATGCTGGGAGGATGCTCAGCCAATGGGCAGCTCGGGCCAGGGCACGCCTGAGGGGTTTCTGGGCGCTGTGTGAGAGCTGCTGCTCTGACAGCCTGAGCTCTAAACAAACAAACAAACAAACAAACAAACAAAGCGGAGTCCTGCACAGCTGACCTAGCCTTGAGCCCAGAGGGCCCCCTAAGCCCGGCCTCTGAACAGAGGCCCTGACAATCATTGGGGTCTTCCTGCTGGAGGGTCTCAGGGGTCCTTCAGCATCAGCAGGGCGTCTGAAGCATTTTACCGCAATGCCAGCTTCCCCATACCCCCTCCCCCCCCCCCCACCGAAAACCCCATCAGCTTCCTCCTCCCCACTTCTCCGGCCCACCTCAAGCCTCCCCCCACGTCTGATTTCTCTGGGGCAGAAATGGGTGGAACGTGGGAACCGAGGTCAAGCCAAAACTGCCCGCCCCCCACCCCACCCTCTGGGAGTGAGGAGCCACATTCTCTTTGCAAAGGCAACCCTTCCTAGTCACAATGACAGAAAACCGGAGAAGAACCAGGCAATACTTAGAGAGATGGAGTTACATTTATTACGCGCGGGTCCAGAGGCAAACATCTCTCAAATTCTGGACCCTAACATGGAGGAACTCTCCCTATTTATTCGTTTTTACCTTCTGTGTCCCCCAAATATGGGGTGTTTCCGGCCCCCTTTGCGAGTTCTCAAAGAGCACCTATGTGTTGGGGCCTTGAGACCTCAACTAAGGCTTGGCCTGGTGCCAGCTCTAATAACTCCCTTCATCGGGGAAGGTTTAATGGCCTCTCTGAAGCGGGAGTAGTCTTATTTTCCTTATTATTTAAGCAAGCAAGCATCTACAGAAGCCAAATGCAGGGTTAACATTTCAAACAGCAGTTTTTATATGAGATGGATGCTTCAACAGGAGTGTGTGTGTGTGTGTGTGTCCGGGTTGGGGAGGGAGACAGTCTTGTTGTCCAGGACTCTGAGCTGAGCTGAGAAGGGAGGCGGAGGATGCCGAGTACCCCAAGCCCCAGCCTTCCCTTTCCTCCCCTCAGAAGGCGTCTTCCCCCCTGCCACGTGCTCTCTTCCTTTGGAAGGCGGTCCGGCAGGGTCCTTCTCCTCTAAAAAGCCTGTGTCCTGGCCTCTGGCCCTCTGTCTCCTCTTTCACAAGCAATATCCCAAAAGGCAGCAGCACCAGGGTGGCGAGGCATTGGTCCCCTGCACCCTAGTGACAGAGAACAGTGACAGCATTTCCTGGCGGGCTGGAGCAGGCGGCCCTGGGGCTCCGGAGGGGGTGAACTGCTGCTGAAATGCAAGGTTAAGTGTGGGGGGGTGGGGGGTAGTAGGCGTGGACGGTGGGCCTCACCCTGAGGAATGACACTGTCTCCACCCTGCAGGAGGCTCCCCCAGGCCTCCCTCCTGTCAGGGAATGGACTCAGCAGGAGCCACAGCCGGCCCAGAGTGAGGGCCCGGAGAAGGTGAGAGCGGTGCCCCAGGCACCACGTTTGGAAGGCGGTCCGGCAGGGTCCTTCTCCTCTAAAAAGCCTGTGTCCTGGCCTCTGGCCCTCTGCCATGCCCTCTCCGTAGGTGCCAATGCCTCCTGCAGTCTGTGCCTCCCAGGCCTTTGGCACCCATTGGTTCTGACACCCCCATTCCAGGGCAGAGCCTCCAGAGCCAGGGGGCGTGCCGGGTGTGATTCAGCAATAATACAGGAATAGGTGTCAGCCAATGACTGTCGGTGCCATTCAATGCCACCAGGAAGTTCCCCGTTCAGGGTGTGGAGAAGAAGGAAACTTGGTTCCCTGTGAGAAGAGCGGTGGAACAGCTCCACATGGTGGTCACAGCTCTGCTGGGGGACAGCAGCCTGTGAGGGGCCTGGGTGACATGGGCCCGACGCTGGGCCCCTCTCCGGCCAGACAGCCCTGCCTGCTCTGCTCCTCACCCTGCAGCCCCGCAGCCGCTGGCCACCCTTCTCCCTGGGCCCCATGCTCCCTCCATCCCCGTCCCCAGCCCAGGAAGCAAGGCCCCTGCACAGCCTGGGCCTCTGTGACTCTGGGAACGTCCGTTCTGGCACCGGGCTGTGACACTTGGAGTCCAGGGTAGTCCCTGGCATGGGGATTCAATCAATGTTCTAGAACGAATGGATGGATGGATGAATGAATGGATGGATGGATGGATGGATGAATGAATGGACTGCCTTGGGTCTGCAGAGGGAGTATTCCTAAGCCTCTGGGTTTCCTTCACAGTCTCCTGCCTGCCCCTCCTCCACCGTCTGGCTTTTCCTAATGAACTCAGATTCTGTTTCAGTTTCCCAGGCTCTCCCTTGGATTCCTAAAACCTGGTGCAGGGGAAGCAGAGGGGTTGGTGCTGGAGAAGGGGGCGGGCCGGGGAAGGGGGCGGGGCCGGGGGTGTGGTCTGCTCTCGCCACTGCTCAGGCTTCTGGAGGAGCCTGGACTGGGGTGCAGCGCAGAGAGGGGGTGCGGGACTGCGGGGCCGCCCTCAAGCGCCCACTTCGGAGGCCTCCGGCTACCGGCAGAGCAGCGCGCCCCGCTAAGGCCCCCTCTGTCCTGCCCCGAGCACCAGTCCAGGGTCAGTTGTCATCTGCCCAGTTTCGTTTTCTCCTCTGTTTGCGACCTAGCCCCGAGCTTCTGGAACCAGCAGCACTGGCTTCAGGATCTGCCCCGCGCCTCCCACCATAGAATCAGCCCTCATTTTAAGGGGATCCTCGGGTGTTTCCTTTGCAATTCAAGCGCGAGAAGGCTGCTGTGCATCTGGTCTGATTGCAGACCCGGCCTGGCAGTGAGGGGAGACGGCCAGCTGCTCCCCTGGCATTCACCTGGTGACACATGGGTGTGTGGGTGGGTGGGGGGAAGCTTCTGTGTATGGATCTTCACAGTCCTTTTCACTCTTTCCTGCGGGCCAGTGCTCCTGTTACCTGGCAGCCATCACTCACACGCCCCCCCCCCCCCCCCCCCCCCAGATCTCCTCTGCGTCTGCTGGGTGCCATGTACCCTCACAGGAGCCCACTGCGTTTGCATTGTAGAGCCATAGCCGCACCTGCCAGCCATCACAATCACTTGGGCGGCTTTAAGGAAAATAAAATAAAATTCATTTACAAAAATGCCATCCCGATAGTTCTATAGACCTTTCATTTGGGTTGCGGTGTTGTGGCCACGTCCCAGTCCGTGGCCTGATGATAAGGAATTGGTGTGTGTGTGTGTGTGTGTGTGTGTGTGTGTGTGTATCCCGCAGGAGGGCCTGTCCACAGCCCCATCAGTGAGCCTAGAGGCCTTAGCAGCTAAGGCTTAGCTCTAACAAATGGCCACAAACTCGGTGGCTTAAAACAGGTGCAATGTACTCTCTGGAGGTTCTGGAGGCCAGAAGTCCAAGATGGGTTCCATGGGTTCAAGACCTGGAGTTGACAGGGCTGCACCCCCTCTACGCACAGTGCCTTTCTTTGCCTTTCCAGACCCCTGGAGCTGCTTTTCCTGCATTTCGTGGCTTGTGGACTCTCTTTTCTTCTTCACAGCCAGCAGCTTAGCGTTTTCAAATCTCCCTCTCTGCTCCATCCTTATGTTGACTTCTCCTCTGTAGTTAGAATTCCCTCTGCCTCTCTCTTAGGAGAACGTGTGTGTGATTCCATGTAGGACCCGACCCATCTGGGTAATCCAGGATCATCTCTCCATGTCAGGATTTTTAACTTGATCAGATCTGCAAAGACTGGCTCTCCATATAAGGTTCCAGGGAAAAGGACTTGGCTGTAAGTTACTGTCTCCCCCTCCTCCCCCCCCCCCCCATTAGATAAGAAATTCCAGGGGTAAACATTGGGGTGATTTGTTATGTAACAATAGGTAGCCAGCATACCCTGTCACCATGCATGACAAAAGGGGCATTTTAGGGTTTCAAGGGATAAGGATCTGAAGGAGGGGCTGACGCACAAATGAAAATGCTATCCAAGAAAAATGAATTTAGAAGGCATTGGGGGGGCCAGATGGAACCTTTTTCCTGAAGAGGTGCTGGGTTCTTGTCCCAGCCTTATGAAGGGTTTAGCAATCTGGAGAAAGGGGCTGATGTGTAGATTCAAGAAGGAGTCCAAGGACAAAAGATAATTTTGAAAGGCATTGGGGGTCAGAGGAGCTTCAGCTAAAGCAGTGGTTCTCAACCTTCTTAATGCTGTGACCCTTTAATACAGTTCCTCATGTTGTGGTGATCCCCAACCATAAAATTATTTTTGTTGCTACTTCATAACTGTAATTTTGCTACTGTTATGAATCATAATGTAAATATCTGTGTTTTTCGATGGTCTTAGGCTACCACTGTAAAAGGGTTGTTTGCCTCCCAAAGGTTGAGAACCTCTGAGCTAAAGGAACTGAAGACTATGCCTTGTCTAAGGACCCTGTGCTATTTATTAACACAATTTGTCCTACAACAAGGTGGAGACATACACTTCAAAGGGTAAGGTTTCAAAGGGTAGGATACAGAAGCATTGTCAGGTTGGGGAATAGCCTACAGCTGTTCAGGTTTTTGGCCAACAGGAGGCAATAATGTGCAGATTTAAGATGCTCTGAGCTGTCTGGCAGCAAACGATTATTCTATTCAGGTTCGGGGAAATGCCTTTCCAACAGGTAATTACAAATGTGGCTCAGCCCTTGTTGAGCCGCCCATGCTTCACCAATTTTTTCATGGAACTCTTGTAATTATGACATGCTGGAATTGGCTCCCAGCAAAGAGGCACACTTTCATGCGGGCCTAGTCCCCTTTTTACTCAGTGTTAGATACTCATCCCGCCCTCAGTAAAGCATGGCAAACAGATAGCAAACAGACAGTCTCAAAGGGCAGTGAAGACCAGTAAACATTTACTTGGAGGCTATCAGGCCAGGAAATGGCTTTGAGCCACCGCTATCTCAACACGAACAATGGGAACAATGGGTGCTTAGTGTCAGCCTTGCTAACTAATGTTCAAGGTCCATCCGCCTTGCGTTCCTTGGTGCACACTCACACCAGTATTGGCAAGCAGTGGCTTCCCACAGGACACGATAGGAGATTCAAACTTGTTTACCCCATCTGTGGCTACCTCTTCATGGATACTCCGTGGTTGTATCACTATACCGTTGATTACAGAACACAAACTTTTCCCTAACCCCCATCCCAAAATAACAACTTCCAGCCCTCTGAGGAATGTCAGGGTAGCCTCATGAGGGGAGGAGGGGCATGGATCACATGCACAGGCGGACTGCCAGATTTTGATCCAAGCAGATATACCTGCGGGAGCAGGTCTGCTGTGTCCAGGGCAGAGGTGAGCGGAAGGTCTCACAGGATAAGGTCAGCGGTGAGAGCCGACCTTATACAGCACACACGGACAAACCACATATAAAAATAGAACCCCGAGCCTGCAGCCACTGCACAGGAAACCAACCCAGTATCTGCAGTAACCAGCCCAGGAGCCAACTGCTGAACTTCAGACATGTAGGAAGTCAGACAGCTTACCTCTAGTAACCAGTTCAGAAGCCAAATGATGACCCTGTAACAACTGGCCCAAAGCATGCCCGGCTTGATTCGTAACAGATAGCTTCTCTAATCTTTGTCCCCACTTTCAACTTAGGACCAACCAGAGAAAGGTAAATGTGCACCCTAGCCAACCTCACAGGGCACACGTGACGGGAGCTGACTCCTTCCTAGTCAGCTGTGAATAAATAACGTTTCTTGTTCACATCCGGGCGGCCTTCCTTTATTTCCACACTTGTTAGGTACAAAACCCCAGTTCCACGGTAACATTGGAGGAGGAATCCCCTGTGTGTGTGTGGGTGTGTGTGGGGGGGGGCTGTGTGAGTGAGCAAGCCTGGGATAAGAAGGAAGAGCAGGAAACACATCTGAGTTAGAGGGACAGGTGTGGCAAGGTGCAAATCCCTTCCCTCTTTCTCCCGTCTGGCTAGCTGGACCACATTTCCCAGCTTGCCTTGCAGTTAGGAGTGGCCACAGGCCCCAGTTCTGCCCATAGAATGTGGAAGTGATGTACCCAGCTCCCAGGCCTGGCTCCTGGAAACCTCCCTTGCAATCCTTCCTGCCTGATACAGGGGGTCTGGTGGAGGCTGCAAGGCCCCCACGATGGTGGGGCCACTACATGGCGGGAGGCTGGTGCCTGGAGGCCTGAGTGGCTCTGGACCCTGCCAGCCCACCTTACACTGCATGCTCTGAGTGGGGAACACACCGTTATGCTGTGGAGATTTTGTTTTTTATTATTTTTAGGAAAGGAGAGGGAGAAAAACAACACAATGATGAGATGATGAGAGAGAATCATTGATTGACCTCCTGCATGCCCCCTACTGGGGGTCAAGGCCACAACCCTGGCCTCTGCCCTGACCCAAAATTGAACTGTGACCACCTGGTTCATAGGTTGATGCTCAACCCCCGAGTCACGCTGACCAGGCAAGCCACAGAGATCTTAAAGTGTTCCTTGCAGCAGTTAACTTGTGTGTTTGTGTGTGTGTGTGTGTGTGAGTGTGTATACATATGTGTGAAACATATTGAACATGTAGGGAAAGATTGAATATACAATTTATGGAACAAATAGTAAGTACCAGACTTTATTTTTCTCAGGCTATTTTCACAACAGTATACAATAGTTTGAGGAGATTTGTTTCTTCTCTTCAGCTCTGCCACCGTCTCTCTGTATTGACTAACTTATACAATAAGGGGGGAGAAGCCACATTTTTAAAAAAAGCAAAGAATACCTAAAATAATGTTCTGTCTTTTAAGTTGTCTTCATCTTTAGTTTCAATCTGACAAAAGTTCTTTAAAACCAGATCCCCACTTTTGGCACTTTCGTTCCACATAGCATTGAACGTTCTAGCCTGAGCTAGTGGGCAAGGTACAGATAAAATTGAGATGGTATGAGCTTGTAGGTAGAAAGCCATAAAGATTCCACACAAAAAACAACCCCCCCCCTCAAAAAACAACAACTGTTATAACTAATAAATGAATCTAACAAAGTGAAAAGGCACAAATTGGACACATAAAAATCAGTTGCATTTTTTGTAGACTAATAATGAATAATTAGAAAGAAAAAATAAAAAAAACCAGTTATATTTACAATACCACCAAAAGGAATAAAAAACTTGGGAACTAACTTAACCAAGGAAGTGAAAGACTTGTACAATGAAAACTACAAAACATTGATTCAAGAAATTAAAATAGGTAATTAAATGAGTGGAAAGACATCCTGTGTTTATGGAATGGAAGACTTAATATTATTAAAAATGCAGATACTATCCAAAGTGATCTGCAGATTTAATGCAATGCCTATAAAATCCCAAGGACTTTTTTCTTTTTTTTTCAGAGATAAAAAATAACCCATCCTAAAATTCACACGGAATCCGAAGGGACTACAAATAGCCAAAACAATGCTGAAAACAAACAAAGCTGAAAAATTCAAAACGTACTACAAAGCTACAGTTATGACAACTGTGCACTGGCAGACAGACAGACACACAGACCAATGGAACAGAACAGAGAGCCCAGAAATAAGCCTTCATATCTGGTCTGATTATTTTTGACAAGGTGCCAGGCCAAGGAGGGAAAGGACAGTTTTTTTTCAACAACTCGGGCTGGGAAAACTCAACATCCACATGCACGAGAATGAGATTGGACTTCTATCTACAATTGGCTCACAAAGTATCAGAGAACTACACATGAGTATAGGCGGAAGAGCTCCAATAGTGAGGACTGCTCTTTGGAGATAGAAAAAAAAAGAAAAAGAAAAAGAGGCTTTGCTGGAGGAAAGAATTGCTGATATTTCTTAACACAAGCTCCTGGGACAGGCAGTTTGTAGAAATGGTTTCAGTTAACTCTCCTAAAATTCCTATGAGGTGGGGATCGCTTAACTCTCCTCCTATCTAGAGATGACCACTGGTGTGAAACTCCATAATTTTTCTTTAAAGTTTTTTTAATTACTAAATTTCCCTTTAAGATTTAATATATAAAAGGTGTAATCCCAATAAATTCAATAAAAAAGTAAAAAAAAATAACACGTAGCAACAGGAGCTTGTTGTAACTAGGGAAACAATCCTATATAATAAAAGGCTAATATGCAAATCGAATGAACAGCAAAATGACCTGTCGTAATGATGTGGGCTGACCACCAGGGGGCAGACGCTCAATGCAGAGCTTCCCTCTGGTGGTCAGTGTTCTCCCACATGGGGAGCGCCGCTCAGCCAGAAGCCAGGCTCAGAACTGGTGAGCACAGTCCTGGTGGCAGGAGCCGCCTCAGAGGCAGCAGTAAGGAGCAGTGAGCGGGGTGGTAAGAAGCAGTAAGCAGGTGGGGACACCTCCTAAAGTGCACAAATTTCATGCTCTAAACCTCTACTATAATTAATAATAGTATCGTTCCGGTCCTTCTCTCCCAGAGGAAGCTGGGAAATGTGATCACAGCAGGTGGCATGACCCAATTCATCTGAAAGTGACCAGCTCAGGGACACCATCCCCAATAAGCAAAGTCTGATTCCAGCCATGGCCTCCGGGAATCTCCATCATTCATTTGCTCACTGAGATAGCATTTATTGAGCAGCTACTATGTGCCAGGTGCCACGGAGGATTCTGGAAATACAGAAGAAGACTATAATACTCACTTTTCCTCTCTGGGGGTCTCCTGATCTGATGGGCCGGGAGAGACAAATGAACAAGGAATGACAGCGGTAGTTAAAGCTGTAGCTGGAGGCAGTGGGCTGGAGAGACATCTGTTCAAGCAGGTGCAGGTGACAGCTCTAAGCAAGTGTAGGCTTGAGGTCTACACTCTGGGGCAGTTCAGCGAAGATGGACAGACAGCCACAGGAAAGGCTGGCCCGAACCGGAAGCCACTGGCTGCGCCACATCCCCTTACAACGAACCGGCCTAAGAGAAAACTCCCAAGTACTGTTGCCCTTCCATCTATCCGCCCCTTTAAGAGGAGAATTTGTAGAGCTCGCGCCGCGCCTGGGTGAGCCGGTAGATCTTCTCCTTCAGGAACTTCCTCTTGAGGGCGGTCTCACTCTGCTCCTGGAGCAGCCAGGAATACTGGTCCTTTTCCTGCAGGATCTGCATCATGGCTTTCTGCAAGTAATCGCCATTCTCTTGGAGCATGAAATACTGGATTATGAATGGAATCTGGTTGGCGAGCCGCTTGCTGGTCTCCTGGAAGAGGCGATGAGAAGGGTCAGCTGGAGGGGTCTGGCCCCGAGGCCTGTGGCTGCAGAGAGAAGCCTTGGGGTTCTGGATGCACGCAGGGCCGCCTTGCTAAGTCCTGGTGGTCCCGTCCACTTCCCTCCAGTGTTCAGTATCAAACCACGAGGAGCTTCTGTCTGGGGTGCCCAGTTTTCCTACCTAAGAACCCACCGGAGAGGCCAGCAAACCCCAAGCTCCTGGTGCGAATCCCCGCCTTCCCAGGAGCCCCTCCCTCGGCCTCACTCCACCTGTGGGCAGAGACCTCCTGGCCCAGTTCTGGGGCCAGATCAGGACCTGCTTCAGTCCTCCCCTCACACCCTCTCTCCATGGGCATGTCCAGCTTGCCTGGCAGCTGGACTCCACATCTGGGTAACTCAGCTTTTTACTCTGATTATGAAAAGGTTAAGTAGTTGGGCTTCTTTACAGTTGAAAAGCTACCTTCCATTCTGCTTGCCCTAATACTTTTAGTCCGGTGATTTCAACCTTTCTCCTCTCGCGACACACATGAACTAATTACTAAAATTCTGCGGCACCCCAAAAAATATATTATGTTGTCTGGTGATCTGACAAAAAAAAAAAAATAGGTGTAATTTTGATTCATTCACTCAGGACAGCTATTGTTGTGTTGGCTGTTGTCATTTTTTAAGTTGATAATCTAAGGGAAAGAGGTCAGTGCTTCTGACTAAATAGTCAGGAATTGCATGTTTTAAAAATCTTGCCAAAGCCGGTTTGACTCAGTGGATAGAGTGTCGGCCTGCGGAGTGAATGGTTCAGGGTTCGATTCTGGTCAAAGAAGGGGGATTTGAACCTGGGGATTGAACCTGGACACCTGGGGGTGCCCTTGACCAGAATCGAACCCAGGATGCTTCAGTCTGCAGGCTGATGCTCTATCCTAGGGGTGTCGAACTCAATCAGAGAAGGGGCCAAAATCTAAAATCCAGCCTAAATCGCGGGCCGAATGGTTTACTGAACAGTCATAAACTGTCATTGTGATGGAAACGCAGCGGAGTGCAGTGATGACAGCGCGGTGCGGGCCACATTGCAAGGCCTGGCGGGACGGATTTGGCCCGAGGGCCTTGTGTTTGACACATGTGCTCTATCCACTGAGCCAAACTAGCTAGGGCCGCACTGATGTTTCTATCTCTCCCTCTCCCTTCCTCTCTCTGAAATCAATAAAAATGTCTTTTAAAATATTTTTGTGGCACATCAGTTGGAAATTGCTGCTTTAGTCCACAAGTGGGGTTGGGGGGTGGGGAGCGGGTTAGAAACCATGAAGCTGATGGGGCCACGTCATCTCAGGAAAGGAATTTCATTCCTGTTTTGTGCAGCTGGTGAGTGTGAAGCACGCCAGGGGCTGAACGCCTTCGAAACATCAAGGAGAGCAAACCATGACCAGCAAGATGAGTCGTATTTTGCTGTACTCTGAGAACAGTAATTTCGTACTTCCTGCATAGCATGAAATAAAAAGAACTTTGGGGTTGAAGTGACTTTTGAGTACATGCTCTGCCACCTGAAGAACCTGATTGGGGGAAATTCACTAGACGTGTCTGACAGGTCCAGTTAGAGGATGGAGAATAGATGAGTCGCTTATCAGAATAGAAAAGACCCGTCCCTTCTTCGCCCAGGTAAGCGCCTCTCAGACAGCGTGCCCCAGCATGGGCCACGTGTGCCCACACTCACCAGGAAGTATGCGTTCAGATGCATCCCGATCTCAGTGATGGAGGAAACAGAAGACGGAGGAGTATTCGAAGACAGTCTCAGGGGAGAAGCCTGTGAAATGCTTCCGTCCGTGTTAAAGGTCTGTTCCCGAATTTTTTGTAGAATCTCGCTGTAAATCTGGTCTTGACAATAAACCAGCTGCTCCATCCTGAACTGCAGGTGGATCATATTTGTTGCTGTTTCTGCTTGCTTTGTTTTTATGTCTTCAATCTTGTTCTGGTTGGGTCAGAAAGAGAGGCATTTGCTGCTGTTTTGGTCCCCCCTCGTTATTTCAACTACTCAGGGAGTACTGTGATGTTGAACATAGAATTAAGAATAATTTAAGGCATCTCCGTGATTGATCGTCAACTCAAGAACCAGGAGCTCATGGTTCGATTCCCTGTTGCCCAGGTTGAGAGCTCAATCCCCAGGAGGGAGCATGCAGGAGGCAACCCAACGAGGATTCTCTCTCATCTTTGATGTTTCCATTGCTCTCTCCCTTTCCTTTCCTCTCTCTGAATCAATAAAAACGTATTTAAAAAATAATTTAAGGGCAAAGGAGGCCTGAGGCTTTAAATGGTGAGGAATGAGATTCTGGCTACAGCCGAAGCTGGGCAGAGCTTTATCTGGAGCCACTCACTTCCCTATATGGCGACTGGGATTCAGGCAGGGTGGCTAAGTTGCCAAGTGGAAACCCACACTCCCAGAGGCCAGTTCTAGCATATCATAATTACAAAAGTTTTATCAAAAGGTTGATGAAACTTGGGGGCTCAACAAGGGCTGAATCACATGTAATTACCTATTGGATTGGCTAATAGGCACTTCCCCCAAACCTGAATAGGATGAATATTTGCTGCCAGACAACTCAGGGCATCTCAACCTACACGTTATTGCCTCCTGTTGGCCAAACACCTGAACAGCTGTAGACTATTCTCCAACCTGATAATGCTTGTGTAAACCCTACCCTTTGAAGTGTATTATCTCCACCTTGCCTTAGGACAAACTGTGTGAATAAAAAAGCAAAGGTCTGAGACAAGGAGAATCTTTAGTTCCTTTAGCTGAAGCTCCTCTGACCCCCAATGCCTTTCACAATTATCTTTCATCTCTGGACTCTTACTTAATCTATGCACAGCCTTTCTCCAGATTGCTGGGACAAGAACCCTGGCACCACACAGTGGTGGCAATATTTTTAAGTCAAACTAATAAAAACGTTGGACCAGGATTAGTAGACAATGCTGTCCTTCATGAAGGAAAAAGGCCCAAAATACTCGCCAGTTACTAGGGACAGTCATACAATCAGTTATGTCCTGCTAGGACACAAGGGATCGAGAGAACAAGGTCAGTGCTGTGTTCTACTTCTCCCAGGAAGGGCCCCTCAACACCCGGGCAGAAGCAAAACAGCGCTGCTGCTCACTTCGCCTGCCCGCAAGGGTACAATGCTATCCCCACCCTTGCATGTCTAAATGGAGTACACACGCGCCTTCTTTCGAAGGCTAGACCCTAATACATCTGCACAGGTGCCCAGCAGATGAACTGGGGGTACTTACCCGGGCTGTTTGATTAAGGTTGGAAAATTCGCCAAAATGTGTTTTGGCTGCTTCAATGAACGTTTGCCGGACGATTTCTGACCAAAGGAAAAACCAAACATCAGTGAGATGCAAGCAGGAATCACATGGCTTAATGGCACAGGGCAGGGAAATCATAGTATGGGCCCCTATTCAGACCTATAGACTTCAGTGAGAGAAGGAAGAGATGGTACACAGTCCTGGGGAGACATAAGATCCATGGCCACCACCCTCCCTGCGCAGGTGCCTTCAATTTCCTGTCGTTCCTGGAAGGTGTGATCCTCCCCGGGTGAGCATCCGGCTCTTCCTCACACAGCTGCGTGGAGGGTAGGTCTGACTAGGTGAAGCCCAATGCACTGGCACCCTTCTTTCCCAAATGGGCAAAGGAGATCTGCAGGCTGCAGTTGGTCATTCCAACCCAGTCTCTCCCTCAAGGCATGGAGACCATGGGCAGTGCTGGGAGAGCCCCTCACCCACGGCCTTCTGGAGCATGCTCAGGGCGGGCTCCACCAGCTGCTGGATGTACTGCTGCACAATGGTCTCGAACGTCTTGTAATTGACAAACCCAAGAAGTTCTTTGCCCCGGTACTGGTTTTCATACTTTGAGACTTCTTCATGAATGATATTTTTAACTGCAAAGTGAAACAAACCACAGACATTTTTAAAGATAAAGGCATTTTTAAAAGTCTTGCTCACCTACTATATGTATCCTAAGGCAATGCTTCTAAAGTGCCAGGAACCAATGTCAGCATGTCATGATTACAAGAGTTTCATCAAAAGGTTGATGAAGCTTGGGGGGGCTCAACAAGGGCTGAGCCACATATGTAATTACCTGTTGGGAAGGCTAAAAAGCATCTCCCCCAAACCTGAATAGGATTGTTAGCTGCCAGACAACTCAGGGCATCTTAATCTACACATTATTGCCTCCTATTGGCCAAACACCTGAACAGGTGTAGGCTGTTCCCAATCTAACAATGCTTCTGTAAATCCTACCCTTTGAAACTCTACCCTTTGAAGTGTATTATCTCCACCTTGCCTTAGGACAAATTGTGTTAATAAAAAGCAAAGGTTCTAGACAAGATGAGAGTCTTTAGCTTCTTTAGCTGAAGCTCCTCTGACCCCCAATGCCTTTTAAAACTATCTTTCGTCTTTGGACTTCTTCTCAAATCTACATGCAGCACAGCTCCTTTCTCCAGATTGCTAAACCCTTCGTAATGCTTGGACAAGAACCCTGGCATAAACGGGAGTCCTTTTCATAATGAAAAACATACAAGTTCTAACAGGGACCTTCAGGAACAAAATCTAACTCTAAAAAAAATGTATTTCAACTGAGAGTTATCACCCCGAGAATATGTTGAGTGTGTATAGTTGATAGAAAGGAAGCAGATGAGTTCATTGAAAATAAGAAGTTACATGTTTCACTTACAAGTCTCTCAAAAATTCAGCTAAACTAGGGTTAGAGGAATTCTACTGTGGAAATGAGTAGTGCTTTTTTTTGTTTTTATTTTTTTTTGAAAGTGGCAGACATTTAAAAAAAATATTTTTATTGCTTTCAGAGAGGAAGGGAGAGGGAAATGAGAACATCAATGATGAGAGAGAATCACTGATGGCTGCCTCCTGCATGTGCCCTGACTAGGAATTGCACCATGACCTCCTGGTTCATAGGTTGACATCAACCACTGAGCCGCACCGGCTAGGTAACAGTACTATTTTTATCAAGTGCCAGAATGGACAAAAATGCAATACTCACACACACACACACACACACACACACACACACACACGCACACATGCACATACGCGCGCACACACGTGCACACACATGCACACGCGCACACACACGTGCGCACACGCACACACGCACGCACACACGCACACGCAGCCCACTTTCATCCTGGCTGGAGCAGAATGGAAGTTGGAAGCATGCCAGACAGAGCCAGGAGACTCTGACCAAAGCCTTCACCTCTGGTTTCGGCTTCGGGGTTACCAGAAGGGAGAAATGGGGGAAGCGGGATTGCCTAGCCTCACAACAAAGATGCGAGAGAGAAGCAAGTCTGGGATGCGGAGCTGCTTTCTGTGGAGTGGGTGAGGGCAGGCTCCCGCCCAGTCATGCATGCCCGCACGCCGCAGGCCAGGGTCTCTGGGGTGGGCAATCAGTACCCCACACTGCCTGTGCTGGGGGTAGCTCCTGGCCTTGGTAACTACGACGCTGCTGCTGGGGCAGCCCTGTCCAAGACTCACCCTTTTGGGAATTGGCTGCAAGTACGCGGACCCACTGTTTAAACTCCTCCCGGAGTTTGTTGTATAAGCGTGTCTCTTTGTCCTTCACCACTTCTTCTCCATCTACTAACCTTTCAATGTTCCGATTGAACACTTTGATTTTCTGGAAAAGAGGTAACGTCATTCCACTGTGCTGTGGTTGAGGAGCCGGGCCGGGGTGCAGAGGGTGAGGGAGCTGGCAGTACATCACCCACCCACACTCCTCTCACAGGTGACACTGGAGGGAGGCAGGGCCCCACAGGACCCAGGCAGGGGAGCACAGAGGCCCCGGAGATGCGCTGTGCCACCTGGGAGGGTGTGGCCGCCTCAGGGAGAGGCCAGATTCTGTGCCCGAGTGTCACCTGGCGCCCGGGAGTCCTCACCTCGACCAGAAAGAACATCTTGTCGGCATCGGTGTTGGGGATGTGCTCCCCGCACTGGCGCAGCTCCTCCATGGAGCTCAGGTGGCTCTCTCGGATCTGATCCTCCAACAGCGGCAGTGATTTCTGAACAAAATAACAGCCAGCAGTGAGACACCGCAGCCTGGAGCGCATTGACAGGTGTCTTGGGCACAGGAGCAGAACCCACTGGGAAGTCAAGGACGGAGGGAGGGGTTCTGTCGCTGTGTGAGGCATTGAGGCAAAGGCCCACTAAGGAGCTGGAGCAGAATCCGTGGTTCTGTTCTACAGCGAGGAAGATGGGGAGGGGCAGATCTTGGTTTCGTTTGGTTTAGGTAAGTGTCTGTGTCTCTAGATCAATTACACCTGAACACAGTGTCAGCTTTCTCTAGGAACACGTGGCCTGGGTGAGCATCTGAAGGTCATAAACTGAGAAAGGGCGCTTTGGTAGAAGCTATGCCATGGGGGTTGGTGCCAGGCTGGGGACAGTCCTAACCAATCACCATGCAGGTGAGGAGAACAGAGGGCCTAGAGCGCTCCACGAGGGCTGCCTGTGGCCACGCCCTGTGTCTCAGTGACGCCCCTGGGTGTGGGGAAGCACCGGCTTCATGGCCTTTTTCCAGGACAGGAACCGGAAGCTCAGAGAGGCCCATAGCTGGACAGCCTTGCTGAGCTAGTAAGTGGCTCGGTTCCAGTTTGCACCCTGCTCACCAAAGCCCAGACAGGTGGACCCTGCCGGTAAAGACACCTGAGTGAGCAGTGCCCCCAATCCTGCTTCGGTGCCAAGGTTGCTGCAGCCAGCCCGGCAGGAGGTCATTGAGACTCAGAGGCAGCTTGTCAAGGCTCCACAAAATGGCGGTAAAGGTGGGGGCGCCAAGAAGGTAATAAGGCCTCCTGGGCTCTTTAAAACAAAACAAAACAAAACATATATATGTATATTTCAAATTACAATTACCAAAATTGAATCCTGATATACATGAAAAATTAATTTAAAATACTACAAATTTTAATTTTAATGTAAAACTTTAAGTGTTGAGAAATGTGTTATCAAAAATGTTATCAAAATGCAACATCTTTTTGCAGAAACACGTGTTTGGTTTTGCAATTAGACAATGTTCTATCTTTTGGTGCCTCCTTCTGCACACTGAGGGGATTCCGCTAGAGTCAGTCCTTCTCTAAGTGTGTTCCCGAGATCGCCTGGGGACTTACAAGGGCAAATCCGGGGCCCCACCCTCGACCTGCTGACTCAGAAACTGGGCCCAGGGATGTGAGCTTTCACCAAATTTCAAGGGGATTCTTGTGTGCACTGCCTCTCAGGTCCACTGTCCCCTTCTCACCAAATATGTCTTTTTTTTTCTTATTTGATTTTTTAGAGAGAGGAAGGGGGGAGGGAGAGAGAGAGAGAGAGAGAGAGAGAGAGAGAGAGAGAGAGAGAAAAACATTGATGTGAGAAACATTGATCAGTTGCTTCCCATACACACTCTGACCGGAAATCGAACCCAAAACCTTTTGATGTATGGGATGATTCACCAACAAACAGCCACCCAGCCAGGGCCCACCACATATGTTTTGAGTGTGTGTTTTCTGGCTCAAAAGCATTCATTGTCTTGGTCTGACTCGCAGTTGAGCAGTTTAGCATGGACGAAACCCAGGCCCGGGGGTCATCTCTGCTCTGGGGTTAACCTTCAGTCCTGCCCTGTGGTTCAGCCTCATGTACAAAGGTTCAGGCAAGCTCCATGACTAGGTCTCAAGAAGCACTAAGCCGCCTTCGGTGGTTTGGCTCACTGGATAGAGTGTGTGCCTGTGGACTGAAGGGTCCCGGGTTCGATTCCAATCAAAGGGCATGTGCCTTGGTTGTGAGCACATCCCCAGTAGGGGGCGTGCAGGAGGTGGCTGATCAATGTTTTTCTCTCATAGATGTTTCTAGCTCTCTATCCTTCTCCCTTCTTCTCTGTAAAAAAATCAATGGAATCTATTAAAAAAAAAAAAAAAAAGAAAAAGAAAAAGAAGAAGAAGCACTAAGCCACTAAGTCACGCTTGTACCATATTTCACAACATCATGAAAAGTTTGAGAATCCATGGAAACCAAATACATATTCCTTACAAGTCTGAGGCTGGGAAAATGTCTTATGTTTGTACTGTGAAGTGTTAAGGACCGCTGAAAAGAGAGAAATCTGCTACCTCAGCGTTCATTGCTTTTTACCGTGCTGAGCTGGTACTATGGTTTCTCTTCCTGCTTCCCCCAAGCTGACCGGTTCCCCTTTTTGTCTCCAGATCATGCCCTGTTCCTCCCCTGTTTCAGACGCTGACCTCGGAGCCTCTGGCCAGCAGCCATTTGGTTTATTTGGTTTTCAGAATGTGCTTGTGTGCTATTTGGAGAGTTCAATGCAGTGTGTCATAGCCCTTTGGTGACTGAGAGAGATTCACGCAGGCTGCAATTTTTATAACTTGCAGCCAACCCTTGACTCACGTTGATGTGCCAGATGAGCTCAGTGGTGAGTCTCTCTGCCAGGCGGGGCACTGTGGCCTTGCCTTCCTCCAGGAGGACTCTGAAACAAGACAGTGCAGTGAGTTTGGGAAGGGCCCACATGGTCCTTTGCCCACATCCTGGCCTTTGTGAGTGGGTGAGTGAGCTCACTCAGCTCCCCGGGTGGGGGGGAGGGCATGGTATCAGAGAAGCCTGGGAGCGAGGGGGAAAGACAAATGCTAATTATGGGATGAGCCTATCTGAGGCACGCACGGCGCTAGGAAGGTTACATCTGCCTTCTCTTTTTATCATCCCACAAACTGATGACGTAAGGCAGTGGTCGGCAAACTCATTAGTCAACAGAGCCAAATATCAACAGTACACGATCGAAATTTCTTTTGAGATTCAAATTTTATAGATAGGTACAAGGTTACTAACTTAATTAGGGTCCTCCTAAGCTGGCCTTTGGTAAAAACTCAAGGGGTCAAAGAGCCGCATGTGGCTCGCGAGCTGCAGTTTGCCGACCACTGAAGTAAGGGATCTTTTCATCCACAGGAAAACAAAACCAACCTAACTTTGTAGCAGTGGAGTGATTTGTCCAAACTCGTGTTTTATTTTTGGTAACAAATATTCACCCCTGAGTAGCCAAATCAATCTTGAGGAAAAAGAATGAAGTGGGAGGGACCAGCCCTTGCTAGTTTGGCCCTCAGTAGACAGAGCGTCAGCCCGTGGAATGGAGGGTCCCAGGTTCCATTCTGGTCAAGGACACATGCCCGGGTTGCGGGATCCATCCCCAATAAGGGACATGCAGGAGGCAGCCGATCAATGATCCCCTCTCATCATTGATGTTTCTATCTCTTGCCCTCCCCTTCTTCTCTGGAATCAATACAAATATATTAAAAATAAAAAGTGGGAGGCACCACATTTCCTGATTTCAAAATATATTACAAAGCTACAGTTTGTTATTACAAAAGAGTACATGCTAGCACAAAGACACACATGCACAGAATAGGGCACCCAGAAATAAATGCGTGCATATATACTCAACTCAATTTTAATAACGGTGCCAAGATGCACAAAGATTACTCTTCAACATAGGATATCAGGAGACCTATATGTCTGCATTCAGAAAAATGAAATTGGATCCTTATCTCATACCACACACAAAAGCCAACCGAAAATGTATTGAAGGCTTTAACATAAAACAAGAAATGTAAAGCTCTTTGAATAAAACCCCACAAAAGACACAGGGGAGCCCAGCCAGTGTGGCTCAATGGTCAAGCATCCATCTATGAACCAGGAGGTCAGTTTGTTTCCCGGTCAGGGCACATGCCTGGGTTGTGGGTTTGACCCCAATGCGTGGAATGCAGGAGGCAGCTGATCTATGAGTCTCTCCATTATTGATGTTTCTATCTCTCTCTCTTCCTCTTTCTTCTTCTCTGAAATCAATAAAAATATATTTAAAAAAAAACAACACAGGGGAAAATGATTTCACCAAAAACACTGAGAAGAAAAGCAAAAAATAGACCAAAGTGGGACTACATCAAACTGAAAAGCTTCCACAGAGCAAAGAAGCAACACAGAACCTACCAAATGGGAGAAAATCTTTGCAAACAATGTACCTGATCGGGGTTAATTTTTTAAAAATGTGAGGAGGAAGCAGTGGCAGCTCCTTCTGCGTGGTGATCGGCTCTCATACCAGAGTTTCCTTAAAGCTGAGGAATTGGTTAATGGTTGCCTCATGCCAGTTTGGGGGAACAACTTAAGTTTCGTTTATGATTTTCAGAAGCAAGAAGAGCAGGCATGTGGGCACCGGCTTGTCTGTGAAATCAGCCGAGTGAAGCATTGCCGGGGTGACTGATCTGCTGTTGTCTGCTCAGGGGATCTCTGAGTTTGTGTTTGTTTTAACAATGCAATGGGAGCTGAGCCAGCATTTAAAAAGGAGGATATTCTGCCACTTGTGACCACAAGAATGAACCTCGAGGACTTTATGCTAAGATGGCTCTTTCACAAAATACCACGGCCTGGGCGAGTCTGTTTTGAAGAAGTGGCATTAGAAGAAGTTTAAGTTTAAAAAATGTGACTCTCAAAAGAAGTTTCAAGAGTTGTACTGTTGATATTTGGCTCTGTTGACTAATAAGTTTGCCAACCACTGGTCTAAGCGAATGAGAATGTCCACTGTGCAGTGGCCTGAAGGTCCATTCCCAGGGGAGAGGGTGTCCATTCAATCATGTGATCAGGCCTCACAAAACCCAGCTCCTTTGCGGGCTCTAACGCAGTGGAGGGAGCGCCAAAGCGGATGTTCACGTGCACCATTTATGATGGTCAACATGGGTTTCCAGAGGCTCAGAGATCTGCTTCCGGTCCTGTTTCCTTCACTGGTGCTTTGACCTCTCATCCTTGTCTACAGAAGTGAGAAGATCCTCACTTGCCATGTGCATCTCCTAAGACTTGATGGGGCGCACACGAGAAGATGAGTGAAGACATTTCGGAAAACCCAGGTGCCCTATGCCCTGTGGCTCACCAAATTACAACCTTTAATCAGCACCATTGTTACAGCCCACGAAAAAACGATTTCTTTCAATAAGTCAATGAATTTTAAAAAATACATTCTATTGATTTTCACAGAGAGGAAGGGAGAGGGATAGAGCCAGAAACATTGATGAGAGAGAAACATCGATCAGCTGCCTCCTGCACACCCCCTACTGGGGATGTGCCTGAAACCAAGGTACATGCCCTTGACCGGAATCGGACCTGGGACCCTTCAGTCCACAGACTGATGCTCTATCCACTGAGCCAAACCGGTTAGGGCAATAAGCCAACGAATTTAACACTAAAAATAAAGTCAAGGATGGGTTCCGCTATACTGTACTATTTTATATGCAGTTTGGTCATCACGCTGGTCCGTCCTGGGGGGTAGAGGTTGGGGAGCGGTTCCCAGGGAGCCCAGCTCCAGGGTCCCGCGGGCGCTCACCTGAAATACGGATGCGCCTGGAAGAACATCCTTTCTTTCTGGGTGGCCTCCACCAGGCTCAGCTTGTCGGTGATCTCCTGCTGGCCCCGGCACTTGACGATCATGTAGCCCTTCTTGAGGCGGTACGTCAGGTTCTGCGCCACGTTCACCACAGTCTTTTCCGTGCCCTTGTCCACCAGGTCCGGCTTGGTCAGGATCCCTGCGAGGTGATAAAGAAGGCGTGGAAGGTCCATTCTCTTCTCAGATCCACTTGACCGCTGCGGGACTCCGGGGTCCTTTCCCGGCCAGGACCTACAGAGCCTTCTGCAGCCTCCGCTGCCCAATGCCCTCCTGTCATCCATTCATGTCAGCGGCACCCCTCAGATCGGCTCCCCCCACTCCCTCAGTTCACCAACTGCCTTGCGTCATTGATTTAACGAATGTTCTGGGTGTGCCGAAACCGGTTTGGGCTCAGTGGATAGAGCGTCGGACTGAAAGGTCCCAGGTTTGATTCCGGTCAAGGGCATGTACGTTGGTTGTGGGCACATCTCCAGTAGGGGGTGTGCAGGAGGCAGCTGGTCGATGTTTCTCTCTCATGGACATTTCTAGCTCTCTATCCCTCTCCCTTCCTCTCTGTGGAAAATCAATAAAAAAGTAAAAAAAAAAAAAATGTTCTGGGCACTGGACAGCAGCGTGGGCACAGGGGACCGGCTCCATCACCACGTCCCTAAGAAGCTTCCCTGGCGCTTAAACAGCTTCATTTCTCTGTCTCTTCTGTTCCCAGAAGCTGTTACTTCAGAGCGCATCCTAGACTCACTACAAGGTCTGTGTGAACTGACCTTCGGGTGACTCACAGAGCCACGGCCTGGCCTGTCTGAATCTGCGTCTGCACCTCCCATTGGCAAAGGAGAGGGCCTTCCCCGGGGAGGGGAGACAGCAGCCCGGAATGCCCCTCCCCGGAGCCAGCACTCCTTCAGGGAAGCCTGGGTCTCTGTGCTCTGTTCTGAGTAAAGGGAGTGAGATCAGGAAAATGGGAGCTTGCCATTAGAATCCGCCCTGGCAGGGGAGACAGGGCCCTCTAGGGCGCCTCGGTTAGAAACACATGCCTCCAGCCACAGAATCAGCTCAGAAGCATCATTTAATGGCCCAGCTGGCGGGCCACAGAGATGGGCACTCAGCCATTTTTAGATGCTTTCATATTTTTTCCCCTCTTTTTAAGTGTGTTCATTCCTGAATGCGTTCCGCACACACATTAAATTAACCAATGCTTATTAAGCACTCTGCTGCAGGTGGGATGAGTGAGAAAGCATAGTTCCTGATTTCACAAATATCCCTCCGTCTTTCACTGGGGAAAAGCCAGCTAAATGATCCTAGTAACATATAAAAAATAAACAAAAATATCTAATATTGATAAATTCCATGCCGGGAATGAAAAGAAAGGCAAAGAAATGACCACAGGCCAGGTGGCTGTACACGTGTAGGCTGCTGGACGCTGAGGGTCTCAGAGCAGGCAATGTTTGGGCTGTGACCTGAATGAGAGGAAGGAGCCAGCCCTGTGGGTGGAGAAGGAGCTGGATGACTGAGCTGCACTGGACAGTAGGGGACAAGGTGGGGAGTGATGGGAGCCGTGGTCCCAGAGGCATGCAGAAGCTAGGTCCCAGAATGCATTGTGGTCCCGGCAAAGCGGTCTGGGTTTGGACACGTGAGACGGAAGCATTGGAGAGTGAGCAGAGGAGGGGCGTGGCCTGACTTGCGGTCTAAGGCAGGGGGTGAGGAGGAAAGGGGGTGATGGTGATGGTAGATTGTTGTGGGCAAGGTGAATGCCGGGCGACCAGAGCATGTCTGCGTAGCCCAGGCAGGCGATGGAGGCTGGGTCTGGGTAGTGACTGTGGGGATGGAGAAGGGCGGACAGGCCCGGTATTAGTTCTGGAAGCAGAGTTGTGGGGACTTCAGATGAATTAGACACAGAAGCAAGGAGAAGGAGGAATCAAGGGTGACTCTTTGATATGGCTTTAGACCTGGGCAGGTGGGTGTGGGGCCGTGAAGAGGCAGTGAAGCCTTGGGGAGGAGGAGAATTGGGGTGTGGGAGAATAGTGTCAAGATTAGTGCTTTGATCACAATACCTTGGAGACATTTGATGGACATCCAAGTGGAGACATCGAGTCTAGGGAAAGGTAAGCGTTCCAGAAAGAGATTTGGGAGTCATTGGCATGTAGAACGAATTCAAAAGCCTGGACACATAAGGTCACTTCAAGAGAGTGTGTGATAGAGGGAGAGCTCAGAACCAAGTTCTGGTTTCCCATATGTAGAGGTCAGAGAGTTGAAGAAGCAACCAGCCAAGTGACTAGGTACGTGACCTGAAGCTGGCCAGTGAAGGAGAGAACCCAGGGAGAAGCTGGGCACCCAATAGTTCTTCGTGTAACCCTCCCAACAACCCTCGCAGGTGGTTGTGACTGTTAGCACCATTTACAGAGGAGGAAGGAGAGGTTAAATGCACTGCCCAAGGGCATGGAGCCAGTCAGTGAGGAACCAAACCCAGGCAGTCTGTGCTCTTAAGCCAAGTCCCGTTAATGCCACGAAGGGTGACATTTAAAAAAGGATATTGAAGCCGAGACTGGTTTGGCTCGGTGGATAGAGCGTCGGCCTGCGAACTCAAGGGTCCCAGGTTCCATTCTGGTCAAGGGCACATACCTTGGTTGCGGGCACATTCTCAGTGTGGGGTGTGCAAAAGGCAGCTGATCATGTTTCTCTCTCATTGATGTTTCTAACTCTCTGTCCCTCTCCCTTCCTCTCTGTAAAAAAAATCTATAAAATATATATTTTTTAAAAAAGGACATTGAAGATAACACAGTTTCCCACAACAAAGCATTCTGCTTGAATTAAGTCCTGCAGATGCTTAGGCTCCAACATTCGCCTGGAAGTGTGTTCGCTGGGGTCTGTGACGGTCTTTTCCCTGTACCCAGGGGCCCAGACCTTCACTGTGTTATGGCAGAACTGATAGGCCAGCCACTTTCTCCTTTCTGGGCCATCGTGGGAGAGCAGATAAAGCAGGTCTTGTCCCCATTCAGAACGGCTCCTGAATGCAATGGAACAATGAGGAGGGTGAAGAAGCACGTCCTGGCGGCTCAGCTAACCCTGACTGTGAGCAAGATGACCAGCACGGATGGACCCTGCGCCCATGGAGCTCGGGCTGGAGCAGCACTTGAATCTAACACAGGATGTGGGCATCTCTTACAGTGGACCTACCTCCAGGGCCTTCCACGTGTGTGAGGGCCTCCCCTCCTTCCCCAACCTCTGGAAGCCTGGTTCTCCCTTCTTACCAATGGTCCTGTCTCCTTCGGGGTCCACTTCGTGAGCCATGCTCAGCGCCTCTGTGGTGGCGATGTCCACGTTACAGGGCACCACCACCAAGTTGATGGTCTGCTGCCTCTGGATGTACTTCTTGATGAGAGCCTTGATCTGATGCCACAGGATCACACAAAGGAAGAGTAGGTCTCTGATGACTCAGCAGCACAGTAAGACACCTCCCCCCCCCCCAATTATGGTAAAAACCAGTCATCCTAGTGCGGGACCCAGTGTTCACCCTTCCGAGCCCTCGCTTGGCCTATCCCCTTCCTCTGGAATGCCCACCCCACCGGCCCTTATGGAGTTTCTGTTGATTTTCTACTTATTCCTCAGAGCCCATCACTGGTGTAGCTTCTCTCCTGAAAACTCAATTCTTATGGCAGGAGGAAACCTCTCCTTCCTCTCCAGATCTCTCCTGGAAGCCTTCTGCGATTATCATCACTTTACTAGAGGCCTGGTGTACAAATTCGTGCACAGGTGGGGTCTGGCCAGCTTGTCCCAAAGAGGGCCAATCAGGGCTGGGCCAGCAATGGGGAGAGGACACAGGCAGTTGGCCAGCCAGCCCAACCTTGGATAGGTTGTTGTTTTTTTGTGTTTTTTTTTTTTTTTGGGGGGGGGGCGGCAATCGGACTAGTTGGCCACCACAGTGCACATTATAGTGACAGGTTGTTCTGTCATTCTGGTCACTTGGCTTTTATATATATATATATCAGCATGATTTTTTAAAATGTGTTGTACCTTCCCCAGAAGCCCAGAGGTACTAGGAAAGTCCACCCATTGGATGGATGAACCAGCACCCTCCTGGCGGGTGAGAAGTGTGGAATTAGTCACTAACTCAGGAAGGAAAATGAGTGAATTACACTGCTCCTAGAGACAGAGAACAGTGATTTGGATGTTGAGGAAGAAACCAACATTTCACTGCCCAATATTTTTCCCAGAGCAGCAGAGCTAGCAGAGACCCCCCGAGTTTGGCTATGGTTGGGTTTCCTCACTGGCAGTATCCCTCATAAAAGGAGAAAAGGGCAGGCAAGTGACCCTAGTTCCTAGGATAGGAAGGTCTCATCTTCTCCCCCTCACAAACTCTATCCCAGCATACCTTGCACTGGAGACCATCCTATCTCCCTGCTTCCATGTGAGCTGGGTTAGCAAAGTTAGACAGCTAGCTTGGGGATGGGCCTTGCTCAAAGATCAAGCGTGACTCAAGCATCCCAGTAAGACTGTGCGCTCAGGCAGCCTTAAGTGGGCAGGTCTTTGGAAAGAAGCAACAGGCTCAGGGGCTCTTAGTTTGTACTGGTCATTGTTGTCCTTGGCTGTCACCCCTCCCACTGCGCTGCCTCCTTGCTTCTGACCAGAGACCGCAGACCATGTTCTGATTAGTTTAAGTAGCGTTATTTTGCTAAAATTGGCAGATTTCATGTGAAAATCCGAATTTCTGGCGTCTGTTGACTATCTCAAGACAGCTGGCAACACTGGTCCCACATTCTTTATTTTAGGCAGGATGGGAGCTGTCCGATGCACCCCCAGTCCCACCAAGTCAATTTCTCTTGTTTCTATGACCTGCCAGGCTCTACTCTCATCCTCAGTATAAACCCCATGCCCAGGAGGTCTTATTCCAGTCTCCTCCCCAGTCACTCAGAGTGAGAGCTGGGGAGGCACACCACAGCCCTAAGGGTGACCAATAGAGGCCTCAAAGTCTCCCCAACTTCAGCTTGGCCCATTCCCAAGTTCCAGAAAGGCTCACCTGCTGTCCAATGTCCTGGGGCTGATTTCCCACAGCCACCCTGGCGATGCCAGGAAGATCAATGAGGGTCAGATCCGGAACCTCGGGGGAGGTGATCTCCAGATTGATGAGCTCGTGGCTGATGCCAACTCCATTCCCGGCGATGGTGTTCTGGGCTATGGAGGCCAAGAGAAGAGAAACCCAGAGTCCAAATTAGCGACCCTTCTGAGGGAAAGCAGTTGTTCTTGAAGGCAACGGTTGGTATTCACAGTATAGGAGCTTCAGAGTCCCAGGTGGTTGGACACGTTTCACAGAAACCTGCCGAGTGATCTGAGGCCACAGAGGTGGCCGTTCGTGTACCAGTATTCAGGGTCCCCACATGTGCATACACTCTCAGAAATCCTAGAGGAAAACATCCGATTTATTTCCATTGGAATTGTGGATGGGTTCTGTTCTCTATATTTTTAAATATTTTCCATTGGGTTTTCACTGGGTGTGGTAATGGTTCTATCCCCAAATCCTTCAACATCCCTCTCATCAAAAGATGGAGCCTTCAGTGGGGTCAGACAGAGGGACTTATATCATGAGAATAGATAAGGTGGAAGTGACAGTGTGACGAGGTCATTCAAGGCATCATGGCTTGCTCGTACTTTCTCGTGGATGGTTTCACTCTGGGGAAGGCCAATGGCCCCATCATAAAAGGCCACCAAGCAGCAATGGAGAGGCCCACAACAGGGTGGGACCTAGCACCTTTGCCAGCAGCCAGCAAGAAAGTGTGGCCTCCTGTTAATGGCCACGCGAGGGAAGAGTTCACCAGCCCCAGTTGAGTCTTCAGATAGAATTCAGTCCCCAGCCAACACCTGGCTGCGGCCTCACTGAAAACCCTGAGTCAGAACTACCCACTGATGTGTCCAATTCCTGACCCTCACACACTGTGTGAGAGAGTATCTGTTTGTGTTTTAATCTGCTAAATTTTGGAGTAATTTGTTATGCGATAATAGAGAACTAATAGAGGTATTACTTCTATAACCAGAAAAAATATATAAATAAATACAAATCTATACTAATAAAAGGGTACTATGCTAATGAGACCAGATGTCTTCTGGACATCCTTCCAGACCTTCTTCTGGACAAAGCCACAGTGGTGTGGGCTGAGGCAGAGTCAGTTAGGGGTGATCAGGCCAGCAGGGGAGAGCAGTTAGGGTCGATCAGGCAGGTGAGTGGTTAGGATCCAGTGGTCCCGGATTGTGAGAGGGATCCTGAATTTGAGAGGATGCAGGCTAGGCTGAGGCCCCTTCTCCCCACATGAATTTTGTGCACCAGGCCTCTAGTACAAATATAAGTGTGTGTGTGTTCCAGGGCAATATTACAGTGTCTCCTGTTTCTTTATATCTGACTCTTTAACACACACATACATATACACAAACATATACTAACAGATATAAATGCACACACTAACATGTACCCACTAACGCATAAACATGTGACAAATACCACAATGAAATTCCACTGCTAGGTGTGTTCATGGCAGGGGAGACACATACCCCTCCAGTCCAGGACACCTAACACAAAGCCTCTCTTCCTCCTTCTGTCCGTTGGAAACCAGGTGCGAATCTGAGGCCTGTGGTCAGTCTGGAGCTAAGCAGACCCCCAAGAAGGGGGACCCTCAACTGCCAGCCACCCAGGCTCCACTGCAGGGACCGCAGAGAAGCCCCCGGGGGCAGGACCCTTTGGCTAAACAAGATCATGTAAGCAAACGCGGCACATCAATAACGCACGTGCTGCTTATCTTTGTTCATAGACTACTCTGCAGCTACCCTATGGTGCTGTTCCTTGGGGGTAAGAGGGATTGTGGGAAGGGAGGAGGAAAAGAAGGAACTATTCCTGGGAAGTAGAAGGGAGGAAAAATAATCTAAAAATGGATTATTTCCTATATAATCTCTGTAGTATATTTAAAAGATCTCTTTTTGAGAATTATATACAACTTATTATATACTTACCATATATCCCAAACTATGCATGCATAATACACAGTGATTTATGATTATTTTACACTGATCCCTTTAAATCACATAGCTGGTCCTGCTCTGGTCAGGGTTTCTCAAAATGTAAGTGCATGTGACCTGTCAGGGGTCTGGTTAGCACTCAGATTCTGACTCCACAGGTCTGGGCTGTGGCCTGAGATTCTGCAGTTCCCAATAGCCCCAGGTGGTGGCGCTGCTGCAGACCAGGAACCGCACTGAGAAGCCAGGGTATTAGCAGACCTGTAAGCTTCTTGAAATGAGTCAAAGCCCAGGGTGGTCTAGGTGAGGGGGAGGCACGTGGAATCCCTGTGCCAAGGACACAGGCCATTGGTCACCAGCTCAGGGGAAGCATGGAGGCCTAAGGGGAGCCTACAGTTCCTCCCCTTCTCCTGGAGGTTACCTGTGTCCTCCACCCTCCACCTTCCTCCCGCTCAGAATGTGCCTTCGCATCCTCCCTGGGGCAGAAAGTGAGTCCTGGGAGACCCTTCTCCCTCCAGCAGCCTCTCCGGGTGGCCACTGCGTCCACACTGGCAACAGGAAACTCCCCGAACAGGCGATTCTTTTGTGGCCAATTCTGCCTGACAACAGCCGTGGGCCGGGGGAGAAGGTCCATTTTTGATGGACTCCGAAGTTTTAGGTAAAGGTCCCCTGGGAAGGATGGGCGGTTGGGACCGCCAGGGGGCGCTGATGCTGTAGGTTAGGACAGGGCCTCCGGGGGGCCCTGAGGGGGTCTCCGGGGATGGAGGTGAGGGGAGACACGCCGGCCCCTTTCTGAGCAGCACTGCAATGGAATCTGTGGGCAGTCACACACTGACCTGCATCGGGGACAGCCCTCATCTGAGCACCAGGGAAGCAGGGAAGCCACGGCCCCAGTTAACTGCCTGATCCCTTAGGCCCCAAGGCTTAGGGATGGAACCAGGAGCGTGTGAAAAACCAGGAGCCTGTGAAAAACCAGGGCGACGCCTTCGGAAACACTTCCTGCTTTAGTCATCCTTTCAGAGAGGATGTTATCCAGTGTAACATCTGTACAGAGAATCACTCCTTATCTAAGTGTGCGGCTTGGTGGGTATCCCGGCTGAACACACAGGCGTGACCAACACCCCCAGAACACACAGGTGTGACCAACACCCCCAGAACACACAGGTGTGACCAACACCCCCAGAACACACGGGTGTGACCAACACCGGAGAACACGCAGACGTGACTAACACATGGGTGGAGGGCAGACCCTGGCAGCCCTCTGAAGGGCCTCCTGCTCCGGCCAGTCCTTAGCCCCCACTATCCTGGCCAGACCTGCATTCATTCCTTTTGCCCATGTTCGAACTTCACACGTGGTTGAGCAACTGAATTTGTTGATAATACGGCATTTCCGCCACAAGAACAACAGTTTCACGTGGCCCCGCCCGACTATACCAGGTAAATGGAATAGGGGCTCCCTCGCGTCTGGCTGCTTTCACTCAACGTTACTTTGGTGAGAGTCACCCGTGTCGGTGCCTGTCGCTGAGGGACCCCGCGTGTGGGTCAAGCCCGCTGCTGAGGGACATCTGGGCGACCCCAGCGAGCTGCCCCGCAGCAGTGCTGCCTCAGGCATCCTAGACCCTGGCGCTCGGGGCCCATCTGGCCGGGGGGTGCCCAGGGCGAGAGTTCAGGGTGCACACCTCCAGCCTCAGCATACTGACAGTCTTCCCAGTGGCTGCACCAGCTCACACCCCACCAGCCGCAGACGGGGGTCCAGAGGCTCTTCTGCAGATGCCTCGGGCTCGAGAGCCGGCTTCTGACACGCCCTCACCCAGCACCACCCACGGAGCTCAGGCGGGGCAGGGTGCGGTCCTGTGTGGACTCCTCCCAGGGCGGTCCCTGCAGAGATTCTTATTACCCAGAGCTGGTATAATTCCAAGCTGGGAATCTTGCAATGGAGGGTCTGGAGCAGCTTCTGTATGGGGGCGAGCACTAGAATGGGGGCCCGGACCTCTCCACCTGGGAAGGATCCTTCTGTGAACCTCGGGTGCGGGGTTCTCGGAGCTGAGCCCAGGACGTCCTGTGGGGGCCTCCCCTCGGATGCCGAGTTCTTCGTTTGCTAATACAGAGAGCCTGTCCTCCGGGGACGGAGGTGGTCCCTGCAGACCTCATTTCCATCAGCGTCACCATTTCTACCCGGCGGACACCGGAGGGAGAGCAGGCAGGGGAGCCGCCACCAGGGGGCGGCAGGGCTGGAGTCGTGGGCGGCAGTGACGGTCAGGGGCCCCTTCAGGGAGTGCAGTGGGCTCAGGAGCCTTGGAGCCTTTTTATCGCTCTGCCTTTACCTGACATGAATCTCAGGTTTTGGTAAACTGTGTTCAAAGGCCCGGTGTGCGGCTGGCATCTGTGTTGGGGAAGCTGCATGGGGACGTGGCCACCCGTGGCTGCTGGGGTTAGCTTAGAGCAGCGACCTAACACAGCGGCGACCAGACAGCTGGGGGGTAGGGTGGGGTCCTGTGGGGACACTTCCCAGGGTGGAGGAGTTAATTGAGAAGCTAAGAAAGAATAGGAAGTAGGTGGCAGGGACAGTGTGAGAGGCAGGGACACCAACAGGAGGAAGCGCATGGGGAGAAGAGAGGGTGCTCCCTGAGAGGAGGGGAGGGTGCTCCCTGGGAGGAGGGAAGGGTGCTCCCTAGGAAGAAGGAAGGGTGCTCCCTGGGAGGAGAGGATGCTCCCTGGATGGAGGAGAGGGTGCTCCCTGGGAAGAGGGAAGGGTGCTCCCTGGGAGGAGGAGAGGGTGCTCCCTGAGAGGAGGGGAGGGTGCTCCCTGAGAGGAGAGGAGGGGAGGGTGCTCCCTGGGAGGAGGAGAGGGTGCTCCCTGAGAGGAGGGGAGGGTGCTTCCTGGGAGGAGGGAAGGATGCTCCCTAGGAAGAGGGAAGGGTGCTCCCTGGGAGAGGATGCTTCCTGGATGGAGGAGAGGGTGCTCCCTGGGAAGAGGGAAGGATGCTCCCTAGGAAGAGGGAAGGGTGCTCCCTGGGAGAGGATGCTCCCTGGATGGAGGAGAGGGTGCTCCCTGGGAAGAGGGAAGGATGCTCCCTGGGAGGAGAGGATGCTCCCTGGATGGAGGAGAGGGTGCTCCCTGGGAAGAGGGAAGGGTGCTCCCTGGGAGGAGAGGATGCTCCCTGGATGGAGGAGAGGGTGCTCCCTGGGAAGAGAGAAGGATGCTCCCTGGGAGGAGGAGAGGGTGCTCCCTGAGAGGAGGGGAGAGGAGGATGCTCCCTGGATGGAGGAGAGGGTGCTCCCTGAGAGGAGGGGAGGGGAAGGTGCTCCCTGGGAGGAGAGGGTGCTCCCTGGGTGGAGGAGAGATCACTGCTTTGAGGACCTTAAAATTCCTGAAGCCCAGGAAGAGCTGGAGGAGGTGGGACAGTGAGGCGAGCAGCCCCAGCAGCAACCGTAGCCCTGCCTTCCCCTCCCCCCCGCCTCACCTTTGTGTATTTCCCTCTCCACCTGGGAGGGGTCCTGGAGCTGGAGCTCTGTGCCCCGGTAGCTGAGCTTCCCCGCCCACGGGGAGTCTGCCAGCTGCTTCTTCAGCTTTAGCACCAGCGGACACCTGGTTACGATTCCTGAGAGAGAGGTTTCCGTTAACAGCGGGGTCCCAGCGCCCTTCCCGCTCACCGCCCAGGAGCTGCCCGTGTCCCCGAGGCCTCGCCTGAGATGTCTGTCCCTGTGCAGGGCACGACCCAGGCCCCCTCACCACCGGCCCTGGAAACACCCCGGGCACAGCCTCCGACCGCGGCGTCTGGATGGCAGCTCAGGGCAGGGAGAGAGGGAGAGCAATCCACCTGAAGAGATGGGCACCCAATCCTCCCGGGAGGCGGGAGAAGGCAGCGAGAGCCCGGGGGCAGCTGGACACCCCAAAGGAGGGTCCACGGGGCGTCCGGGGCTGGTTTTCGAGGTCCCTGGTGGTGAGGGCAGACCCCTTCTTGACGCAGCTGGAGCCAAAGGCTGGGACTGCCCTGAGCTTGCGGGCTGAGGCCAGTGTGTCAGCAGGTGGTGAGGGAGCCTGTCCCCTGAGGGAGGACCATCTCCTCACCAGCCTGGGCCACATGCCCGCAGCTGGCATGCAGGCTCCCACGCTGGCACCCTCTCCCCAGAACCCAGAGCAGTGGTGTGTGTCCCAGACTCTTAGCCTCAGGCATCAGGTACGGCTACTGGGGACCTCAGAGGACCCCCTGGCCCCCAGGCTCCTGGCGTGCAGACTACTGGTGGGGGCTGTGCCACCCTCTGAGGTCCCCACACCCTCCCCTGTGCTCGGGGTGATGGGGAGGGTGGCAGCCCCAGTGGGGCGACACTGGTGCCTCCTCGCCCCTGGGCCTGTGGGGGTCTGGCGATGGCCGTGCTGGTGGGAGCCCGGAGCCAGGGAGAGGCCCGCTGTGAGGACACTGTCTCTCCTGCTTCCCCCGTTTGCAATCACTTCACTAAGTTGTGCAACAGCTTCCTTTTATTTATTTATTTTTAAGCGAAAAAAACACATGATCCTGACTAATCGCTTCTCTAAACATTGAGTAAATTCCTCAACAGGGACTTCGCCTACACATTTAACTTGATCTAAGCCAGAGACATGCTCCACGCTCCCTGGACCGCGAGGGAGAAACAGCAGGGCCCGGAGCCTGGGCTGACAGGGCCAGCGACAGCCATTGCCACGTGACCGTGGCCTTGGAAACCTAGGGGCAGCTGGGGTGGTCCCTGTCCGCCCCCTCCCCCGCCCAGGCTGCGCCCTCCAGACCTAAGCCGTCCGGGGCCTGCGGGCACGGCCCTCCCGGGGGCCTGTGGGACGCCATCGGTCCCCAGAGATGCTGTGTGGCCCCTCCGTGCTCACCGCTGCCTCTGGGGAGGGCGACGCCCGACAGCGCCTCCAGCACGGAGCTCTTGCCGGAGCTCTGGTCCCCGATGACGGCGATGGCGGGCAGGGCCAGGTCCTGCTCCACGCCCAGCGCCCGCAGGGAGTCGATGAGGTCGATGCAGGGCCGCACCTTCTCCTCGTACTGGCTGTACAGGTTGTTCTCCAGCCCCTGGTGGGGGAGGGGGAGGGGGGGGCAGGCAGGGCAGAGGTCACACCCCCGGCCTCTGGGAAGGCTCTCCCTGGCCGCCGGCGAATTTGGGCATCTGATCCCCTTGGCTGCAGACAGGAGGCCCCTGCGTCCTGCTCCTATGGAGGCTTTGCTTCTGCAGAAGCGGGAATAGTTAGCTGAGGGCGGAGGGGCCTGGCCGAGCGGAGAGAAGGTGCCCAGGCAGGGCAGGAGGGGACTGGGCCCTGGGCCCTGGGGGAGGGTCCGAAATCGTGAGGGTGGCAGGACGCGCCCTTCCAAGTGTTCTCCCCCCACCTCACCTTTGTCCTGGGAGGGCTCCTGGTTTCTCTCGGCATGTGAGGGGCCATCTGAGGGGCCATCTGAGGGGCCATCTGAGGGGGCATCTGAGGGGCCATCTGAGGGGGCATCTGAGGGGCCATCTGAGGGGTCATCTGAGGGTTCAATGTCATTGAGCTGAAGTTCTTGGTGAGGAAGGCCGGGTTGGTCTCTCTCGGTTGGGGAGAACGCGCAAAGATGGGGGAAAACGTCATCTGCCCTTCTGGGGCGCCGAAAGGCTGCTTCGGGAAGAAATTCATCTCTGCCTTTGGAGAGGGCGGGGAGGGGAGTAGGGTGTGCCTCGGCTGCTGCGCAGACTTGTGGCTTTTCGGCATCAGTTGACGGTGAGGGCAGCAGGCAGTGCTTCTCGGCGAGCTCTGCAGAGACACAGACAGGGTGGCCCCAAGTTGCCCAGGCTGCACCTCTCCAGCCCCAGCACGGCCCTCCCTTCCCTCTATACTCAGACTCGGGGAGACCAGGCTCCTCGCATAGGGAGTGGGGTCTCCACGGGCCCCCAGGCTCGGGGAGGAGAGGCAGGGGGCTCCACGTTATCCTGGAAGAGCCAAGGTCCCCTGCCACCGGGAGGCACCTGTGGCTCAGGAGCCAATGGGGGACCGTTAGGTGCGGGGAGATGGAGGCCGCATCCCCAGGCCCCTGGGAGCCGGCGCCTGCCCTCCCACCACTGACGGTCACCCAGGCCCGGTCGGACCCAGGGGAGTCCGGGAAGGTGCTGCGGCCTGCGGCCAGATCCAGGCGGCCCCGCCAGAAACAGCTGTGCTGGAGGGTCGCTCCTTGTGTTTGGACAACAGCTCCACGTGGTGGCTGCTTTCCTGCACTTCCCACTTCAGGAAACAGAAGGCAGGAAGGGCCTGCACTGGTTACGTCAGGACTCAGACACCCCCCGTCCGCCCTGCCCCCCCTCGCCCGCCTCCCCAATGGCCACTCTCGACAAGAACCCTCCCCCACCCACAAGAGAGGGACTGAGTGTCGTGCACTTGTCCCAGCCTTGAGAGCACAGACCAGGGCCAACATCAGGATGTGTTCCCTCCGGGTCTGGAGGCTGGAGTCCAAGACCGAGGTGTGGCAGGGCTGGCTCCGGGTGAGGCCGAGGGTGCCCCTGCTCAGGCCGCTGCCCCGGGCTGCAGGTGGGGGGGTGGGGGGGCTGTGCACTGCCTCCAGGCGGGGTCAGCAGAGTCCCAGCGGCCGGGCACGCTTAATGCTCCTTATGCTCGAGGGCCCCGACAGGTGCTGCTCTGCTCCCTCAGCCACACCGTCCCGGGTCTCCCAGGAGATGCGCAGGGAGGTCAGGCAAGTCAGGCAGCTGGGATGCAGTCCCAGGCGGAAGCCACAGCCCTGGGTGCCAGGGAACCGGGCTTACTGTGATCAGAGGAAACAGGAAAGCCATTCCAACAGTCACCCCCGGGTCCCTCTGCCTTTGGATTGTTTTATTTTATTTTATTATTTTATTTTATTATTTTATTTTATTATTTTATATTATTATTTTATTTTATTTATTATTTTATTTATTATTTTATTTTATTATTTTATTTTATTATTTTATTTTATTTTATTTATTATTTTATATTATATTTTATTTTTATATTTTATTTTATTATTTTATTTTATTATTTTATTTTATTGTTTTATTTTATTTTATTATTTTATTTATTTATTTTTATTTTATTTTATATTATTATTTTATATTATTATTTTATTTTATTATTTTGTTTTATTATTTTATTTTATTTTATTTATTATTTTATTTTATTTTATATTTTATTGTATAATTTATTTTATTTTATATGTTATTTTATTATTTTATTTTATTATTTTATTTTATTTTTTTATTATTTTTACTCTTTTGTGTTTCGAGCTTCCCACAGGCTTCACTGGTCCCCGAGGAGCCGTGGTGGGTCTGAGAGGCCTGAGTCCCAGCACCCTCCAGACGTGCCTGGCCCAGGTTGGCGGAGGCCCCCCCAGTCCGCTAAGTGGAGAGACCTGCCCTGAATTAAAAACATCCCCCCCTGGACTGGGTGTGGGGAGATGGAGGCGTTCAGTCTCTCCGGCAGGCCTGTGGGGCCGTGTGCCTCCTTTCCTAACTAACGGGAATGCGTTTCCCCTGACGACAGAATAAGAACAACAAAGCCCGGCCTGCGGAGCTGTCATCCTCCTTTCCAGGGAGAGGGAGGAAGATGTGAAGGCCTAACCCCGTGGCGGTCGGCAAACCGCAGCTCGCGAGCCACATGCGGCTCTCGGGCCCCTCGAGGGTGGCTCTTCCCCAAAACATCACGGCAGGGGCGCGTCTATGTTGAAGAAATGGCGTTAGAAGAAGTTTCAGTTTAAAAAATGTGGCTCTCAGAAGAAATTTCAGTCCTTGTACTGTTGATAGTTGGCTCAGTGGACCAGTGAGTTCGCCGACCCCGTGCTCCCCTGGGAAGGGCAGGGAGCAGCTAAGGGCCACTCTCCCGTGAGATCTGCCCGAATCGGTGGGCGGGCGGCCTGGGTGACCGAGTGGCCCGCATCTGCTGGCGCGTGATGTGAGGAGGCCCTCCCCCTGCACCTGGAGACAGTTCCCTAACTAGCGCCCAGGACCTGGCAGAGGCCAGCCGCTGGAAGGGACAGGGAGGACTCTACGGTGGCGTCTCAGGAGCAGCCCACCGGCACCGTGGTCCCTCACGTCCAGCCTGCAGAGCTGGGAGACAGACAGACAGGTCTCCATGATGTGAGCCGCTGAGCCATGGCACAGGAGTCCCGGGACACCAACCTTCCAGGGTTTAGACCTAAACTGCTCCCCACCTCCCCTGCCCTAGTCCAATACTTGTATCTATTGTGAAATGATCACTGTAGTGCACCCCCTACCCCACGTCCCGCGTGGTTCAGGGTTCGGGCTCTGGAGGAGGCCGCACGCAAACGAAAGACTAGGAAATACTAACTTGGGAATTGGGGGCCAGTTGGGAGGGAGACCAGCTCCAGAGGAAGGACTCCGCTGGGCTCCATCCTTGCGATCCCTTTTATTCAGGTTTGGGATCCACCCATAGCCCTTAGGCAGGCAATTTCCAGTAACAGCTGGAAGATAGCCCATCAGCCAGGATTTACAGGAGACTAAAAGGCGGAAGTTGCTTCAGCTACTGTTGTCTCAACTAGACAGTGTCTGCAGGGCTCCGTCTGACCTTTCCTTGTCCACACTTCTCTGCTAGGGAAGACTAGGACGGCTTCCCACTGAGGACCGCCGTACCAGGAAGTCTCGTTAACATCCCTCCCATGCACAGCCTTTGCTTTTTCCTTGCGATGAGGATTTGTAAGATCCTCTCTGTGAAGGAAAAGAGCCACATGCTAACCTGACAAGCTCAGGGGAGGCCTGCGTGGCAGTCTTGCAAACTCAGAGACCTAAAATCACCACAAAAGATGGTTTGAAAATTAAATATCTAACTACAAACAGGTTATAGTGGGTAGTCACGTCCCAGATATTTCACCTGACAAAGATCAATTTAGATCTTCTTTCCTGAGCTCATCTGCCTTCCGGCCTCTAAGAAAACATATCTGAGATGTCTGAGTAACTTGTAACTTCCCGTTTTCTGGAGCCCCTGGTGCACAACCAAATGTGGTAGGCGCCAGGACAGATGCCTCAAATTTCTTCGTTATCATGTTAATTGTTCCTGCACTCACCTGAGTACACGTCCATCATTTTACTTTTTATCCAATCCCAGGGGTTTCCCACCGCTTGGCTTTCTCCCGCCTCCTTGCTCCATCACCAATGCATTTCATGTCACCCACCTATGTCCCTCCTTTGATTTCAGTGTATAAACAGAAATGTAACCCGCCATTCTCCGGAGCACTATCTCAACCCATTGGGGTTCTGCTTCCCGGCATATGTCGACAGTTTGGCTCAAACAAACTCACTAAAATTCTTTACAGGTTTCAATGGTGTTGTGTGTTTTTTTCCCGTTAACATCTCTTAGCAACTTCCAAGCCCTCCGTCCAGGATCGTTAACTGTGGGGATGAAGCGGGCAGGCAGCCTGGGGACCGCAGCCAGCCTACATCCTGTCCATTTCTTATCATAAATCACAGGATCGCACTGCACCGCTGCACAAAGCCCCAACCGCGAAGCCACCCCTTCCCGGCCACAGCGCCCTGAAGCGGATTCTGGAAGGGAAGCCTCCAGGGGCTCCCCCAGCCCGGTTTCCAGGGCATCCTTCCCACAAGCCCCGGCCCTCACCTGTGAGCCTTCAGGACTTCGGACGGAGCCTCGTCTGATCTGCCCTCTCTCTTCCAACGCCGCCCTTTATCTGGTGGGGGAGCCACTCCTCTCCTGAGCTTTTCCTGCACCCGCAGCCAGAGAAACGAAACCACAGAAATGACGCTGGAGGCCACAGAAACGAAACTGAAGAATGGAGGGGTTTCCGGGGTGGGGGTGGGGGGGTGTTTCTGATGAATCCCCCCGGGAAGGGGGAGCCTGTGAACTGAGAGGGCCCGGCCCGCGCCCCCGCTCCCCCCCACCCCCCAGGCCCCACTGGCCGGACGCTGGGCTCCAGGGCGGGTCCCTCATCTGCATTGCTAACAAGTTTTCGCGAGGTAGGTCCCGGAGCACCTGCCCGCGGCCAGGCCCCGAGGAAGTGCGTCTGACTGGTTTCTTCTCCTGGATGCAAAAGCCTGCACGTGGGCTCCATCCGGGACCGCGTGGGACCGGACGTGCACTCAGGTACACGCTCTGGCAGCTCCGAGCCGTCCCGCTGGCCTCCCGCCCGAGCCCCAGCGGACAGATGTCCCCTCAGCCACCTTCTCCGGGTGTGGGGGGAAGGGCTCCTATTCAATAAAGAAGGCAGCCGAAACCGGTTTGGCGTCAGCCTGTGGACTGAAGGGTCCCAGGTTCGATTCCGGTCAAGGGCATGTACCTTGGTTGCGGGCACATCCCAAGTAGGGGACATGCAAGAGGCAGCTGATCAATGACTCTCTCGCATCGATGTTTCTGACTCTCTATCCCTCTCCCTTCCTCTCTGTAAAAAATTAATAAAATATATTTTATAAATAAATAAATAAATAAATAAATAAATAGAGAAGGTAGACCGGAGACTGGGCTGGCAGGACACACACAGGCTTTATTGGAGGGAAGGGTACCCCTGCCAGCTGCTTCCACTGAGAGGGCGGAAGAGCGAGCGCCGGGGAACACCTTTAAGGAGAGGGGACGGGGCTTAGGGCTCTCAGCACATGCTGGATAGTGATTAGGGACCTAGGGACTTAGGAATCGGGGGCTTAGGGTATTCGGCAGGTGCTGATGGGTGGTTCAGAGCTCCGGAATGTCTGGCTGCAGGCGGGGTTTACATCTATCCATCAGTTGGAGGAAGGGAGGATCTATCAGTACCCTCATGGGGAACTGCCTGAGCCCCAGCAGACAGATGTCCCCTCGGCCACCTTCTCCGGGTGCGGGGGAAGGGCTCCATACCCACACGGGGAAGTGGGCAGATCGGCAGCACTGCCTGGAGCATGGCGTTGGCTCCCTTTAGGGAAGGCTCCCCTGAGAGTTCGGCTCCTGCTGGACAGGGAAGGGCGGGGCCCAGGCCCGACCCGGGCTCCAGGCCAGGAACTTCATCCCTAACCCTACCCCTAACCCTCACCCTAACCCTCACCCTAACCCTAACTCTGCCCAGAGCCTGCCTGCTGGATCCTGCCCCTCCTCCCAAATGCTTCCCTCTGTGGGGGGTAGGGAGCAGCGCCTCAGTCCGGTGCCCACCCCCGTCATTCTTTGGGAAACGTTGTGATCTAAGAAAAGGCCATGTCCAGCCTCTCTTTGCTCACGCACTTACCTCTTCAGAGCAGGCGCTCAGAGGCTTAGAAACGGCGAGAGCCCTGGCTCAGGCGCCCATGGGAGAGGGCGCGGCTGGCCTGCGGGAGCCAGCACTGTCCTGGCCTCTCCGGGAGGGAAGGACCAGAGACAGGGCAGCTCCGGGAAAGACAGTGTCAAACCCCAAACCCAACCGAGGAAACGGACCGTCAGCGGGCTTCCTCTAAGGGCCCGTGAACTGGCAGCAACCGCCCCGCAGGCTGCCCAGGACAGACGGCTCCACAGACAGAAGGGGCGGGAGGAGGTCATGGGGGGTTGCGGGGGTCCATCAGGCAGACGCCCTCACTGCTGCCCAGGACACCCCAGAACTGCGGTCGGATCGGGTGTGAAGGCTCTGTTGGGTGCTGTGGGCGGAGTGCTAGTGACCCCCTGAGGCTGTGGTTCCTTTTTCTAACAGAAGGCACCTTCGGAGCCCGGCAGAGTGATGCCAGCTTCACAAGCACACCTGGGGACCCTCCCTGCACCCCCAAGCAACCCCCCGCGGGCACCTCCCCCGCCCGGCGGCCTCTCCGGGAGGGACGAGTCCCTGCACACACACATGGCACGCGGGGTCCTTGCCGATACGGGGTGGCCAGCCCGGGGAGGGACACCGCGCCACATGCAGCATCGGTGGCGTGCAGGGCGGGCTGCCCGTGTGGTCACACGCCCCGGCCCTCACAGGGCCTCCGCTTCCCAGTTTGCTCTCAGCGCACGAAGGCCACCCCGCTAAGGTGTCCTGGGTGAACGGGGTGGAGGGGACCTGGAGCCCTGTGGGGTGTGAGAGATCCTAGCGGTGGGTGTGTGCTCCGGCTGGGCACAGTGGCAGAGAGGGCACGTTGGGGTCCACGCTCACTGACCCCTCGCTCTCTGCCCACATGCTCCCGTGGGGTCACCACGGCCATCACGGCTGGCAAGGTCTCCTCAGCCCTCCTGGATGGTGCCCAGCGGAGACTGGCGTGGGGGGTGGCAGTGCCCGTGCCTTTGGCTACAGTGAGACAAGGGCCTACTCGGGTGGCGGTGTCTCGGCTGGTGGCCCCCTTTCCTCAGCCAAGAGCAAGCTCTGCTATCAACGTCGTGGTGCCCACCGTCCAGGGACTTGGTGACAGAAGCACCGAGAGGGGTGGGGAGATGCCTGTCTTCCCAGGCCTGGCCCCTCCCTCTGTGGAAGCAGGTCCCCCCTCCCCACCCCGTGCTCTCCCTGGAACCCGCACCAGGAGGGGTCTGCAGTCCTGGGGGGGGGAGGGGAGGCCTCCCCAACTCTGCCTGCCCTGGGGTGGGGGACTCGGGCTTGCCGCCCATCTAAGTCTCGTTCTCCTGGCAGCACGTTTCCTCTTATAACAGACTTTATTTTTTAGGTCGCTGCAAAACTGAGCAGAAGGCACAGAGATTTCCCTTACAGCCCCTGCCCCCCCCCCCCCCCCCCCGTCAGCAGCCTCGGGACAGGGCGCTCGCCACATCCCACGATCCTCAGTGACTCATCACCATTGCCCAGAGACCCAGTTTGCAAAAACATGTGGCCACCGCCCGCTGGCGTGACTCAGCGGCCGAGTGTCGACCCAGGCAGCAAGACATCACCGGCTCGATTTCCCGTCAGGGCTCAATCCCCAGGAGGGGCGTGTGGGAGGCAGAGGATCAATGTTTCTCATCATCGCCCTATCTCTCTATCCCTTTCCCTTTCTCTCTCTCTGAAAATTAGTCAACATTTTTTTTTTTAAGTGAAAACACGTGGCCACCGTCACAGCATCATCCGGAGAAGTTTCACTGCCCTGAAGGTCGCTGTTGCTTCTTGTCCCCTCCGCCCTGCCCCCGCGCCTGCTCTGTGCAGCACCAGTCTCCCAGGGCCTCAGGCCGTCCATCCGGTGGGTGACTCAGGGGTCCGGGAGCCCAGAGAGCAGATTGTGTCCCACCCCTGACTCCTGCCCAGAGGGCTTCCCAGCAAGGGGCGGGCCCAGGGCGGAACTGGGGGATCACCCTCACCCGGTCAGGGGTCCCCAGACTCTGAAGGCAGAGGCCCCAGCAGGGGTGATGTGGGCGTCATGTCCCGTGGCTGTGTTCAGGAATGTCAGAGGCCACCTGCAGAAAGCAGCAGCGGGAACAGCGTCTGAACCACAGGCCAGCAACGCAGCCGAGAACTCTCAAAGCCGGTCACGTTGTGGAGGCCATCCTCCTGATCACGTGTGTTTAATGGAATACAAGGAACACTGAAGTAAGAGGCGCAAACCTGGCAAAGAAGGGTCGCCAAGCCAAGACCGGCTCTATTGTTTGCTGTGTTCTAAGCTCCAGCTGAGCAGCAGTTGGCCTCGTGCAGAGCTCCCCCTAGTGCCGGGCCCAGGAATGACAGTCCCAGAGCCCAGCGCCCAGGGAGGTGGGAAGCAGGGCCTGCAACTCAGAGCCGGTGCCCACATAGGGGCCAGGGTGTTAGGGGTCGCACCAGGGAGAGGGGCAGTGGCTGCAGAGGCACAGGCGCCCAGGACTGTCGCAGGATGGGACCGGGTGGGCCCAGCCCCGGCAGGAGTCTGGGCAGGCTGGCTGGAAGTGAATTCACAGTGAATTCAGACAACACTGACGAGAAAGTGTGTTCATTTCAACGGGAGAAAATAAAAAGATCCAGCCCCTTCCCCCCCCCCCCCCGCGCCCCTTTATTTTAAATACAGGAATCCTTTGGGCACTTAAGAGTTTATATCGTTGGCCCTGACCGGTTTGGCTCAGTGGATACAGCGTCAGCCTGTGGACTGAAGGGTTCCAGGTTCGATTCCAATCAAGGGCATGTACCTTGGTTGCGGGCACACCCCCAGTGGGGGGTATGCAGGAGGTAGCTGATCCATGCTTCTCTCTCATCGATGTTTCTAACTCTCTCTCCCTCTCCCTTCCCCTCTGTAAAAAATCAATAAAATTTTTTTTAAAAAAATAGAGTTTACAACGTAAAGAAAATGACCTGGTGTCCTGGCTGCTGTGAAAGCGCCAGAATCTGAGTGGCGGAGACAGCCAGAGGACATTTATCCTCTTGCTTTAAGGCCAGAGGTCTAAGACGCAGGCGTGTGCAGGGCCGGGCTCCCTCTGGAGGCTCCAGAGAGACAGTGGCCCACCCGCCCCCAGCGCCTGCTGGCTGTGGCCGTCTTTGGGTTCCCTGGCTGTCTAAGCACCTCCCCACCTCTGCCTTCACCTTCCCGTGGCCTTGCCCCTGTATCTGTGTCTAAGTGTCCCCCTTTACTAAGGAGGCCACTAATGATATTGGCCCAGGGGCCACCCTCCTCTCACTCATCACAATGCAATGACCTTATTTCTGAGTAAAGTCACATTTGAAGGTGTCTGGGGTTAGGATTCTGGGGCGATAAAATGTAATTCACCTGGAGCCTGAGCCAGGGTCCCAGACATTGGTCTGCGGGGAGGGGCCCAGCCACTGAGGGCCCACTGCCCAGGCCCGGCAGCCAGCAGCCCCTTCCTCAACTGTCCCATAAGAGGGTAAGCTCCATGGTCATGGAATCAAGGCTTCCTCTCTGCAGAGCTGACCGCAGGGTCAAGCTTCCAT